ATCGCTTGAGAGAAATTGAAAAATTCGATAACCGACTATGCGCTGGTTTTACTCGGTTATCATCATCAGATTGTGTTAAACAGTTGCGCATTCCCACGATCTGGCATCCGATAGCTTTGTAATTTTCTTCCGTGTAAATAATAGTGTGCCATTTACCTTACGCCTGGTCTACAAATGATAGCTAAAGAAAAAAATCTTCAAATATTGGACCTCAGCAATTAAGATTTTCCGGTATTGTTTACTGGAAATTTGTGCTAAATGAGATTGCCAAAAATGACAAATGTTGAGGAATACACCTGCAAAAGCACTTACAATGGACAGTGAAGGAAAAGCGAATGATTGAATGGCAGTCAGGAGAAATGGATTAGAAAAGGTTTGCTCCTAAAATGTTATTTGAGCTAGATGGTCATTAGCGTGCTTTCAGTCGTGAAGACAAAGGTACATTTTGCGGCTTTACATAAAGTGGTTTTAAATTGTTTTCAAAATTCATCGACTGATGTCGTTGTCTTCAATTCATCCGATAAGGTCTCTCAGGTCATGGCCCCTCTTTCAGTGTGAAGCATTTTGAAAATTTTCATGGTTTGAGACTCAAAATACTGGTACATGTTTTAAGCCGTAATGCAGTTCTCTTGTAGATATCTTTTTTTATGATGTTAAATCCGTGATGACGGTATATCACCCGGTTCTGAGTAGAATCAGATTTGACGATTTTTTTCTTTGGGATAGTGTCTATAATTATTCAGAAAATTTCCAGTGTTGGCATGATTTTCGTTATGGAACGAATGAGTTCATGTTGGATACACCTTAATTGAAATGAGGGATATGGGTAGTAATATCATCGACGTCTTTTTCTCCACAGTCCAAATCTTGGAATGGTGTGATTTTTCAAATAAAGGTTCATTTAAATTCATAAAGTTCATTTAAAATAATTCTGGACCAAAAACTATCCTGTCCGGTGTCATTGTATAGCGCATTATTTAAAATTTTATTTTTATGCAAGTCCACTTTGAAAAGCTAGAAACAGTGAAGAACGATGTTTTCCGGTTACTTGCTGAAGCAGTCGATTTAGGCATTTTACACACCTAGCAAGATAACACTCTAAGGCATGACCGTAACATTAGTCCAATTTTACTGGAAAAGAAAGATCGATCGATTGACTTTGAAAACGCCAGATAAGTTATTTACATTCCACACTACGGAAATTTTAAAACGCCTCCATTTTTTGCCAGGACTTTGGGCGAAAACGGGTGACGACGACGCAAAGCCGGTGATATCAAACTTATCTACTCTGGACAGCGTTTTGGAAGACTTTTCGGTGGACAATTTTTCTAGCGTAGTATGGACAGGGCCTTAAAGTTAATAAAACAGTTTAAAACGCACTTACGGTGTTACTGTACAGTAATGTTTCTGGAAGCAAGATCAAAACAAAGTCTGCGACGACGGTGTATAAGAACTAATTTTAATGGTACAGCAAAAGACCCTTCGGAAAAAAAGTCCCCATTAGATTTTGAGATCACTTCAAAGGAGTAATTAGGAATCTAAAAAGGACTATTTAGCTTTGATCATATTTAATCTTTGATTTCCGACAGACCAAATCCGTCTGCCATCCTATCCGGTACAATGAAACATTGAGTTAAAATTTACTTGTGTTTTCAAAAATAGGAATTTTTCATACCGGCTTCGTTAAGGCCTTACTGAAATGCCGAGTAGGTGGAAATTGTACGACATTTGGTTTCGGCACCGAAAAAGACTCGACCCTGTCCAGTGCCACATCCCCATTAGCCTATTTCTAGGAAGTACCCTCCCCGTTTGAAGATTAATTTTCTTAGTTTATCATTTAAACTATCAACAATTGTTTTATAATGACTGGCTGCTGATTTCTATCACTTGAAAAATCTTCCCCCAAATTATATGTAAAATCGAATAGATGACCTATTCGTTGAAATTCGTTTTTTTACATGGAAAATGAGAAACGCCACTGGATCGTTGTTCTTTTTTAGATGAGTGAAACAGTGAAATAAAACGATTGCTGTGCAGTTGCTTCAGTTAACTGTTAGGGAAAGTGAAGGAAGACGCTACTTGTAAAATGATCGTTTTGGAGAAAGATGTTTACGTTCGACGGATATTGCAGTTGAAATGTCGTTGATATTGCAACTAAAATTTCGCTGGTTAGAAAATGAGCCCTCGTCGTTTTTATTCGGAGGGACTTCGTCAGCGATTTCCTTTGCGATGAAGTATTTCTACTGTCTCCTCGAAACATCTCAGTAAATGTGCATGCTCTAATTTTATTCTGACTCAGTAGTCTGTATCAGTAAAACTGCAGTTTATCATAGGGGCAAGTGTTTGCTTGAATTTTCAGCACAATAGTTTTGTTCGTACGACCTTGAGACGTGGGGCGGGGTGATCTCAAAAAAAAAATTTACGCCCCTTGGGCCACAGTTTGATCCAAAAATAGGGGGGAAAAAAGGGGGGGACTCGGGCCCCTTCCCTGGATCAGCCACCGGCTATAAAATTTGTATCTGTTCGGTCATCCTAAGGGACTTTAAGAATTTTTGAAATTACAAGAACTTCAGTTTTACTTTCCCGAAAATTTTAGATGCAATTTATGGTTTTACGAATCTGAGAATTTTTCTGACTCCCATCTCAATCACATTTTTTAATCCGAGATTTTAGGTTTCCTTTTTCTACGAAAAACAGCATTTCTTCGGGAGTGAAATGTGAAAAATTAAGTTTCCGAAAATCGTAGCGAATTTATCAGATAAACTTCGAAAATTGTATAATTTGTTGAATGCAACGGTCATCTAGACATTTGTAGCCGTATTCAAGCAAAAGAAAATTCTAGGCAATATTTGCTTCTCCAAAAAGATATTTACAGAAAACAGTCGTTGGATGCCCCTGATAAAATTTCCTCTGTGTGTTGTCATTTGTTTGCCCCTGAAAGCGTACATCATGGGCCTTTTTCTGTTTTTTTCAGTACTAACAGTCTATGAGGCTTTTATTGTTGTCGTCTGCGTAACTGAGTTTTTTTTAATTTACATGTGGCTAATGACTTTTAGTAACAGTCATTCGCTTTTGGCGAATTGAAAATTGTTCAATCAAATATTCATCTCATGCACCAGTGGTGTATGGTTGTTTTACCGCAATTCAGTATTAAATGATTTTCTCCCTTTAATTAAAGCTCAATTACTATTCTGTGTAAAACCATAACGCATTAATGCCTTTCAGTATTTTGTTTCGGTGCGTGCAGTTTTTGTAGATGTTCTGTAAACGCGAAAACTCTGCTTTCTAGATTTATTAATTAATATTCAAATAAATCTATAAACTGTGATTTGGACTGACAAAATCCTATTTAATTTCACTTCATCAATTACAGTACTTATTTAGAGTTGAAAGGCCATTAGTTTTTCTTGACAAGCGACAAGCTCTTCTCGTGCAAATAGGGATTAATTTTTTTCGTTATTTTTTTTTATAATTTGCATAGTCTTTCTGAAGCTTCCCAATCAGAATGGCGCGTACTATTTGATTTTTTATCCGGAATTCCGGTTGTCCCATGTAAATGGCAATGGCTGATCCAGGAGAGGGCCCCGGGGGCCGTTGCCCTTCCCTTATTGTTAGACCAAACTGAGGCCCCAAGGGCCGAAAAAAAATTTTTGGGAGACCAATCCCCCCTTATCTAAGGGTCTGTATGACCGCTCCCCCCCCCTCTTATGTCAAGGTCTGGATCCGGCACTCAATTGTAAGTAGCCTTGATCCTAACCGACCTCTCCTTCTTATCATGGGAAAATGAGGAAACGAATCGGTGCACCGACTCTCATTAGTCAGTAAAGGCACGATAGCAACAGTGAAGCCGGCCGACCGGGATTACCGGGAGTGACGGGGTTAAAGGGGTTGGCAGTTTTTCTGGCCTGGCACAAGGAGCCCATAGCCCGGAGCGATCATCGATCTCCCATATTAGGCCTATGTCACGGCTTTTTTAAGGACCTAGTGAGTTTATTTTTAGACACATTTTAGGGTAATTTTTTCACGCAAAAATAGAATAATTATCCACCAGGTCTATGAGCGCATTCGAAGTATAAAATACCAAAAAGGAAAACTAAAAGTTGTTAAAGGGCAAAAAAAAAAGACAAAAAACAAACTTTAGGTTTGTAGGTGTTGCTGACTGGTTTGTGGAATTTAAAAGATATTCAACATTCGCGCCAAAACCGTTCAAAAAATAAACTAGTCCGTGAAAACGCCGTAACACGAGCGCAAGAAAGTTGCTCGCTAATGTCGTAAACGTTCGATTTGGGTCATTATATGTTGCTTGTTTATTGAAAGTTGCCAAAGAGGACTTATTTAACAAAGTCGGCGATTAAAGATATGTTTCGGCTTTACGGGTTGTCTTGTCTATCCTGCAATAGATAATAATTAGTTAAATGAATAAATGGCTAAATGAATAATATCGATAATTCATGAATTAATAAATTAATAATAGAATATGAAATACATCCTAATAAATTAAATGGTTTCTTGATACCAACGTTCAGCCTCTTATACCTGTCTTTAGTTGCGTTGTTTAAGACGTTTAGTCCATAAGCCAAGCCAGCCTCTTCATACATCATATAGATCGTCCATTTCTTTTAACACTCTCATTCCAAAGTCAGTCTGCAAATTGTTCCATATTGTCGCCAACATTGTCCCCCAAGTTATCCCACAGATGACCCGCTTAGAGTGAATCCATTTACAAGGGATAAAAGCGCCAGAATATAAGATTTTGTTACAGGTTTGTTTTTCTTCTGACAGACCTTAGTAATCGATTCATTTTAAATTTTAAGCCAGGTATCTATTCAATGATTTGTTTTGTCAAAGGTTTAATTTATACACTGTAGCTGTAGTTTTATAGTTGGAAAACAAGAGCTACTTTTGCAAATTATTCGTTTCACACGAAGCACTTGGACTTCTTTAAATCAGTGGTTGAGGAATACGTTGGCCTCCATGGTTTCCTTTAAAACTAGCGTAGCTTAGTAACATTCAGCGCTTGATGAATTTGAGCAAAATTCTAAATCAAGGAGGTTGATGAGATGAGTGATTGAAAACTTACCGTACAGCGACCTTATGCCTTTCATGTCATCTTGGTGCAATTTCGGTGTTCCTTTGCTTGCTGTAGGCCACATCACTGAACCTTTAACATCAGAGTGATGTAGACCCAATGCGTGTCCAATCTCGTGTACAGCTACCCACAAAAGTCCCCAAGTATGTTTTTTCCACCACCAAAACCCTGACGAACTTCCAAACTCGGAGTATCGCTCATCATCATCGAAATGGATTCGTCCATCGGGTGGAAAATATGCATGCGCCAAGACGTTCCCTGGTCCATCAAATGGGGAACCGCATTGACGTTCTCCCTGTACACCAGAGTGGGTCTTGCGTCCAAAGCTAATAATAATAATAATAATAATAATGACTTTATTTCTATAGCGCTCTTATCCTATGTTCAAGGCGCTTTACAATCATGTAAACAACATTATTGAAAAATATTTACAAATTTACAACCATATCCTAATATATTTACAATGGATAAAAAAGGAAAAATTGAAACTAAAACAACTATTAAACCATATTCATAATGATAAAAAAAAGGGAAAAAATTAAAACTAACGCAATATATACAAATTTATAAAAACAATGATCCGTTATCACAGAATTTAGTAAACAAGTACGTCTTAAGTGATCTTTTAAAACTCGAGATGGTGTTGGACTTCCGAATTTCATAGGGTATTAAGTTCCATTCTCTTGGTGCATGAACAGCGAATGCCCTATCTCCGTAGGTCTTGGTATACGATCTAGTTTGCATTAAAAGTTCATTACTAACAGACCTCAATGATCTAGAATGAGGACGATAATGTAGTTTTTGAGCTAAATAGCTAGGCGATGTCCCATTCAGTGATTTATACACGACGAGCAGAATCTTGAAAATAATACGATATTGAATCGGTAGCCAGTGAAGCGCACACAAAACAGGTGTGATATGCTGAAACTTACTCACTTGCAACACAACTCTAGCCGCCGTGTTTTGTACATACTGCAATCTTTGTAACTGATACTTAGGTAGGCCGTATAATAATGGATTACAGTAATCTAGTTTCGATGTGACAAATGCATGAACAGCAACTTCTGCTGATTCTTTAGTGAAATACTTCCTAATTAAATGTACATGAATATATGCTTACTGAGAATAAACGAATCACTCGGATTTTCAGCGAATAGCAGCAGACGCAGTGTTGCTAACCAGAAATTGTTAGTCTCATGGACAACGGAAATTAAATTACTGCGTTGTCCTAAAGGAAGAGTCTTTAGTTAATTCAAAAACTATGAAAACCATCTCGGCGGAGTACTCGAGTATCAAACTGCTGAAATGAGTTAAAAATACGGTTCAGAACTGTTGTCGCAAAAATATTTACATTTGACTTAAACAGTGTCCATGTTACTACGAACTAAATCTTATCATGTAACACGATTCAAAGTATCTGGCCTTAATTGTTTCCTAACACTTAAGAACCAAAGAAACACCCTTTCTTTTCAGGACACTTGCAAGGAATTTATTGATATTGATTTTGTTAAAGAAAAAAAAAATGATTGTCTTCAAAGACCCGAGCCCTTTTTTTTTTAATCTGGTCGAAATTGAGTCGATTTTAAACAATTATTGATCTTAAATAAGACAAAGAGACCACTAACCTCACCCAAAAGTCGGCTTGGCCTCGATTATTGATTCTGGTAAATTTTAGTCTCGGTGCGACGTCACTCCAGTATTTAAAAGCGCGGGTTATGATCCTCATCTGATCAGCGTGTGACATATCGTCCCCAAACTCCTGGTAATACTTCAGATCAGTCTTGAACCACTTGCTACCTGTGGAGTAACGTTTGCGGCGCTCTCCACCGATATCTACATCCGGGACTCCACATCGTGGCTTTCTCATCTGCATTAAAGTTGCATCGTCCAAGACTCCCGTTTGTTCGAGTCCAAAGAATTTCTGGAAATTTTTTATTGCTGTGGTACTGTCATGATTTCCTGACCTGGTGTTTGATAAGTAATGGTATTGTCTTAAGTAGTTCTGCAAGCATCGAGAGAGGAACGAATTTTCATCAGTGTGAGTGAGACTAAACATTGACCGAAGCATTTAATTTTTTTCGTTTAACTTTTGTAGGTATGTATAAAGGGGCAATTTACAACTAGATTGTTAGGAAGTTCTAAAGTAGACGAAACTACATTTTTTTGAATATGATCTAGTCTGAATATCCGACGATACATGTAATTGGAGGCAGCCCAAGTTTATCTTTTGTTTAAAGCTTAACCGGATCAAGGAAGTATCTGTTTCGGCGATTACCTCAGCGAACTGCGAATCATCTTCTTCCTCTTCGTATTCTTCATCTTCTTCCCATCCAACTTCACCAAGAGCAGTCCCTGTAATCAGTAGCGGAAGGAATAGCAAAGCAAGCTGCATGTTCTCCACGACAAAGGTGAAACCGTCTTACTGCAACTATTCTACTAAAATTCAACTTTTATACTATTCGAAAGCTAGCCAGGGATTGTGGATGATAGCTGTATTAGTTCAACTGTATAGAACATGTAACATGATATATTTCAGGATTGTGACAGAAACATGTTCTGTGTCAGCGAAATGCTATTCACGCCAAATATGCTAAGTCTCAAATGACATCATCAGCTATTCAAGGAAGAGACATGTATTATTGAGGCAAACAAAGCAACTGAAGGGGATGAATAAGAAGTAGAATAATTTCAAGGGATTGACAAATAAATGTTGGTTTTTCTTTCTTCTATTTCAAGGAAAGGATCTGAGGCAGTAAAGAAATGATAATTTATTGTGTTCTTTTATATGTTTGTTCAGATTGGGTCAATTGTAACAAAATTTCTTTGAACTTGACTCTAGGTGTAAACACTGGAGTCATGTTAATACACAAACAATGCAGGTGAGAATATATTGGCTAGTAAAGCAAGATGCAATGCCACGTTTTTACGATAGGCAAGGGTCAATAATAGCAACACGCTAATCTAGACCTGAACTTTGTATCGGGCTTCAAAGGGGAGAAGAGGTTCATTCAATTATAAACTACCTACTGGAGCGAAGTTCAAAAGTTTGCAGTATTTTTAAGAGCTACGTTGAAACTGGAATTCGAGAAAAGAAAGGCTAAGTGACAGTTTTTGAAGATTAAAAAATAGTTTTAAGGATCGAAGTACGCTCCGGTTCATACAAAATGGGGGCAACCTTGCCAGAAACGTTATTTTACGGACAATTCATACAGTCTTGCGAACGTGTCCTAATTCTTTTTCTCACTGGACATTATAAATAGTCACTCCGGTAAGAAAAGAAAATGTTTAAGGCTGTTGAGTCAGCGTTACAAACTGAATCAGGAGGTGTTAGCTGAAGTTAATTGATCTGCTCACCACTGACAAATCACGATATTTTGCGATAACCGAGTTTTAATAATTGTTTTATCATTCGATCACCAAGTTTGTTTCTTTGTTTTTTTATGAATATCTTCGGAAAGCAAAGCGATCTGCCTTTTTTCACTCAAGAACCATCGCAAGACAGAGAATATTTTTTGCGGCCAAACACAAGTGGACGACATTGCGCATAAGCAGACCATTATTTGATGGCAGTTATTTGCAGGTCACGAGATGGGCTTTCGGCTTATGAAAAGGAAGAATAAATTGCATGGAATGATAATAAAGATTATTAACATGAACAAATCCACCAAACTGAGAACAAACGCATTTATTCACGCATACTTATTAGTTTGCTACTTAAGTCAAAGTTCGTCAGTGAGACACGGTTTTCCATTCGATGTACAAAGCCTGACAAAGAATAGAACGAGAGTTCATTGCTTTTGTATTAAGCGCATTTTTCCTAATTTGGCTTGCATGTTCGATTTCAGAAAATTCAAATCGACGAGGGATGTTGTTAATCAATGTATTTCGTATGTTCCATACAGTTGAATACATACCATTTTCACAATGACATCATTTTGCTATTACGACCAGAATATATCCTACAGGGTTTTGCTTTCGTGTTCAAATTAAGACTTTTGCTATTTACCAAAATTAATATGAACTTGAAGGAAAAACGAATAGGACTCTGGTCGAGTAAAATGATGCTATCTTGAAAAAGGCCTATAGAGTACCGAAGTGATGACGTCATAAAAATGAAATTTGTGAAATTATGGGATTTGTTAAGCTATTCTGAAAGAACAACGTCCAAGTCGCCTACTCGCCAAAAATTAGCAATTTGGGGCAAATTGTCTCTGAGATATTAGCCCAGTTATGCTCCGATGACTCCATACAAATCCTTCTAAATCTTACCTGGTTCCTAATCTTATGAACCAAGCCAAATTTAGAAGGATTTGTATGGAGTCATCGGAGCATAACTGGGCTAATATCTCAGAGACAATTTGCCCCAAATTGCTAATTTTTGGCGAGTAGGCGACTTGGACGTTGTTCTTTCAGAATAGCTTAACAAATCCCATAATTTCACAAATTTCATTTTTTATGACGTCACACTTCGGTACTCTATTGAGCCGGAGTGTTTCTATCAACTTTAAAACTACGCGTTAACGTTACGCCTTGTACTTTACATTAATAAGGAATACACGAAATGTGACTTAAATTCATGGGCTTTTAGGGCTTTTTTTTACCTGGGGTCACGTGACTCTTCTTATAAAAATTATGGGATACAAATCGGTGGTATACAAACTTAAAAATACGAAAGATAGAAAGGGGTAAAAAATGTGGTGGCACTACGATTTTTAAAGGTTTTAAACTCATAAGAGCGATCGAGTTTTAAATAAGAGGAAGACACCAAAAATACTTGACTTGTCATGTCAGTAGTCGCTAGTCCACACGCTTGACGGTCGAGAACGGTTTATTTATATTCCCAGTGCTTGAGACTTCGTAAACCGGTAACCCTACGTCTTTTTATCATTCCTCTAGCCTCTTATTTATTAATGATTAACATATTTATAGTAATTATTGTATTTAAACTGTAATGCCATATTTATTATCTTGTAACTTTCTTTGTATAAAATATTGAAATTTAAGTGTCTTGTGATACGTCTTCATGGCTGCCTCGATTAGCTTCGCTATTTGCAGGTAGTCTGTACGTGTAATTTATCTGTTATCATCCAAAAAAAGAAATAAAGTTTTGTTGTTTTCCCATACGAACACTTAAATTTTCTAAATGTTAGAATACAATCAGCCCTTAAAATCTTAATATTATCGGTGACCACATATATAATTGGCCTTCTTACGAATTTCCGAATAATCTCTCTATGTAATGATCTATCTGAGTCTCTAAGTTGTATCCCGTAAAAGGTCCTTTGCAGCTGTATGTAACCATTCACGCGGTACAAATTAAAACTCATGTTGAAGAGCAAAAGAAGCACTGGAACATGAAAATTAAAACAAAACCTACCATTTCGAATTCTATGAGCTCTTAGCTTTGTTTTGTGTTGTTTTTGTTTTTCTGCCCCAGTGCGTCCCTTGCTTCAACTTGCACGGTGGTTTCAGTGGCGGCTGCAGGGGAGGCCCCTCCCCCGCATTTTTAAACCAAACTGGGGCCTGAGGGCACGAAAACACAATTGAGACAAAGGTCTGGATCTGCAACTGGGTTTTGTACGACGAGAATAACCAGCTGCCAACAGTTTTTTAACCAAGGAGTGTACCGTGTAGGCGAGCTCTAAAGGGAGAGGCTAGCTTGCTAAGAAACTCAGCAGTGTTTAATTAGAAATCTTCGATACGAGGAGACTAGAAGTTAAACAGCCACGTCGTCCTCAGCAACACATCTTGATTCTTCTCAACCCGTTTAAAGCACATCAAGCGTCATCCTAAAAAAGACGAAAAAAAGACTCCATTTCGGTCAAACGTGTCGGATGTGATGAAAAGCGACAACAAGAACTAACAAACAAACAAAAATCATCAACAAAAAACAAATAATCGAGTTTGTAGAGTTCTTTGTATAACTCTCATTACCTCAGTCAAATTTTAGAGAACAAAATTAAGAGCGGCCGTCCGTAAATATCGCCTGGGGGTGTGCAAAATGAAAAAATCGAAAATCCCCAAACTTTGTCAGAATATAGGTCTAGGTAAACCATTTCTAGAAAAATAACTTTTAGTTCGATTGGATTTTTATTTTACGCGTACGGCGACCGAGTCGGTTCGGAGGTAGCCTCCCACGCAGGCGTTTTTAGGGGAGCTCGTATTTCTTCCCTAACCCTAATCCTAGCCTTAACCCGTAACCCTAAACCATAATCCTAACCCTGACCCATCCTACCCAGTCTATTTACTTACCCCTCCTCCTCCTCCTCCATAAAGAGCGTTTATCCCATCAATGTCATCCTGGTCCATGACTGGTGTGCCCGCCCTTGCTATAGGCCACATAACCGCGCTGTTTACATCGGAATGCATAAGGCCTAATGAATGCCCTATTTCGTGCACCGCCGTGTAAAGGAGCCCTATGGTTCGCCGTCGGTACCAAAACCAACCAAACGACTGACCACCTACATTCAAAGTTTAAAAAAAGGTGTTTCGTACTGAGAATGAAGATCGGATAAAGTGAACTGCGTTAAGACAAATTTGAATGAATGAGTGATTGTTGCAGTAGCAATTGCAAATGATTCATATTAAGCAATTGCAAATTGATTGCTTGGAAAAAATTTAGCCCCAAGTTTGAAATTACAACGGAGAAGATCATATATTTATTTAAATGTTTTACAGATAAACGATATATAGTTGATTTTGTACGATGGTTTTTCTTGTTATCCACGTATAAATGAGCTTTTCAAGGAAAAAATGTCCTGCGAAAACCCTGAAACCTTATTCAGAAGAACACGTTAAAAGTTGTAAAATACCCAGGGGCAGATCCAGGATTTTTTCTAGGAGGGGTTACACTCGTCTCTTGCTCTACGCTCTACTTCAGAATCTTGCTTCTACTGCAGAATATCAGTTGTATTAGAAAACCGCAGGTCGTCCCGGGGGGGGGGGGGGGGTGGGCCCCCCTTCACCCTCCCCCTGGATCCGCCCCTGATACCTGATAGCCTGTGAAGAGTGTGTAGTTTTTCAGAGGGACCTTCCAACAGATGCCATCTCTGCAATAGTTACTAGCTATAGTTTTAAACCATTGCCACACTTGGACATCACAAACATCATACAAATTAAATAGTAATAGTAATAATAATGGTACTGTCGTCACTGTTATTTAGTCCATCTACAGATAAACCTTGTACTTGTAATATGTCTTCAGCTCCCCCCGCCTCGATTGGTTTAATTATAAGCTATTTGCGGGTGGGAGAGTAATTTAATTAGTTATATTTCCAATTTTCATTAATTTTTTTTGTTGTTGTTGTTGGTTTCCACAGTCTAAGTATATTTGAGTAACTTATGATATATTAGCTTACCAAACTTTGTAAACGTTTCATCGTCATCAAAATGGATTCGGCCTCGCCTAAAAAAGTTTGGAATAGGGAAAAAAGCGTGCGCAATGACCCTTCCTGGTCCATCAAAAGGGTAAGGACAATTTCCTTCATTTGGGACTCCAGCGTGTTGTCTTCGTCCAAAGCTGCAAAGGTTCAGATTCAATGCAATTGATATGTGAAAATTAAAACTAAATATATCACACCATATTGTGCCTCATACCGTATAAGCACCCCGTCACCTCAATCCTGAATTTCGGCTAAGATGAGGGCGCCTATTCAACAGAGGTATCTCAATCGAGGTGGGGGGAGCTAATAAATCTTCCTTTCAAAGAACTGTAACGTTCTTTTGTCTAAATCTTTAGTACAAAAAATATTCGTTATTATCCAAGTAAACTTATAATAAAGTCAATATTGATGTGTTCGTTTTGTTAAAACAGTGGGCCGGTGGTAGCCAAGCGTACCGTAGTCCCATTATACACTTAAGGCAGAGATGTATCGGTATACATGTTTTTAAAATATCGGTGAAACTCGTCATTATAACATCATCATCATCATCATCATCATTATCATCATCATCATCATCATCATCATCATCATCATCATCAAAAATGTAAAAATATGAAAAAATGGAAAAAAAATAACAACAAAAACAACAATTTCCTACTCTTCGTTGATGCTATTTTTAAATACTTTTGCAGGAAAAAGAGAAAACCTGCGAGCATGAACTCTTTGTACTAAGGAAGTCATAAGTCGTTACCATAGCAAGCGGTGACCAAAAGATTTTGTCAAAATGTGTTTAATGATTAGAATAATAAGTAAAGATGTGGATGAAATCCGAAACACAACAATAGGTGTGGGTGACATCAACCCTCACCCCCCCCTTCCTTCACTCTCTTACACCCTGAATGTGAGATTTTATCGACCTGCAATATCCATTTTGGGATGAATCCATTTTGGGATGAATTTTGCCACCATAGTGGCCGATTATTTCGTGCATGTGTAAAAAGCCGGGAAAGCCCAGATACATATATATGTTATACTACTGAGCAGAGGAGAGGGTAAACCTACCATCCCATTTGGGTACATTAGAACCAAAGAGGGAAGGGAAGGGTAAGGAAAAGTGCTACTTAAAGTTTGATTAACAAATAAGGAAGCCTTGACTGTGCTCTGTTCTGTTTTAACGCATGCACCTGGAGCGGCTAGAGCTCGAAAAGTACTCTGTTAGTCTGTTTCCAGTCCTTTTCTTTCATCTTTTATACTACTACATGAGAAATTTCTGCAAATTGATTGGCTTAGAGCAGTGGTATTTCAGCTTGATTTGTAGGTGATATTTGGCACAAATACCACTAGTGATATTTCAAAATTGTCTCAAATTACGTGTAACAATTCTGAAATACTGATCACTCGTTGTATTTATGTCAAACATCACTACAAATCATGCTATTACCCATACTTATACTACTACATGAGAAATTTCTGCAATTTGATTGGCTCAGAGCAGTGGTATTTCAGCTTAATTTGAAATACCTACATGTGAAAATTACAAACCTTCTACGGGTAGTAGTATAAACAATTTTAATTGTTTATTAAATGCTATTAAAATAGCATGATTTGTACGTGACATTTGGCATAAATACCACTAGTGATATTTCAAAATTGTCTCAAATTACCTATAACAATTTTGAAATACTGATCACTCGTGGTATTTATGTCAAATATCACTACAAATCATACTATTACCTATACAAATTTCCCACGCCGCATTACTTTCTAATTTTCAGAACAAATTATTGGCAAATGGCGGGACAGCTTTAGCTTCATGTCTTGTACTCTCATAAAGCACTCTTATTCAACCAATCAGCAGCGGGCGCGTTATATTTGAGCTTTATCATCAATAATAAATCACAAACCTACCTGATTTTTATATCGGTTGTGTTAGGGTTATAGGTTCTAGTGAAGTTCAAAGTTGGTGCTGCGTCACTCCAGTATTTAAAGGCTCTGGCAATGATTCGTGATTGTTGAGAATGCGTCATATCATTCCCATACGACAAATAATAGGTCAGGTTTTGCCTATTCCATATTCCCCTGGTTGCGTACCGTCTCACGCGTGTGCCTGCGTCATTGACATCCGGGTCTCCACAACGGGGTTTGTGCATAACTTCTAAAGTCTCGTCATCAAGGGTACCAGTTATAGACAAGCCAAAGAATCGTTGGAACTTCTCGATGGCTAATGTGGTGTTATGGTTACCGGTGTCTGTTGGTGAGATGTAGTGGTAAAACTTCAAGTACTCCTAAAGTAAAAAAGATAACGCGATTATTAATAGATGTGTTGCCGATTCATTTTATCCTTGGAGCTCACCGTTTTTGTTTCTCCTTGTTTTCGGTTTTGGGGTTTGACAATCAGTTTGAAGCAAAGAAAAATACAATAAAACAACGATAAATTGAACCACTACAGATACATCTGCATTAATATTTACAGAAAGTCTCACCTGTAATCATTTTCAATTTGGTTTCTTGGGATCTCCTCGCCTTAATTTAGTCTTAATTTTAAATTGTATGAAAGGGTATGTGATAAAGGCAAATAAAAGTTAATAAATAAATGTTGCTGAATTTTCCAGATAACTAAACCGTTTGCTCACACTTTTCTGCGTAGGGCATATTAAAGTAGCGTAACATGAGGAGCTATACACTGGGAGATTAAATACAGGGCTGAAATTAAAATTAAAAAGTTATTATCACTACACGCGGCCACAAGACAAAATTCCCACACTAAAACGCTCTTTTTCGCCTGCCAAATGGCAAAGTACGGTCTTTAAATGGAATTTGGAGCCCGCAACATGATTTCATGTTAAACAATTTTTCCATATGAAATAAATTCGTACGATTTGGCCTTGTGTATTGATAAAAATGATTATCACATGAGTTTTGTCGGACATATAGTTTATATGCCCCCCAAAAGTTACATGTGATTGTCCTATTCGGATGCTCGGAATTCTAGCTTGTTCATTGGGCAAGCAGCTCTTACATTTTACTTGCCCGGGAAAACTTCCTGCTCGTTTTTTCTGCTGCCTTGCCCATCTGGCAAGTGAGCCTTGAAAGGTACTTGCCCAGCAAGAATAGGACAATCAAATCAATTCTTAAAGAAAGACCGAAAAAAGCTTTTAAAAGATCACTATAATTATTTTAAAGCAATGCTACTCGATATCCTTCAAACTGAAGACTCTTATATCGATGTGGATACAATTATTGTGAAAAGGAAAAAGTAAACCTCTTGTCCTTTATTTTCATTTTATTTTATTTTTAAAATTTCACTTTAATATTGTCCTTGTACTCAAGTAGAATGGTATTAATTTACTGTAAAATATATATACTTACATAACGTCTAATTTCTTTGTATTTGTCTAGTTTGTAGTAAATTATGTAGCCTGGCCTGCCTCGAATAGCCTCGCTAACTGCAGGCCAGTCCCAATGTATTTCTTTTCTTTCTTTTTTTGTTATATTTCCAAATTTAAATAAAGTTAAAGTTACTCTGAAAAAAAAAAATATATATATGTATATATATATATATAGCACGTGTCTTCTTGAGGGCATATAGTTGCAAATGATGCTACGTCGGGACACAAATAAACTGTATGACCTCCAAAAGTCATGTGATTATCATTAGTATCAATATACAAGGCCAAACCGTAGAAATTTATTTCATAAGAAAATATTTTTTAACATGAAATCATGTTGCGGGCTGCAAATTCCATTTACAGCCCGCACTTTGCCGTTTGGCTCGCGAAAAGGAGCGTTTCAGAGAGGGTAGTTTGTCATTTCGCCGTGTGTAGTGATAATAGTTGTTTAGAGCCCAGTGTATAACGATCTGATTTTCAAGTCTCCATTGGAATTGGTTTGCTCTGACTAATTTTTATGAATTACTAAATGTCCGTTATAAAAGTAAATGGCTGTCAAATTCAGAAATGACCTTCAGTAAACGAGATTGGACCTTCCTGTCTGACAGTTTGGCTAGGTCCTTAAGTTTTCTTCAACTCTTCATTAAGTGGCTTCGGCTGAAAGTAGATGCTTTATATGTAACAATTATGATAATAATAATAATATTAATAATAACTTTGGATAGTCGCTTTTAATGGTATGTTTTTTTCGAAACACTTTTCATCTTAAGGGTTACTTGGTATGCAATATCCAAAAAATGTGGCTCAAAATAGCCTTGGTTAATATTGGCCATGGTTCAGTGTTATGTTTTGATGCTTCTAAAAAAGTTCAAAGTTTTTTGGAACTTTATTGAAGGTCAGATTGTAATTATGAGTAATACAATGCGCTGGTTAACAAAAGGAATATATGTACCATATTATCCTTTATAAGCTCAAATATCGAGCTAAAAGAGTAGTGCCAAAGAAACACGAAGACATTTTGATATGAAAAATGCAAACGGCAGTTAAATGCTAACTCCTATTCATGAAATTTCTAAGTAAAGAATATGCTTCAAAATTACCTTAAACAAATAAGAAAATCAGCAGACTAAAAACCTTACTGCGCCAAGGAATGGAATGATCTACACTAGAGTTTGAAATCAGGCTCATGAAACCTACCTTCAGGTATAATATAACCCATGCATAAAAACGGCGAATAAAAACTGTGCACTCTAGCTCTTCTTAAAAATACAAGCATGCACATTGGATAAATTTTGTAGAGTTTAATCAACATAGATTGAAAAGAAAAAATGTATAAAAAAATATCATTTCTTGCTGGTTCTTGCAGACTTAGATTCTATTACACGGATAGATCGGGAAAGTAAAATATCAGTAGAATTCATTATGAGTGCAAAGGGCACGGTGATCTAATTCGCCCCATGAAAGGGAATCCGGATTCCAGAATCTGGGAAATTTTTGCTTGTGGAGTCCGGAATCCTGGGCGTTGGAGTCTGGAATACAGCTCAAGGAATCCAGAATCCCACTAACGATTGGAATCCAGAATCCAAGTTCCACTGACAAAGACTAAAATCCAGTTCCTGAAATCTGGAATCCACGGCGTGGAATCCAGAATTCCAAGACTGTCTTGGATTTTCTTACATGGGAATAGTCTAGTCGTTTATTCCCACTGCTTTAGGCTTTAGGCAATGGTGTTTCACTTGTAGGATAAATGAGGGTTCGAGAAAAACAGATCATCGCCCAAAAAAACAAGAGGTAGAAACATCAGTTACAAAATTCTAACAGCTCTCGTCATTTGCTCAATGTTTACTATAGGTTGTAATTAAGGGGTGAGTTCATTGATTCTCACAGACTGCATGATACTAGTATAAACGTCATAAAGAGCTATTTGAAGTAATGGATAATCACTTTTGCTCTCGCTCTTGACGATATCTTTGATCTGGTCTCCTTTGCTATTATATGTTTATTTTTTTTCCCGAATTTAGGACGTTAACTTTCTGTAGGAATTTGAAGACTGGAACCCTCTGTTTTGGAAAGTCGTATGGTGAGGAAGCATTTGTGCGACTCTAGATCGATCTAGTTTCTGAAAAACACTCTTCCCTGAAAATAACTGGATCTATTGCACCTTCAATTTCAAGACAGAAACTGATTCCCTTTGCCTTTACATACGTATACGTGTAATCAACCCAAGAGGCGTTATTCCTTCCCGGTGTTTTGACTTACCGTAGCAAATTTCTCGTCGTCAGGGTCAACTTCACTTACTACACTGTTTATCAGGACAAGAGAGAAAGCCACGAAGGTACAAAGCATTTTAACACCTTTCTGGTTATCAACGAAAGGAATTTTTGAACCATTTGTCAATTGTTGATCCTTGAATCAGTTGAATGAAATATAACAATAAAGCTGCGGCCTCATTGTAATATCGCACACTTTCAGTGTATTGCTTTATGTCGCGATGATCCCATATATGCGTAATTAAAATGATAAATGGGACAATATATTAAATTTGATAAAATTATCGTGTTAATACGATCACTCTTCATTTCGCTTTGAAAGGAAATTGATCTTGTGGAATAGACAAAAACATGTTTTTTCCCCTCTCATTTTGGGTTGGACGGAATGCCATCGACCACACGGTTTGCCTCCTTTTCACTGTAGTTAGAGGAAATGAGCACCACTTTTCAAGAGGTTCTAAGTACTGATGACAAGGTCATTTCTTTTTTTGTAACCACAAATACCCTTTTTACACGCAACCTAACACTGAGATGTTCAAAAAAAAAAAACGTCTGTCCTTTGGGTTTGCACCTGTTAAGAATCTTTTTTAAGCAAGTAACAATTGAGAACATCCTGTGAAAAAGGCAGGGAAGATTCCTGACCTATTTTTCTTTAGTTTTGTTTTTCTATTCAGTCACAGCCGAGTGTAGACTGTTGTGTTGCATGCTTTAGATTGGCCCTTTCAAAAAGTTAACGACCATTTTTTTAAATTATTATTGGAGGAACGCCTTTGGAGGAAGCTTTAAGTAATATTAACGAAATAAAAACCATAAATTCTTTCAAATGTTCTGGACCACACTAAGCCGTAGAAAGCTAAGATCCGCTTCTTTATGTTACTAGGCGCCTGTATACAGCGAGTTTTCAAATGATAACACGTCAACCATATTGGTGTCCCAAAACAACGAAACGGCGGACATGTTGATGTTCAAATCAGTCCTGTGGTAAAATAATTTTTTTTTTCTAATGCAAAAACTATCTTTTATTACCATTGATTTGCATAGCTATTTGCCAAGTGACTGAAAACGCTCTATTGTTACACGTTCATGGCAATTAATTTCATATTTCTATCAGGTCACGTTTTTTTTTGTCCTGAACTGCTATATTGTGGCTTTTTAGATACAATCAACAGCCAACTATCCAGAAAAAAAAGCCTTTAACAGAACCCTGCCCCCCACTCGGCTCTCCCAACAACCACTCAGGTAAGCGCCCAACTACGTCTCTCTCGTTGCTTGCCTGGTTAACTGTGCATCGGAAAAAATAATTATTAAGAAATAGTAATGGGACCGTAGGGGAAAACGCCCAGTCTTAAGACCAATTTAACGCTTAAAATTAATCGGAGGTTGGTTCCTGGAGAGGTCTGCAAACTTATATTCAGTATTGTTAAGAAAGAATTCAGCAGTAACCATTGCAATATTCTGCACTGTTTATTTTGAGACAATCGCGCGTGGACTGCGGACGTCTCAGGAGTTGGTCTTCCGTTTTATTGCAGCTTCTCAAAATAACTTTTGTGAAATTCTCATATCCTTGCCAACGCCCTAAGATTCCCTCTCTGCCCAATTATTCTCTATAGCTAGCGAGGACCAATACACAAAGTATCTTGGAAATTTTTTTTTCTTCTTTTAACTTCTTTATTTAAACTCATTGTTAGTAGTATGATTCGCTTTAACAAACTCATTACTGTCGATTACACCAACATCAGCGTTAATCTGAAAGGAAGAACGAACTGTTGGTAGCTTAAAGTAAGACAAAATACGACCGTAACAACTTACAGAACGTCATACATCTATGCTAAAGAAGTGTGTCGCTCAATGAGAGCGCAAAAAAGGCAGGAAGCGAAAAGGAAGCATTGGCACAATTCACCCCTCACTGAATCAAGAAAGCAAACTCGAGTAAATCTCGAAAGTAGAAAATAATTCTGTATCGCAGACCCCACGCTGCAACTTTTGTGTTGCAACTCCTACTTTGATTTTTCATTGTTACAATGTCATCTTCTCAGACTTTTCAGTCTTGTGAAAAGAAATGGGCACATGAACGTTCAAGTGCTTCATTTTATTAATAAAAGTCTTTAGCCGTTAAAGAAAAAAAAAAACAGTTTTGGGACTTTCACTGCATTTTATCAAGGAACCGTTTCCATTATTATATATTTTTTTGTCTATGACGATTTACAACTCCAAAACAGTCATTCCTGATGAGGTGTACCTGTTCATATTTTACTTTTTGCCTAGGTCATGGTCAAACAGACAACATCAGGCACAGAAAACACATCCAACCATCTAAATTGAGAGAGAAAACAACAGACTTACTGAACAACTGCCGTATTGCTCTAACGTCCTGGCTTCTGGCCACATGACGGAGTCTTTTCTGTTGGAGTGGTTGAGACCCAGAGCGTGGCCAATCTCGTGGACCGCGGTAAACAGCAAGCTTTGTGATCTACTCCAAAATCCACCCTTCTCGGTCCATTTTTCGTCGTCGTCAAAATGGATTCGCCCCTCCCGCGGAGCATAAGCGTGCGCTACCATGCCTCCTTTGCCATCATTATTGAAATTTAAGTGTCTTGTGATACGTCTTCATGGCTGCCTCGATTAGCTTCGCTATTTGCAGGTAGTCTGTACGTGTAATTTATCTGTTATCATCCAAAAAAAGAAATAAAGTTTTGTTGTTTTCCCATACGAACACTTAAATTTTCTAAATGTTAGAATACAATACCCTTAAAATCTTAATATTATCGGTGACCACATATATAATTGACCCTCTTACGAATTTCCGAATAACCTCTCTATCTAATGATCTATCTGAGTCTCTAAGTTGTATCCCGTAAAAGGTCCTTTGCAGCTATATGTAACCATTCGCGCGGTACAAATTAAAACTCATGCTGAAGAGCAAAAGAAGCACTGGAACATGAAAATTAAAACAAAACCTACGATTTCGAATTCTATGAGCTCTTTGTTTTGTGTTGTTTTTGTTTTTCTGCCCCAGTGCGTCCCTCGCTTCAACTTGGACGGTGGTTTCAGTGGCGGCTGCAGGGGAGGCCCCTCCCCCCCCGCATTTTTAAACCAAACTGGGGCCTGAGGGCACGAAAAACACAATTGAGACAAAGGTCTGGATCTGCAACTGGGTTTTGTACGACGAGAATAACCAGCTGCCAACAGTTTTTTAACCAAGGAGTGTACCGTGTAGGCGAGCTCTAAAGGGAGAGGCTAGCTTGCTAAGAAACTCAGCAGTGTTTAATTAGAAATCTTCGATACGAGGAGACTAGAAGTTAAACAGCCACGTCGTCCTCAGCAACACATCTTGATTCTTCTCAACCCGTTTAAAGCACATCAAGCGTCATCCTAAAAAAGACGAAAAAAGACTCCATTTCGGTCAAACGTGTCGGATGTGATGAAAAGCGACAACAAGAACTAACAAACAAACAAAAATCATCAACAAAAAACAAATAATCGAGTTTGTAGAGTTCTTTGTATAACTCTCATTACCTCAGTCAAATTTTAGAGAACAAAATTAAGAGCGGCCGTCCGTAAATATCGCCTGGGGGTGTGCAAAATGAAAAAATCGAAAATCCCCAAACTTTGTCAGAATATAGGTCTAGGTAAACCATTTCTAGAAAAATAACTTTTAGTTCGATTGGATTTTTATTTTACGCGTACGGCGACCGAGTCGGTTCGGAGGTAGCCTCCCACGCAGGCGTTTTTAGGGGAGCTCGTATTTCTTCCCTAACCCTAACCCTAACCTTAACCCGTAACCCTAAACCATAATCCTAACCCTGACCCATCCTACCCAGTCTATTTACTTACCCCTCCTCCTCCTCCTCCTCCATAAAGAGCGTTTATCCCATCAATGTCATCCTGGTCCATGACTGGTTTGCCCGCCCTTGCTATAGGCCACATAACCGCGCTGTATACATCGGAATGCATAAGGCCTAATGAATGCCCTATTTCGTGCACCGCCGTGTAAAGGAGCCCTATGGTTCGCCGTCGGTACCAAAACCAACCAAACGTCTTACCACCTACGTTCAAAGTTTAAAAAAAGGTGTTTCGTACTGAGAATGAAGATCGAATAAAGTGAACTGCGTTAAGACAAATTTAAATGAATAAGTGATTGGTTCAGTAGCAATTGCAAATGATTCATATTAAGCAATTGCAAATTGATTGCTTGGAAAAAATTTAGCCCCAAGTTTGCCATTACAACGGAGAAGATCATATATTTATTTAAACATTTTACAGATAAACGATATATAGTTGATTTTGTACGATGGTTTTTCTTCTTATCCACGTATAAATGAGCTTTTCAAGGAAAAAAATGTCCTGCCAAAACCCTGAAACTTTATTCAGAAGAACACGTTTTAAAAGTTGTAAAATACCCAGGGGCAGATCCAGGATTTTTTCTAGGAGGGGTGCACTCGTCTCTTGCTCTACGCTCTACTTCAGAATCTTGCTTCTACTGCAGAATATCAGTTGCATTAGAAAACCGCAGGTCGTCTCGGGGGGAGGGGGGGGGTGGGCCCCCTGCACCTTCCCCTGGATCTGCCCCTGATACCTGGTAGCCTGTAAAGAGTGCGTAATTTTTCAGAGGGACCTTCCAACAGATGCCATCTCTGCAATAGTTACTAGCTATATTTTTAAACCATTGCCACACTTGGGCATCACAAACATCATACAAATTAAATAGTAATAGTAATAATAATGGTACTGTCGTCACTGTTATTTAGTCCATCTATAGATAAACCTTGTACTTGTAATATCTCTTCAGCTCCCCCCGCCTCGATTGGTTTAATTATAAGCTATTTGCGGGTGGGAGAGTAATTCAATTAGTTATATTTCCAATTTTCAATAATTTTTTTTGTTGTTGTTGTTGGTTTCCACACTCTAAGTATATTCGAGTAACTTATGGTATATTAGCTTACCAAACTTTGTAAACGTTTCATCGTCATCAAAATGGATTCGGCCTCGCCTAAAAAAGTTTGGAAGAGGGAAAAAAGCATGCGCAATGACCCTTCCTGGTCCATCAAAAGGGTAAGGACAATTTCCTTCATGTGGGACTCCAGCGTGTTGTCTTCGTCCAAAGCTGCAAAGGTTCAGATTCAATGCAATTGATATGTGAAAATTAAAACTAAATATATCACACCATATTGTGCCTCATACCGTATTTTCTCGAATAAGCACCCCGTCACCTCGATACTGAATTTCGGCTAAGATGAGGGCGCCTATTCAACGGAGGTATCTCAATCGAGGTGGGGAGCTAATAAATCTTCCTTTCAAAGAACTGTAACGTTCTTTTGTCTAAATCTTTAGTACAAAAAATATTCGTTATTATCCAAGTAAACTTATAATAAAGTCAATATTGATGTGTTCGTTTTGTTAAAACAGTGGGCCGGTGGTAGCCAAGCGTACCGTAGTCCCATTATACACTTAAGGCAGAGATGTATCGGTATACATGTTTTTAAAATATCGGTGAAACTCGTCATTATAACATCATCATCATCATCATCATCATTATCATCATCATCATCATCATCATCATCATCATCATCAAAAATGTAAAAATATGAAAAAATGGAAAAAAAATAACAACAAAAACAACAATTTCCTACTCTTCGTTGATGCTATTTTTAAATACTTTTGCAGGAAAAAGAGAAAACCTGCGAGCATGAACTCTTTGTACTAAGGAAGTCATAAGTCGTTACCATAGCAAGCGGTGACCAAAAGATTTTGTCAAAATGTGTTTAATGATTAGAATAATAAGTAAAGATGTGGATGAAATCCGAAACACAACAATAGGTGTGGGTGACACCAACCCTCCCCCCCCCCCCCCCCCCCCCTTCCTTCACTCTCTTACACCCTGAATGTGAGATTTTATCGACCTGCAATATCCATTTTGGGATGAATCCATTTTGGGATGAATTTTGCCACCATAGTGGCCGATTATTTCGTGCATGTGTAAAAAGCCGGGAAAGCCCAGATACATATATATGTTATACTACTGAGCAGAGGAGAGGGTAAACCTACCATCCCATTTGGGTACATTAGAACCAAAGAGGGAAGGGAAGGGTAAGGAAAAGTGCTACTTAAAGTTTGATTAACAAATAAGGAAGCCTTGACTGTGCTCTGTTCTGTTTTAACGCATGCACCTGGAGCGGCTAGAGCTCGAAAAGTACTCTGTTAGTCTGTTTCCAGTCCTTTTCTTTCATCTTTTATACTACTACATGAGAAATTTCTGCAAATTGATTGGCTTAGAGCAGTGGTATTTCAGCTTGATTTGTAGGTGATATTTGGCACAAATACCACTAGTGATATTTCAAAATTGTCTCAAATTACGTGTAACAATTCTGAAATACTGATCACTCGTTGTATTTATGTCAAACATCACTATAAATCATGCTATTACCCATACTTATACTACTACATGAGAAATTTCTGCAATTTGATTGGCTCAGAGCAGTGGTATTTCAGCTTAATTTGAAATACCTACATGTGAAAATTACAAACCTTCTACGGGTAGTAGTATAAACAATTTTAATTGTTTACTAAATGCTATTAAAATAGCATGATTTGTACGTGACATTTGGCATAAATACCACTCGTGATATTTCAAATTGTCTCAAATTACCTATAACAATTTTGAAATACTGATCACTCGTGGTATTTATGTCAAATATCACTACAAATCATACTATTACCTATACAAATTTCCCACGCCGCATTACTTTCTAATTTTCAGAACAAATTATTGGCAAATGGCGGGACAGCTTTAGCTTCATGTCTTGTACTCTCATAAAGCACTCTTATTCAACCAATCAGCAGCGGGCGCGTTATATTTGAGCTTTATCATCAATAATAAATCACAAACCTACCTGATTTTTATATCGGTTGTGTTAGGGTTATAGGTTCTAGTGAAGTTCAAAGTTGGTGCTGCGTCACTCCAGTATTTAAAGGCTCTGGCAATGATTCGTGATTGTTGAGAATGCGTCATATCATTCCCATACGACAAATAATAGGTCAGGTTTTGCCTATTCCATATTCCCCTGGTTGCGTACCGTCTCACGCGTGTGCCTGCGTCATTGACATCCGGGTCTCCACAACGGGGTTTGTGCATAACTTCTAAAGTCTCGTCATCAAGGGTACCAGTTATAGACAAGCCAAAGAATCGTTGGAACTTCTCGATGGCTAATGTGGTGTTATGGTTACCGGTGTCTGTTGGTGAGATGTAGTGGTAAAACTTCAAGTACTCCTAAAGTAAAAAAGATAACGCGATTATTAATAGATGTGTTGCCGATTCATTTTATCCTTGGAGCTCACCGTTTTTGTTTCTCCTTGTTTTCGGTTTTGGGGTTTGACAATCAGTTTGAAGCAAAGAAAAATACAATAAAACAACGATAAATTGAACCACTACAGATACATCTGCATTAATATTTACAGAAAGTCTCACCTGTAATCATTTTCAATTTGGTTTCTTGGGATCTCCTCGCCTTAATTTAGTCTTAATTTTAAATTGTATGAAAGGGTATGTGATAAAGGCAAATAAAAGTTAATAAATAAATGTTGCTGAATTTTCCAGATAACTAAACCGTTTGCTCACACTTTTCTGCGTAGGGCATATTAAAGTAGCGTAACATGAGGAGCTATACACTGGGAGATTAAATACAGGGCTGAAATTAAAATTAAAAAGTTATTATCACTACACGCGGCCACAAGACAAAATTCCCACACTAAAACGCTCTTTTTCGCCTGCCAAATGGCAAAGTACGGTCTTTAAATGGAATTTGGAGCCCGCAACATGATTTCATGTTAAACAATTTTTCCATATGAAATAAATTCGTACGATTTGGCCTTGTGTATTGATAAAAATGATTATCACATGAGTTTTGTCGGACATATAGTTTATATGCCCCCCAAAAGTTACATGTGATTGTCCTATTCGGATGCTCGGAATTCTAGCTTGTTCATTGGGCAAGCAGCTCTTACATTTTACTTGCCCGGGAAAACTTCCTGCTCGTTTTTTCTGCTGCCTTGCCCATCTGGCAAGTGAGCCTTGAAAGGTACTTGCCCAGCAAGAATAGGACAATCAAATCAATTCTTAAAGAAAGACCGAAAAAAGCTTTTAAAAGATCACTATAATTATTTTAAAGCAATGCTACTCGATATCCTTCAAACTGAAGACTCTTATATCGATGTGGATACGATTATTGTGAAAAGGAAAAAGTAAACCTCTTGTCCTTTATTTTCATTTTATTTTATTTTTAAAATTTCACTTTAATATTGTCCTTGTACTCAAGTAGAATGGTATTAATTTACTGTAAAATATATATACTTACATAACGTCTAATTTCTTTGTATTTGTCTAGTTTGTAGTAAATTATGTAGCCTGGCCTGCCTCGAATAGCCTCGCTAACTGCAGGCCAGTCCCAATGTATTTCTTTCTTTCTTTTTTTGTTATATTTCCAAATTTAAATAAAGTTAAAGTTACTCTGAAAAAAAAAAATATATATATGTATATATATATATATAGCACGTGTCTTCTTGAGGGCATATAGTTGCAAATGATGCTACGTCGGGACACAAATAAACTGTATGACCTCCAAAAGTCATGTGATTATCATTAGTATCAATATACAAGGCCAAACCGTAGAAATTTATTTCATAAGAAAATATTTTTTAACATGAAATCATGTTGCGGGCTGCAAATTCCATTTACAGCCCGCACTTTGCCGTTTGGCTCGCGAAAAGGAGCGTTTCAGAGAGGGTAGTTTGTCATTTCGCCGTGTGTAGTGATAATAGTTGTTTAGAGCCCAGTGTATAACGATCTGATTTTCAAGTCTCCATTGGAATTGGTTTGCTCTGACTAATTTTTTATGAATTACTAAATGTCCGTTATAAAAGTAAATGGCTGTCAAATTCAGAAATGACCTTCAGTAAACGAGATTGGACCTTCCTGTCTGACAGTTTGGCTAGGTCCTTAAGTTTTCTTCAACTCTTCATTAAGTGGCTTCGGCTGAAAGTAGATGCTTTATATGTAACAATTATGATAATAATAATAATATTAATAATAACTTTGGATAGTCGCTTTTAATGGTATGTTTTTTCGAAACACTTTTCATCTTAAGGGTTACTTGGTATGCAATATCCAAAAATGTGGCTCAAAATAGCCTTGGTTAATATTGGCCATGGTTCAGTGTTATGTTTTGATGCTTCTAAAAAGTTCAAAGTTTTTAGAACTTTATTGAAGGTCAGATTGTAATTATGAGTAATACAATGCGCTGGTTAACAAAAGGAATATATGTACCATATTATCCTTTATAAGCTCAAATATCGAGCTAAAAGAGTAGTGCCAAAGAAACACGAAGACATTATGATATGCAATGCAAACGGCAGTTAAATGCTAACTCCTATTCATGAAATTTCTAAGTAAAGAATATGCTTCAAAATTACCTTAAACAAATAAGAAAATCAGCAGACTAAAAACCTTACTGCGCCAAGGAATGGAATGATCTACACTAGAGTTTGAAATCAGGCTCATGAAACCTACCTTCAGGTATAATATAACCCATGCATAAAAACGGCGAATAAAAACTCTGCACTCTAGCTCTTCTTAAAAATACAAGCATGCACATTGGATAAATTTTGTAGAGTTTAATCAACATAGATTGAAAAGAAAAATGTATAAAAAATATCATTTATTGCTGGTTCTTGCAGACTTAGATTCTATTACACGGATAGATCGGGAAAGTAAAATATCAGTAGAATTCATTATGAGTGCAAAGGGCACGGTGATCTAATTCGCCCCATGAAAGGGAATCCGGATTCCAGAATCTGGGAAATTTTTGCTTGTGGAGTCCGGAATCCTGGGCTTTGGAGTCTGGAATACAGCTCAAGGAATCCAGAATCCCACTAACGATTGGAATCCAGAATCCAAGTTCCACTGACAAAGACTGAAATCCAGTTCCTGAAATCTGGAATCCATGGCGTGGAATCCAGAATTCCAAGACTGTCTTGGATTTTCTTACATGGGAATAGTCTAGTCGTTTATTCCCACTGCTTTAGGCTTTAGGCAATGGTGTTTCACTTGTAGGATAAATGAGGGTTCGAGAAAAACAGATCATCGCCCAAAAAAACAAGAGGTAGAAACATCAGTTACAAAATTCTAAGAGCTCTCGTCATTTGCTCAATGTTTACTATAGGTTGTAATTAAGGGGTGAGTTCATTGATTCTCACAGACTGCATGATACTAGTATAAACGTCATAAAGAGTTATTTGAAGTAATGGATAATCACTGTTGCTCTCGCTCTTGACGATATCTTTGATCTGGTCTCGTTTGCTATTATATGTTTATTTTTTTTTTCCGAATTTAGGACGTTAACTTTCTGCAGGAATTTGAAGAGTGGAACCCTCTGTTTTGAAAAGTCGCATTGAGAGGAATCATTTGTGCTACTCTAGATCGATCTAGTTTCTGAAAAACACTCTTCCCTGAAAATAACTCGATCTATTGCACGTTCAATTTCAAGACAGAAACTGATTCTCTTTGTCTTTACATACGTATACGTGTATTTGTAAACAACCCAAGAGGCGTTATTCTTTCCCGGTGTTTTGACTTACCGTAGCAAATTTCTCGTCGTCAGGGTCAACTTCACTTACTACACTGTTTATCAGGACAAGAGAGAAAGCCACGAAGGTACAAAGCATTGTAACACCTTTCTGGTTATCAACGAAAGGAATTTTTGAACCATTTGTCAATTGTTGATCCTTGAATCAGTTGAATGAAATATAACAATATAGCTGCAGCCTCATTGTAATATCGCACACTTTCAGTGTATTGCTTTATGTCGCGATGATCCCATATATGCGTAATTTAAATGATAAATGCGACAATATATTAAATTTGATAAAATTATCGTGTTAATACGATCACTCTTCATTTCGCTTTGAAAGGAAATTGATCGTGTGGAATAGACAAAAACATGTTTTTTCCCCTCTCATTTTGGGTTGGACGGAATGCCATCGACCACACGGTTTGCCTCCTTTTCACTGTAGTTAGAGGAAATGAGCACCACTTTTCAAGAGGTTCTAAGTACTGATGACAAGGTCATTTCTTTTTTTGTAACCACAAATACCCTTTTTACACGCAACCTAACACTGAGATGTTCAAAAAAAAAAAACGTCTGTCCTTTGGGTTTGCACCTGTTAAGAATCTTTTTTAAGCAAGTAACAATTGAGAACATTCTCTGAAATAGGCAGGGAAGATTCCTGGCCTATTTTTCTTTAGTTTTGTTTTTCTATTCACTCACAGCCGAGTGTAGACTGTTGTGTTGCATGCTTTAGATTGGCCCTTTCAAAAAGTTAACGACCATTTTTTAAATTATTATTGGAGGAACGCCTTTGGAGGGAGCTTTAAGTAATATTAACGCAATAAAAACCATAAATTCTTTCAAATGTTCTGGACCACACTAAGCCGTAGAAGGCTAAGATTCACTTCTTTATGTTACTAGGCGCCTGTATACAGCGAGTTTTCAAATGATGTCACGTCAACCATATTGGTGTCCCAAAACAACGAAACGGCGGACATATTCATTTGATGTTCAAATCAGTCCTGTGGTAGAAGAATTTTTTTTTCTAATGCAAAAACTATCTTTTATTTCCACTGATTTGCATAGCTATTAGCCAAGTGACTGAAAACTCTCTATTGTTACACGTTCATGGCAATTAATTTCATATTTCTATCAGGTCACTTCTTTTTTTTGTCCTGAACTGCTATATTGTAGCTTTTTAGATACAATCAACAGCCAACTATCCAGAAAACAAAGCCTTTAACAGAACCCTGCCCCCTACTCGGCTCTCCCAACAACCACTCAGGTTAGCGCCCAACTACGTCTCTCTCGTTGCTTGCCTGGACAACTGTGCATCGGAAAAAAATAATTATCAAGAAATAGTAATGGGACCGTAGGGGAAAACGCCCAGTCTTAAGACCAATTTAACGCTTAAAATTAATCGGAGGTTGGTTCCTGGAGAGGTCTGCAAACTTATATTCAGTGTTGTTAAGAAAGAATTCAGCACTAACCATAGCAATATTCTGCACTGTTTATTTTGAGACAATCGCGCGTGGACTGCGGACGTCTCAGGAGTTGATCTTCCGTTTTATTACAGATTCTCAAAATAACTTTTGTGAAATTCTCATATCCATGCCAACGCCCTAAGATTCCCTCTCTGCCCAATTATTCACTGTAGCTATCAAGGACCAATACACAAAGTATCTTTGCAATTTTTTTTTCTTCTTTTAACTTCTTTATTTAAACTCGTTGTTAGTAGTATGATTCGCTTTAACAAACTCATTACTGTCGATTACACCAACATCAGCGTTAATCTGAAAGGAAAAACAAACCGTTGGTAACTTAAAGTGACCATAACCTAAAATTTTATATTTTCTTATCTGAAACTACACCTTATTAAAATAACTTCTGCTAAAAAAATTTGCCAATTGAACCAAAGACGATTTTTTTTAGAATTTTTTAAAAACGTTCAAATTTGCCGCCATTTTGGCACACCATTCGTCTTAGTCTTCTCTCAGAGTATGACGTCATATGACGTACTTCAAGGAACACGTGACTCTATTGACAGGTAAAAATTAAGAGTTCTGGTAGGTTTTTCTGCCTCAGAAAAACTTTCTTCTTGCGAAGACGTTGTGAGTCAATCCTTACTTGTAATTGATCTTTTTTGTGTAAAGCAGGTGAAGGCAAGGTAATGCGAGGTCCTTAATTTACGTCACATGACGTCATATGTGAGCCTTGGTAGTTTGCGTGACCAGCGTCGTGGGTGTATCTTAGAAATGAAGACTTCAAAAATTGATAAAAAAATCGCAGAAGTTATTTTAATAAGTTATAGTTTCAGATAAGAAAATGAAAAATTTTAGGTTATGGGCACTTTAACGTAACACAAAATACGATCGTAACAACTTACAGAACGTCATACATCTGTGTCAAAGACGTGTGTCGCTCAATGAGAGCACGAAAAAGGGCAGGAAGCGAAAAGAAAGCATTGGCACAATTCACCCCTCACTGAATCAAGAAAGCAAACTCGAGTAAATCTCGAAAGTAGGAAAATAATTCTGTATCCCAGACCCCAGGCTGCAACTTTTGTGTTGCAACTCCTACTTTGATTTTTCATTGTTACAATGTCATCTTCTCAGACTTTTCAGTCTTGTGAAAAGAAATGGGCACATGAACGTTCAAGAGCTTCATTTTATTAATAAAAGTCTTTAGCCGTTAAAGAAAAAAAAAACAGTTTTGGGACTTTCACTGCATTTTATCAAGGAACCGTTTCCATTATTATATATTTTTTTGTCTATGACGATTTACAACTCCAAAACAGTCATTCCTGATGAGGTGTACCTGTTCATATTTTACTTTTTGCCTAGGTCATGGTCAAACAGACAACATCAGGCACAGAAAACACATCCAACCATCTAAATTGAGAGAGAAAACAACAGACTTACTGAACAACTGCCGTATTGCTCTAACGTCCTCACTAGAAAGCTTAGGAACACCTTTCTGGGCTTCTGGCCACATGACGGAGTCTTTTCTGTTGGAGTGATTGAGACCCAGAGCGTGGCCAATCTCGTGGACCGCGGTAAACAGCAAGCTTTGTGATCTACTCCAAAATCCACCCTTCTCGGTCCATTTTTCGTCGTCGTCAAAATGGATTCGCCCTTCCCGCGGAGCATAAGCGTGCGCTACCATGCCTCCTTTGCCATCAAATACGGTTGTGCAGCGAGGTTCAAACGGAGTTCCAGAATGCCTTTCCTTGCCAAAACTGATTGCATACCACAGGAAAATAAACGAAAAACCGTAAGTTAAAACATAACTATACATAGTGGTAAAAATGTTTGAAAATATTAGCAACGCAGACTATGAATCAGAAAACAAGCATTAACCTACTTGTATTAGGTGATGTGCTTGGCAAATACCTAAACAACAGTTTAAAAGTAATTTTTGGCTTTTTAACACGCTTTGTTGTAGAAACATATGCTTTGTTGACCAAGCTGGAGGTCAAGTTGGCTAATATCGGCCAAGTTCTTTTTTACGTTTTTATGGACTTAGAGGAGGCCCAGGTTCATATTAAACAGAAGAAAAAGGGAAAGAAGAAAAAGCAAGGCCAATATTAACCCATCTGCTGTTTACTGCTGCTGTTTACTGCTGTTTCAAACTTACTGCCCTATTCAAAAACACGCGACCGAACTCTGACGTTCAAAAGCAACGAACCGAGAAACACAGAAAACGGATCGAAATCCACCAATCACAAATCACAAATTTCGTGCGGGCCAGATAACCCCATCTTAATTTGATCACTGGGGTAGCCAATCAGAAAACAAAAGTCGCTTCACCTTGCCCGCCCGTGGATTCAGTTATATGATAAAACAAGATATTACTAAATAATTGATATTGGCATTACCTAAGAAAAGAGAAAATTCTACCTGATTTTCAGGTCAGCCTTTGTTGGTTCATATTCCTGAGTCTTTTCTCTGGTAAACCTTAACCTTGGTGCAGCAGCTTTCCAGATGTTAAAGGCCTTGGCAAAGATTCGTTGCTGCTCAGATTCTGGAAGATCTTCTCCTTTGTACACAAAGTACGTAAAATAGGTCTGTCTCCATTTTGTTACAGTGCCTGGATACGGTGAGCGTTTCACTCTTCCATTTTCGTTGTAAACATCCGGGACTCCACAACGTGGCTTTTTCATTTGGTATATTGTTTCGTCATCAAGTTCCCCTGTCTCAGGTAGACCAAAGAAGCTCTGAAAACCTTTAATCGCAGTTTTAGGATCGTGATTTCCCGAACGGGTTTTGGATATGTAGCCAAAATTGGTGAGGTAATTCTAACCGGAGGAAAGGAAAAAAAAAGGCATAAGAGCAATGTTGGAAATTTTTTCGGGAGTGTTACCTCTCTTTAGATAAGTACCTCTTATTAGCCGAGTTTTCGGTCCGTATAGTAAATTACGGACCGAGTATTTTGGAAACCGGACACTGTGTCTGTCTAGAAGTCGTTTCCATCTTTCCTCCGTTTGTCCTTGTGAAAAAATACTGCAAAAGGCAAAGAAGCTTTTCAAAGTAAGTTTGTTGTCATTGTCGAACTAGATTCGCTTGTTAATTTTTTTTTGGAAAACCTCTCTTTCTGCCAGTGGATTCTCGTCTTCAGTTGTGATCTGCGTTAAAATTTTCAAACACTCGACTAGAATTCTCCTCCTCGGTAAGGTTACGATTCATTTTCTACAACAGCTTCGTTGTCATTAAAACAAAGCTAGGTTAAAATTTGCAAAGGCAAAGTCAACATCCCAGTTCTCAGGGCTTACATACATATTTCAAAGTTTATTCTGTGGAAACTAAAAACATTGTAAGTATTCACTCGTTAATGTGACGCTGGAGTCTTTTGAAAACTGGACAGTATTGAGTCTGCCTCGAACTCGCTTCTATTTTTCCTTAGTTGGTCTTTGAAAAAACACTGCCAATGGCAAAGAAGCTTGTCAAGATGATCGGGTGCAGGTATGTTTGTTATCATATTTGTTGAAGGAATTACTTATTTTCTCAGTCGCAAAACGTCTGGAATCTCCGCTAGTCGATTTTCGTCTTCTTAACTGTGTACTACGATAAAATTTTCAAACACTGACTAGAATCCTCAACGATAAGATTACGAGTTAGTTTCTTCATCGCCTTCGTTCACAAATAAACACAGTTTAAAATGTTGAAGGCCAAAGTCAACATCCAAGTCCTCAAGGTTGACAGGCGTCTTATAACTTTATTTAAATATTTTTTCCGAGGTAAAGAGATTTAGACCTCCGAAATGAGCATTTTCTTTGAAAAATTTTGGTCCTTATAGCAAGTTACGGACCGCAAATTGACCAATCGCATGGCGAAAACAGACTCAGCCATATAATAACTCAACATATTCAATGATGAACTTCCTTTCTCTTCTAATCACAGCGTAGTTTATGAAAATTAAAGTCGCAATTCAGCCAATAGGCTATAAGGCTGTCAAATAATAATGCTCTAATTAGTTATCATATTAAGTGGTTTTGTTGGATCTAGAACGAAAACTACTACTAACCGTGCTTCACCGGCCTTAGTAAGCTAATGAATAATCAGAAACAAATTGATAGTAACTTCTAAGTCTCAAAACTTCTATCTTTCTGATTTGTAATAATAAACGGATACGTTTAACCTACCAATGCGAAATCGGTTTCATCCTCCTCACAAACGGCAGCATTTAGAAAGAGCAACGAAACAATTACCAAGATGACAACCATCTTTACTGGTGTGACATTCAGTTAACTGCATAACCAGTACACCATCGGCCTTTATTTATGTTTGTAGCTTTTCAAGCTGTATAAATATTAAGTGAGACATGTACTTTTCAGTAAATTACAAATACAATTATCTTTGAAAATGTTTTTAGGTGCGGCTGCATAAACATTGAGCTGGCAATTACTTCAGCAGATCATGACTGGCAATGGCGGAACTAGAGATGGAGCCCGGGGGCTCCACACCCCCCCTCCCCCGCTTATTTTTGGACCAAACTGAGGCCTGAAGAGCCGAAAAAAAGTTTTGAGAGATGGCCCAGCCCCCCCCAACCCCCCCACCCCCTTACCTAAGGGTCTCGATGACCGCCCACTATCTCTAGGTCTGAATCCGGCACAATCCGGCACTGACTGGTGTTTTATTGCTTTACCGTCAGTGTTTTTTAAAGGGTTTTTGCATATAAAAAACACGAGCACTCTTAATTTAAAATGCAAGGGCTAAAATCAGCTGCTTGTCTATTTAAACAGCATACTTCAGAGAAGGTGACTTAGGTTATAGACCGATATTGTTTAATAATTTTTAATTACTTATATAAACACAATTTGGACAAGCACTCCATCAGCTAAAACGATGCGAATATTTTGACAATATTTCACTACAGACCAGTTAAAAAGTGTCTTTAAGGGGCGTAGAGTGAGGCATTCTGGCTCAATTTTGAGGGAAAATAAATCAATCAGAAAAGAAAAACCATTGGCTGTTGACCAAATTACCTCGTTAAGGACTTTATATCTGGTGTGTGATTTATTTTGAATAAAGCTATTAAAATTAAATAAACATTTTTCTGATAATGACTCTTCACTGAGAATAACTTTAAGAGTAGTACAAGTTGCTCTTAAGTATCAAATCAAATCTTCTTCAGTAATCCCAACAACACTTAAAGGTAGATTGTTTTTAAATTTAAAGGAGGTACTTTTTAAATATATTTATATATTTATTTTTTAGAATAGTAAGAAATCTACGTAGTTTTCAAGAGGCCACTGCATTTTGTGGTTTAAACAAGAACAGATGGACAAACGAAATTATTATTTTTTTAAATTATTGCTCAAAAATAGAAAATTCGCTGTTTGACGGTGACTCTCAACGTGTTTTAGGCCACATTAATAGTGCTTTTAAAACCTTTCAATTGCATTACAAGTGCCAAAAATTTTAAAAGACTTTTTACTATACTTATTCATAAGGAACTTTAGCTTTTTCAGGGTTATTTAAAGTGTCCACTCCTATTTTCCTGCACCTCGTTAATGGTGTTGAACTGTTTAGTATGAAATACCTCTTTTCGTTAGTTTTTCTACTTAAATATAAGTATTACTTGTCAGAGGAAAACCACCCTGCTAATGAAAATTTTATTCTCTCCCCATTCTAGAAATATTTATAGAAATGAGCTGTTTATTAAAGGGTAACATGTAAAAGCTTTTATATTAAACGTTATGTAATGAATTAAAATCTATTCTGGGAAGCCTAACGACTATGTCTTCCCAGAATGAAACATGGTATTCGAATGAAAAAGTCACCATTGCCTTGATCTATACCTAGAGACAGACTTAAATTTCCATAGTTTTCAAGTTTCGTAGCTGGGTTTTTGTCGCATTTCTTTTAGACGTGCGCTTAAAATTCAGGATATCGACAATTATAGCATTCTCGTAACACTTCTAAGGAAAACCTTAAGAGTTTCCTATTGTGGAGCTTTTTTCCCAGTTCACACCACAGAAAATTTGGCCGCCCAAGATTCAGGGTTTCTACAATAGTATTCTTATTGCGCTAAAAAGGAAAACCTTTGAAGTAAAGCTGCTAGACAATGTCATATCATACGCGCATCCCAATAAATCACAGGTATACAAATGAGTATACCAAACATTCCTGCGGATTGATTATGGGTGAGTTGTAGTTTCTTTGTAATCTGCAAGTATACCTCTCCTTTAATGCCTACTGTCGATTTGTTTTTGTTCTAATCCCTGACATTCAGAAACCAGACTCTTTCAAAATTATGTGAAAAAACAGTTCATAATTTCTCTTATAATTAGTAGTTCCTTCTTCGTATCGCAGTTCGAAATCCATTTAATTTTCATTGTTTACGATGTATCCCGGATCACGCGTGAAAAAAACAAAACAAAAACAAAAACATTCTTACATAATTATACACACACCTAATTGTACTAACATTTTCATTTTCGATGTAACTATAAGTTAATTTTTGCGTCCATTTTCTCTTTTTACCCTTCATTTGTAATGTTCAGTACGTAATAGACGATCAGGAGACAGGTTTCATGTTAACTCGTTTTATTTACTCATTTGCCTTTTCATGTCAATTATTACAGATCTGTTTCAGTGGAAACTGACCATATGAGCATCAACCTGAATCAAAGAAGGAGAAAAAGAAAAACAAAAGTCTTAATTAGAGATTACAAATATCAAAATACTAAGTAAGAAAATGGAAAATTTAAAGGTAAATACACTCAAACCTCTTCGTAAGCGATCACCAAAATCTGAAGACTTTTGGGGTCGCTTACGGGAGGTGGCTGCTTAGGAGAATTTGACCCGGTACGGAATCATTTATTTTATGGAAGATAATTTATTGAATACAGTTTCACTTACTATACAGTATGCGTAGTTACATATTTTTACTAAACGCTTTTCGAATACTGGGAGCAGAATAGTACGTACAGCTCAGGCAATAGTGACCTCAAGCAAGGACGACAACGACAACAGTGAAAACGACGGTAAAAAAATGAATTTGCGTTCTTTCAAACTTAATCGCGTCTATTTGGATCCGCTCAATATGTCAAATGCAGGCGACTTTTCCTGGAGTTGAAAGCTTAAGGATTTTATTCAGGCTAACAAAGATGAAGGGAAATTCGTCTTAGTATGTCCACGTCCTCCATAAAGAGTCAAATTAGGGGGTTTCCCGTCGTAGTCGTGCAGTAGACATCAAAGAAATGTACTAAAAAGCGTGATGCACGTGCAGAGCTGTTGTTTTGATCATTAAACCTATTGTTTTTTTTTTGAAGTCGTCGTTGTGGTTGTCGTCGTGGTTGCTTAAGCTCCCTAGTATAACGTGACGTGTGAGTGGAGAGAGGGAGGTCGCGGGTTCGAGTCCCGGGACGGGACCGATACTCAGGGTCTTAAAATAACTGACAAATGAAGGTTCTGTTCTTTGCACTGCAAGTGGCTAGACCTTCGCGTGGCTCGGATGACCACGAAAAATGGCAGTCCCCTCTCCAGTATAAGGAGACGTAAAAACAGTGTTTCCAATTAGTACATAACTTTCGTGCTAAATACATTGACACTCAAATAAAGGGCATTTTGTTTTTGTACAGCGTGCATAGAGATCAGACCCATTATATCAAGTAGCGGTGCAGCTTACAAGAGGTAAAAACAATGGACAGTTATAGAACCGTCATCCCCTTATAGTGGTCGAGGTTGCTTAATTACATGGGTTAGTCGTTTAACAGAGGTTCCAGCTGTAGGGCTTGGTGTTTTGAAGAAGTGGTTGCCCACGGAAGGCTGTCGCTTACCAGGGAGGTTCGACTGTTTGACATTCGCCGTATGCTAATCTCTCTTAATACATCTCTCCCCCTCCCCCCTACCCCCCCAAGAGGGAAAAAAGATGTATTATGCGACGAGATGTGCAGATGCATATGGCGACTAATATAGTGCCCTCTGGAAAACGTAAAGTCTGTGGACGCATAAATAGTATAATTTCGATCATCTTAAAAACGCTTATTCGGACAGTGGTCATGTTACACCATTTCTTGACTTTAGCCACCTACCGTATAATTTTCTAATCCCGGCAATATCATCTTTGGTCAGCTTTGGCTTGCCCTTCTTGCTCAATGGCCACATCACAGCATCAGCGTCTGTAGAGTGCCCAAGTCCCAAAGCGTGACCAATCTCGTGGGTAGCAACCTGATAAAGACTTTCTGTTTTAGACCAAAACCGACTTCCCTTCTCTGTCCATTTTTCTGCTTCGTCGAAATGAATTCGGCCGTCCGGAGGGGTTATGCCATGAGCCAAGACTTCTCCGAGCCCATCAAAAGGTGAAAAACAGTCTTGTTCGCCAGGTCCTTTATGTTCCTTCTCTCCAAAGCTGCAAAAAGAAATTAGAAAATAAGAAAACAACAATAATACTCAGTAGAACTAAGAAATGTTCGGAAAAAAAATCCGACCCCCCAGCGGAATCCGCGTATCTTAGTTGACTTAATATTTCTAATTGCATCATACTTGGGTGGTTGGTATACAATAATACCAATACTAATAATGATCATGAATATAATAATGATGGAAGCTTTATTTGTTTTTTTGAATGTACAATTGTAAATCTCGCCACGTATAGGTAGTTCACAAATGCTGCTGGAGATGGGATGATTAAAAGAAAAAACCAAAAGCAAAAACAAAACAACACAAAAGCGAAAAAAAAAAGAAAAAAAAGAAAAAGAAAATAAAACAAATTTGCATTAAGTCTGGGCTATCCCAATTCCTATTTCTACAACAAAAGATATAATATGTTGCTCTAATGGCTATATTTATCATTTTCTTGATTATATAAAGTTGATGCTTTTTGTCAATGCCGATGTCATTCATCATAATAATAACAATAATAAAAATAATAATAATTATAATTATAATAACGATCATATTGATGATGACGACGATCATTATGATGATGATGATATCGATGATGACGATGATAGTAAAACGACCTCCTACTGCCGAAAAAAAAAAAACACACAAACACGCAACGTAAAATAACAATCTCAAAAGATTCAAGAATAATAACGGCAAATACCAAAAGAAAAGAAAATCAAAGCCCATGTTGATATGACACCTGGCAATGTTCTACATGGTATAGTAATAACACAAATTGGGTTATCAGAAAAGATTAACAGGAAAAAAAGAGGAAAAACAAAGAAATTAATCGAGCGGGTACAATAAAATCTGTTGGATCTTAGATAGGAAAAAGTGTCACGATTACCTTATTTTTAGGTCAGCATCTTCACGGTTAAATGTTCTGATAAATCGTAACTTGGGTGCCGCATCGCTCCACTTTCTGAATGCATTGGCGAAGATTCTTGCTTGAAGATCACGTGCCAGATCTTCACCAAAACTCAGGTGGTATTTCAGTGGTGATTTTTCCCACTTGCCATATCCTACATCATAACGCCTGACGCGTAACCCATTGTCGTTAACGTCTGGGTTTCCACATCGTGGTTTCTTCATCATTTCAACGGTTTCCTCGTCTAATTCACCGGTCGCAGGTAAGCCAAAGAATTGCTGGAACTTCTTTACTGAGAAGGTGGCGTCATTATTGCGCGATCTGCTATGTGAAATGTAGCCGAATTTGGAGAGATAGTTCTAGAACGAAAATGTTGGAATTGTTTGAATGGTTCGATTCATTAACCACTCAATAATAAACCTTGCATCGATTTAAACCTCTTGAAGCTAACATAGAAATGCATTATGTTTTGCTAAATAACTGATATTTATACGGACATCACCCTTTTCATTTTCTTTCACCTTTAATGCCTTAATGAACTTTTCGGGTTTTCATTGCGGGAAACTCTCCTCAGTAGCAATTAGCGACAGAAAAAAAAAAGTAGAGAATTAGCCTTTTGTGAAATCTGAACTAGTGTCCAACTCTTCTATTAAGCTTTAAGTGACAAATGTACAAGAGGGAAACTCAAAATCTCACCACAAACTCTAACTTTAATTTGACAACCTAACAATTTGTTAAGCCTAATTCTAATTTTAAACTTTCTCTTTTAATCTATATTTTCTTGAATGAACAAAGCAATAATCGGTCATCGCCTTTAGACTATATCATGGCTAGAAACGTTCCGATTATAACAGTGTAGAATTTAATGGTTTAGTGGACTCAGAAACCCTTACCAAGACAGAATCGTCGCTAACTGCCTCGCTCTTGCAAATAACTGCATGGAAATCTATAAGCAAAATCAAAGCCGCCAAACGAAACATGCTAACCAGTTTCAAGTTCAACCACAACTGATAGCTAGAAGAATTTTAGCTGCCACGATGTTCATTTACTATCTGGATAACTTCAATTTTCTCAGCTGTCCACTACTAACATTTCATTCAGTGTTAATTAAACAAACGAAAAAAAAAAAAATCAAGTTCCTCGGCGGAAGGAAAAGTTATTAAAGTTGAGATCTTAATCTAAGATAACATGACACATTCACATTGGCAAATACCTTACCCCTAGTAGTTAACGTAATTTCTTATGACATTTTGATGTTTCACACGTTATTGTGTTTGTTCAGGATTAGTTATGATTTGCAATGTTGATTAAACTTTCCACTTACAATTTTTTGTAAATGAATATTTTAATTACTTTTTAAATATATTTCAAGAGCGAATAATTAGCACCCGAAGCATGGATGGACCTCGGACACCGCCTATCTCTTAAGTCAAATTTGTAGTTAAATAGATCATGGAGGCCTCGAACAACTTGTGGCCTTTACCGATGCCCGCCGGTACTTTTTCTCCAAAATCCTTTTCAAAGCATTTTTAAGTACCCTCTACACTAACAAGTACTATATCAATCCCCAAAGTTTTGCACACTCTTAATCTGGGACTAAAATTTGTCCGAAAAATCAGTAAGCCAGTGTCCCATACCTTTTCCAGTCTTGAATTATTTTTATCTTTTAAAAATTTAGTGGGGATAATTAGTGAAGGAATTGTGTATACCTGCCAATTAACTAAACAGGGAGGCAAAATGCCAGTTCATGTCACACTTAGTTATTGCATTGAAGGAGGTCGAGTATGATGTGAGGAATTATTGAGATTAAGGACGATTCAATCCACCGAGGAGCTAGACTGTCCCGTCCTACAGTTCTGCAACCGAAGCTGTATAGTTGCCCGGAAACGAGGCTGCTAACAATATAACATCAAATCGATTATCGATTGGTATGCATCTTCCAAATATGGTTAGCGCCGGCTGATTATGAGGAATTAATCGGGAACTTTGATACAGTGAATTTTTTACATATATAAATAACCTAAAACAGACAGAAAGTGGCTGCAGCTTGGCTCGCAAGCGTCAGGAGGCATTATTTTTCAAATCAAAAATAGGCGGCATTCCTTGCTAGGGATCTAGCTAGACAAGTACAGAAAAGGCTCACTTTTTTACTTCTGTTAATGCAATGATCAGATTATTTCCCATCTTCAATATATTTTGTATAAACGTCTCCACTTTAACAGAAATTTTGTGCCAAAAAGGTATAACTGGTTTCAAGCCTTTTTAGGCCTTTTCTCCGTTTCCAAGCGCCCGTCAGTTTATTGGCTATGGTCGATAACCTGAATGTAGGTATAACTTAAGCCTTCCACATAGACGTTCAGGAGTTCTTCACGCGTTCAAAAGAACGCCTGTGAGGGTGGATAGCTTAACAACAAATTTTTACACGACCCACCATCCAGATCATTACTCAATGTGTATCCTTACAGCCATTACAGCCAACATTCTACAGACTTCTGAGTTCGAAGCATGTGCAGAATATCCGTTTTTACCTGTACATTATGTATATTCACCTTAAAGATGTTGTACCCTAGCTGGCAACTCTTTTCTTTTTTTTCTTCACTTGATCGTGCTTACTAATTTATTATAAGTGCGTTACATGCTTTTGCTATATTTTTCTGTTTCCTATTAAGTGAAGCTAGTAAAATCACATAAAAAAAACAAAACAGCAAAAAATTTAGTACTCTCGAACGCTACTGAACGGGTTGAGGCACATTCCTTAAAACGTGGTATAGTATTTCGAATGTACGAATGCTGCAGAACGAGTTCAGCGTTCTAGAATGAGGGTGTCAGTTTAATTCAAAACATTTTTTTTCCAATCATAAGGGTCTAAATTTGAAGACCTTTAAAGAGCCAGCCGGTACACTCACTAAATAACTACCAGGGAGTTCCAAATGATTACAGTCATATTTGATTGGTAGGGAATCGCAGCCTAGATTGGTGTTTGTGAAGGGTTGTGACTAGAATGGATACCTCAAAATCCGGTTGGACACCATATGTTTATTACACTACACCACGCTATACTATATTTAGGCGAATTTACTGGACACGAGAACTTTTAAAAAAGTGGGGAAATCAGAGTAAGAGACAGCTGTGCAAGGAAAAGAGGTGAATACAGGGTTTACCACTGAAGTACAGTGTTTAGGGTCAAGCACCGTTTTAAAAACGGTTAGCTTTCAATAATGTAATGATCAACGCCATGTAAAATACGTTCAAATTAAACGGTGTCGGCAGTTTACCCTTGATGTTGTAGTGGATACATGAAATGACGCGAGTTGAAGTCCCACATTCTACCTACTGTTTTTTTCTGTTTTCTTTGTTCTCTTATTTACTACATTAAGTTATAAGACTCCTATCCTGTATTTTGAGTGAGGGTGACAATCTGACTTTGGGGTATCCATTCCAGTCACAACCGTTTTTGAAGTTAGTAGCTCAAAGTGGACAGTCTGGCCTTTTGAGACACTCTAACGGACTGTGACGACACACCTTGCTACATCGAATTGGATGAAAAAGGTAGATAGTGATAGACATATCACTGTAGCTTGTGTTCAAGTAATTATTCACGCCAATATCATTTCTATTTCAAACGATTTTATTTTCAAACTCTCAGTCAACAGTTATCTTGAGACTAGGCTGGGTGTTGAAAAGCTGTTTCGAACCACTGGCCGCTACAACCTACAAAAAAAGAAGTAGAGGAAGAAAAAAAAAGGAAAGAAAAAACGAAAGGAAAATTATAAGAAGTGATTCCATTGGATACGCTAGGATAATCAGCAATAAATGTTGACGTTCGTACTCGAGGCTCTAACGATGACATATTTTTTTTTTGATGAAATGACTTGTGATTTTAATTCTGTTCCACAAAGAATTTTGGGAATCCTAAGCTATCCGAAAAAAAAAAAAATTGAAAGGAAAAAAAAATGAGCGATTAGAAGTTTGCAAGCTATTTCGATCAAGAGAAAAATACAGTGTGATGCGTCTATCATTTCAGCGCTTCTAGCACTCAAACATAAACTGTTTTCTACATGTAAGACCATAGACAGACACTCACATTAACCATACAATGACCTTATCCCTTTAATATCATCTTCATGTATTTCGGGTTCACCGTGTTTTACTATTGGCCACATTACAGAGCCTTTCACAGTTGAGTGTCGTAACCCTAACGCGTGACCAATCTCATGAGTAGCCACATCAGCTAGACTTTGAGAAAAACCTCAAAATGAACCGGTCTCCGTATACTTCTCATCTTCATCGAAATGGATTCGACCATCGGAAGGGTAGAAGGCATGGGCGAGCACACTTCCAACGAACAAGCCAATTTTGCCGTCAAAGGCATAATAACAGCGACTCTCTCCGGGACCTTGGTGCTCTCGTCTTCCAAAGCTTTAATCAATCAAACAATCAATCAGTCAAATCAATCAATAAATCAATCAATCAATCAATCAAAATTGTAAAACGTTGTGATAAAAGTTATATCACAAAAAATAAATGTCGATTGCAACGATTCTCAGTTGATCTTTCATTGGGCTTGATACTTCTCGAAAATTCAAGATTGGATTATTGTACTCAGATCCGTTTGACTCTTAAAGACGAAAGAAACTAAAATTCAGAATGGATTTTATGCCATGTCAGCAGTATTGGCGCGAGCTGGTGAGATGTCATATATGCATGTTAATTTTCTGCCAAAAAGGCTTACGTTTAGGATCTACGCCCAAATAAAGAAACGGAATTAAAATCCTGCATTTAGGAGCTTGATGTATTACAGTTTGGAAGGCCTATTCTTTACTTTTTACATTCCAAATCCCATTTTGGCTTTTTTCCCAATGTGATGCACCGACACTTGAGCGAGAAGCTCGATTTGTATGCGTAAAAAGAATTTTTCAATAAGTCTTAAGGCAAGTTTGTATGTAAAACGTCTGTATTGACGCGAAATTTCTTGTGGGATATCAATCTACCAGTGATAGAAGGGAGACAAAACCTGATACGCAGGTCTGCGTCTTTGAGCCTGTATACTCTCTCAAATCGCAGTTTTGGTGCTGCGTCACTCCAAAATGTGAAAGCATTTGCAAAGATTCTATCTTGAGTGCTGGGGGACAGATCCGCGCCATAAGACACATAGTACTTTAGATCCGTTTTCCTCCACTTTCCCCATGTAGAAAATCTTTTCATGCGCTTTCCTTCATCTTTACTAACAACATCCGGGAGTCCGCATCGCGGTTTGCTCATCACCTTCATGGTGGCCTGGTCAAGCTTTCCTGTCACAGAGAGACCAAAAAATTTCTGAAACTTTCTTATTGCGGTTGTTACGTCATTGCCACCTGACCTGCTGTGCGACATGCAGCCAAAGTCAGAAAGGTAGTTCTAAGGAAAGGAGAAGAAGCGAAACGCTATTTATTATTTGTTACACTGTCAAAATCATATTTCCAGGAGATTTCAACTGGCTATGTTATTATAAACACATGATAATAATGATGATAACAACTAAGACCTTAAATGCGCAATCGAATAAATGATTATCTTATGGTGATTTCCTTCAGATTTTGTAAACTCATTGCCAGGTATTCTTTCAAACTCAAACTTTAACCCGCAAAGAAACACTCAGCAACATACAGTTAATTGTGATTTTCGTCATCAGCGAATCAGAAAAATAAAAAAAATAAATAGTTTTTCATTCAATTGTTCTTGTAAGGCTGATTAACTGATATTCAACAAGGGCCCACTCATCCAGAGCCTAAGAAAAGAGAATTAAAGGCCTGACCTCGAAAGTACAGTCGACTCCCGTTAACTCAAGGCCTCTATAACTCGAACCTCCTGCTAACTCGAAGCAATTTTCATTTCCCTTCAGATCATTTCCCATATAATTTTACCCTCAATAAATCGACCTTTTTTCAACTTCCCTTGAAGGTTCGAATTATCGGGAGTCGACTGAACACCCACAGAACTTACGAATTTCAGTTTGTCCTAAAAATAAGGTGCCTCCAGGGCCATTCTCTCAGGGACACCCAACGAGAATATAGTTTAAGCTACTTAAACATGGCATTGTTAAACGTATTTTAGTATCTAAACGGTAGATATAGGCATATTTTCATCCCCTAAAAATTTTTCATCTGTTCGGATTTCCTAGCTGAAAGTCTAGAGATCCGAAAATTATAGGGATCAAAACTTACCATTTCGAAAATTTCAGCCTGAAAAAAGGCTTCCGAAAATTCTAGGTGACCGCAGTTTAGGGTAAAAATCCTTTAAAAAATAGGCAATTATACCATTTTTTAGATGTTTGAAAATCCTAGGAGAGGCAGGCAAGCAAGAAATTTTACAACAAATGTTCCGAAAATTCTAGATCTCAAATCGTCTTCCGAACAGATATTTTCCGATTATTGTCGTTTAGTATCCCTGATTCGCTTAGTAATGAAAAATGATCCCTCACCCCAAAAACAAGACGAATAAAAATAGAAGGATATGAAGAAAGAAAAAGAAAGAAAGAAATATTTACTGAACTCACCAATGCAAAATCAGTTTTGCTTTCTTCCTTGGCACCGTAAGAAGCAGGAAAAAACAGGAGAGAGACGAAAGGCAATGGAAGAAACATTTTCTTTGAGACGATGTAATTCGCGACGGTTTAAGATACCTGGTGTTTGTTTTATGTCATAATATTAGCTCCTTAATTGTCGAAACCATCTGGCAAAATATTGGCAAGTTATCTTTAAAGTTTTACCTTTATTAATTTTTCAATAAACGTTTGAACGAAAAAAAAAAAATTCAATAAACAAGAAACTAGGCGCTTCTGATTGTAGACGATGTAATCATAAATCTGTTGCTATTGAATACCGGTTCTACTACTTTTCTGTTTCGAGCGAGGCGATTAAAAGAGTTTAGTCGAGAATGCTACATTATCCAACGGTGCATGTATTCATTATAATTATTATATATATATATGTAAACTAAGTCATCTTTTTTCGACTGTTACATGTAGTTTCTTCAATTGCCTGCATGATTCATATGCTTCTTTTTTTTACTTCCTGTACAAGTACCGCGTAGGAATAGGATGAGTGAAACTGTATATTAAAACAAATAACAAACTTAGAGTGTAGATATGATACTTACCGCCCGCATATTTTCTTTTAGGAATAGTTGTCAACGTACTACGTTATTATCATCTATTTATCCCTCTTTTGGTAAAGACCTCGTTAGGTGCCTCTTAACCAAACAGAAAATCTAATTTGAAACTTGATGTACTTTGAAACTGTTCAGCAACTGTTCACCCTAAGGTCTTTGTTTCAACAATTTTCCTTCTTTTATCCCATGGGTATTAAAATTTGAACAATTAATCGAGATTGTTACATTATCGAACAGTCCTTATAATAAAAGAAACTAAGATATCTTTTTGCGACTGCTACAGGTCTTTTCTGCAGTTGCAGTCTTCATTCAATCCACGTTCGATTGTCAGGGTTATGTATGAATAAAAGAGAAATACTAAGAATATTAGCATAAGACAGAAAACAACTTAAAGGTTAGTTATAATTGAAAATTCAGGATATATACTACGTGGCTTTTGTTCAGGAACAGCTATTTACATACACTTTGATGTTTATTTTTTGTCTTTTTTGGTTATTAGACCTCTTCAGGTTTTTGTAACAGAAAATTTAATTCCAATTTGAACTCGATGGAGTTTGCAAGTGTTTTGAAACTGTTCACATAATTTTTATTCAATAAATTTCCTTATGTATTGACTTGAGCTGCTCGAAAGGAACAAACTGATGTAGTATTTACTGAAACGTTTAATCACGTCAAATATATGGAGCATGAGGGCTCCATAAGTAGGAGGAATGATAATTTTGTCCTTGTAAACGTATGCAGTCATGTATGAGACGTACTCTTGATAAATGGCAACTATTATACACGCACAGGTTTTCTCGGGGTAGAAGGGGGAGGGTTGGTGTAAGTGGTGGTGGTGGTGGTGGTGGTGGGGGGGAGGGGGGGGGGCTTGGGGGTTTGGTAAAGTGTACTTTCTATCATTTTAGCACAAAGATGAGAAAATGTTTGGGCATGCTGCACGAAAAGTCGTTGGCAAATCATTATGGTTAGCTGGTAAAGTGTGCTTTCTATCAATTTAACACAAAGATGAGAATGTTTGGGCATGCTGCACGAAAAGTCGTCGGCAAATCATTACAGTTACCTTAGACCAGGCTTTAACCTTGAATTATACTCAACGTTTAAACAGACTGATCCGATTTCTCAAAGCTATACACGATTGTTGGTTAACGCTCTATCATTGAAAGATGTGGGAAGCTAATGGGAAACTTGGATATATGTGTGTATTTAAAAGGTTCATCGATTGGCAAACACTCTAGCTTCGTGAACTGTTGGGATAACTTATACATGAACGTTTGGGTTTAATGTATTTGACCAGAGCTTAAGAGTATTCTTCATTCCCTAGATGTGGTAGTAAGGTAAAGGATTCATAGTATAATGTGTGTTCGTACCATACACGTGTTTAGCGTTGTGTGTGGGATGGGAATACGGAATAGGTTTAAGTACTGATGCTCTTTTAAGGCCTAAAAACCGCGAATATGGCCTTAGACTTTTTGTCCCTTATTTTAGCTCCTCAAAGTGACCAGGAACAAGTGACGAAAGAAAAAAAAAATAGAAACTGTACCGAGAATTGTTCCTTAAGATAACAACACTACTTCGGTTCGCTTTGTCCCTGCATCTGGTTTATTCATTTTCCAATAGGAGACATCCCATTACGAATACATTGCTGACTCAAAGGGCAAGAGAAAGAAGAAAATAAAACCAAGGATAAATTCGAATGTCAGTTCGAATCATCGAAATTCGTATTTGGGTCCTAGAATGAAAGGTTAATTCGACAGTGGCATATTTCAACCACACGATAGACTCTGGCTTCTTGATCAGACGTTACCTGCAAGCAGAGATAAAAACGCACCAGAATTACTCTCGCTCCCCTTAATGTAAATTAATAGGCAAATTTAGCAAAGACAACGTGACGGCAGTGACGAGGGCCCTCGCAAATAAAAATCGACTTGACCGATCGCAGAGCCACAAATTGATAACCGGAAGCAGCGCTCAGTCGTTTCCGCGCACTTTTCGGCCTCAACTGACGTCCACGTTCTGTTGCTAAGTCATCATTTTTCATAAGATCAGGGTATGGGGACGCCTTTCTTTTGAGCCAGGGTATAGGGTTGGATATGTTCTTTCACCAGTTTATCATGATCATTGAGAACGGAATAAAAAAAAAACTTAAAAATTAATATCATGAAAATGTTAGAAAACGTACTGCACAACTCACCCAATTTTTTTTACTACATTTGCTTACGGTCTAAACACTTGTTACAACTGAGGTTTTCGTGGGCAAAACTTCTAGAAAACACGTAGTTCACTTCTAGTAACACGAAGTGAAATAACCTAGCACAATAGTTTTCATTTTAAAAAGAAAAAAACAACAACAAACAAACAAACAAACCAATCAAATGCAACAAAGTAAGAGTAAAAAACTATGTAAAAATGAATGAATAACTAACTAACTAAATAAATAAAAGTAAGTATTTCGAAAAAACATATGTTAAAAAGCATTCAAACTTACAGTTGAAACAGGTCTTAGGGCACCAATATACCAATGCAGGTTTATGATCAGGATGCGTGCAAAAACCAGCTTCCTTCCATCCCTGGCAATCCGAGGAAGGTGAACGGTCATTGCAGCTCCCTAACTCAAAGAGAAAGCATGTATATGAAAATCTTTCAGAAGCAGCTGCTGTTATTGCACGCAGATGGAACAAGTTCTGCATGTTTTGGTCTATAATTATGTGTTACAGCAGTTCACATGGAACACGTTCTGCATGTCTTAGTTTCTTACTGTGTTACAGTACTTTCTATGTTACAGTTACTTTACATTTACCCTAGGGGTCAAACGGTTCCGGGGATACGCCCATATATATGGGGTATACAGGTATGTACCGCCCTATAGGTTATGGTTTTGAGGGTCTCGATCCTTAAATAGGTTAACTCTTTTTGACCTTGTTAGCGTTGTGTACCCGGTGTGATCCTTAGATAGGATGCCGCTATTATATCAGGTTAAATTCACGAAGGACGTGAATGCCCAGCTAGAGAAGAAAAAAATCATCTGCTAATAATAAACTTTACCTTAGAGTATTATTTAGAAAAGTGATTTAGGGAGACTTGTGTATTTCTATTGAGCCCTCAGCTTCATTTTTCTGGGTTTCGTTTTGACCCCCGGGATGGGACAAACAGTAACGTCACCGTTTTGGCTAATCTTGGAAAAAATATCCGATTCAATGAAGGTTGCTTCAGGCATTGAGAATTGTGTACAGGGAAGCTACTGTTTGGTGGTCACTCGAGGAAAGCAGTGCGATGATTTCCTGTGCACAAATGCGTAATTACTAATTGCCAACGATCATTTGCCAGATCAACCTAAATTGAATTTGGTATATGTTAGTAATATCGGGGAAAGGATTGTGATACGTGATGCGGTTAGACATGCCGGCTTATAATCCATTGCTTTGCCATTGCAAGAAAGAGAAAAGAAATCACTTTATTGCTGTCGTCATATTGCGGATGCATGCTGTCGTAGGAATTCAGTCAACTGGCATGACAGTCCTGGGTTCAAAACAAGTTACATTAACTGATTAATAGATACAGACTGCAACCTGCTGCTATTTAAAAACAGATGAGCTAAGAAGTGATAACGATGAGTTAAATAGTATGATCCTCCAAGGTCATAAAGTCTAACCCTACCTGGGTGCCTATTTCTTAGCATGTTTAAATATACTTGCCTGGTGCCGTGGTCGTGGGTGGAGCAGGAGTGGGAGCATGGGTGGGAGCTTGGGTGGGAGCATGGGTGGGAGCTTGGGTGGGAGCTTGGGTGGGAGCTTGTGTAGGAGTGGAAGTGTGTGCGCCACCACCTCCAGTGTTAGGACCTATAATGTATACATTTTAAAAAAAATCATTATCATTATCATTGTCAGACGTAGGTTGAGTTTGATCGTCCAGGAGAATTTAAAGTAGTCCTGATATCCTTGGGTTGCACGTGACGTCACCAAAAATCAAACTAAGAAACTATCGATTCTTCTGAGTTTCTACTTTCACGAGGTATTACAGTACCTAAACACCTTTACATAAACAAATTTTTGGTTCGAAAGGGTTCTTCGTTTTGCGAGAGAGGACGCTTGAATTTCCGGGCTTTTGCGTGACTCGGCATTTAGCTGGCGGCAGGGAAAGCTCTTATGTGGGTTAAAAACATTACCGATTTTGGGAGATTTTGCAATCTAAACATTCCTTGTCTCAGAATAAATATTACTGTAATCTTTATGAGTTCCTCAAGCGAAGAATTCACGCATCAGTAGGAAAACTTGAAAACAGATGTTTCTGTTGGTATCCGGCGGCCATATTCAGGGACACCAACATGGAATTTCCATACAAAGCTTTATAAATTTAGGTTAACCGTTTTTCCCAATATCTCGCATTTGAAATATTTCACAGAACTGATTCTTGGCAAGGGTTTTTGTATAATCATCTTTTCTCATTTCCCAGATTCTAGTCCTTCTGTATTGAATGGTTTGCATTTTGATTTTTCATTGCGTGACAGTGCAAGCCGAGAATAGGACTGTTGTTGTTGACAGTGACTGACGTTTCGACAACCCGTGAGGTAGTCATCTTCAGAGTCAAAGTGAGTTGTATCACGTTGTAATGATCATATAATACTCTGGTTATTTACCTGATTGGTCAATTACGTTGCGATGATATTGGTCGTCCGTCAGTAAAGCCATGATGAGACCCTTTCTCGCAATTTCGAGTTTAAACAGAGAGCTTTTGCGCCTGCACGAAAACCATACAGGATAGGGCTTCTGTTCACACATGAGAAGGGTGATTTTGGCGCGATTTCCGTAACGGATTTCTGTAACCTTGCGCTCTTCGTGACTGGTCAGTGACCTATCACGGCTTAACTGACAGACGACCAATAACATCACGACTTAGTTGACCAATCAGGTCAATAACCAGAGTATAATACCATCAACTGACGTGATACAACTCACTTTGACTCTGAAGATGATTAACGCACAGGTTGTCGCTGTCAGTCATTGTCAACAACAACAGTCCTATTCAGAAGTACGTTCACCCGGACGATCAAACTCAACCTAATTTTGAAATGACTCCTGGGTTCAAGACTTTCACATTATCATTATCGTTGTCATGGTCATCGTCATGGTCATGGTCATTGTTATCATTATCAACTTCTTCGTCGTCACCGTCATCGTTATCATTATCGTCTTCTTCGTCGTCATCGTCATCGTTATCATTATCAACTTCTTTGTCGTCATCGTCATCGTTATCATTATCGTCTTCTTCGTCGTCATCGTCATCGTTATCATTATCAACTTCTTCGTCGTCATCGTCATCGTCATCGTCATCGTTATCATTATCGTCTTCTTCGTCGTCATCGTCATCGTCATCGTTATCATTATCAACTTCTTCGTTGTCATCGTCATCGTCATCGTCATCGTTATCATTATCGTCTTCTTCGTCGTCATCGTCATCATTATCATTATCATCTTCTTCGTCGTCATCGTCATCGTTATCGTTCTCGTCTTCTTCGTCGTCATCGTCATCGTTTTCATTATCAACTTCTTCGTCGTCATCGTCATCGTCATCGTTATCATTATCGTCTTCTTCGTCGTCATCGTCGTCATCATCGTTATCATTATCGTCTTCTTCCTCGTCATCTTCATCGTCGTCTTTGTCAATATTATTTTCCCTTTCATAATCATTATCATTACCATTTAAATCATTATCTTTGTCATTGTCAGTATCAATTATTGTCATTATCATTACTTTTACAACAACTGAACGTTTTTTTTTTCTTCGCGCTAATAGTTCAGTCACTTTGGCCCTTGAGGGTAAATTAGACCGCAGCAATGACGCGGGTGTTGATTTTGCAATTCTTAGTTCCTTGGCGGCAATTTCCAAAACACTTTACTTACTTTATGTAGGCAGTGGAGAATTGTTTTTGTATTACTTTAAAAAGATAGCAATGAGCCGCAGTAAAATAAAGACTTGCTTTGTGTGCAACAACCACAACAACAACAAACAAAAAACAAAACAAAACAACAACAACGACAACAATAGCCCAGAACGTAACTATGATGCTTTCTCTGTTTTGAATTGGGGGCTATTTGTTTTAGGTCTATGTAAAATTTATAGTTTCTTAAAAGGAGAATAATTTTATGAAGAGATCTGTCACACTACACTCCTATCATGGGCTTTCACTTGTCTCTCACCGTATAAGTATTGTATGCCAGCGATATCATCAGAATGGAGTTTCATGTCTGGAACATAACCTGTGTAGTAAGGGTACATCACAGCGTGGCGGACGTTTGAATGAGCAAGGCCTAAAGAATGTCCAAACTCGTGTACTGCAACCCACAAGAGATTGGTGCCAGACGGAGTATTGTGGGTGAATGTTTCGTCTTCATCAAAATGGGCTCTTCCGTCTTGAGGGTAATACGCATGTGCTAACACACCACCAGGTCCGTTGAATGGATGCCAGCAAGTGTATTCCGCATCTGTACCGCTGTGTCTGTAGCTTCCAAAACTGAGAATACGAGTTTGTATTGATTAGAAGGGCACACACATGACCAGTGAGTGCACATTTCCCTGGCAGAATAAAAAAATCCACCCTGCTTCTTTATTTTACTAGCTTTGCAGTACAATTAAGGTGGCTGAACAAAGTTTTGTGGGCGGTCAGTGGCAACTCGCGTGACGGCGCATGTTTTAAATTAGACAAACAAACATGGTGGCGAAAAAAGCAATGGTACACAGAAGGCGATTTCTCAAAATCTACTCATTAAAAGTTTGATGTTTAATTTGGCAGAAGTTTTACTTTTATCGTATTTTAAATAATGAGAACTTTAAAATGAAAGTTGAACAGACGAATTTTGTGACACATTTAATAATTACAGTACCATTATATTATTGATTATCTAAAAACCTGTCTGTTAAAATTTGGTCAAATAAGTTTCAAATGGTAATAATTAATTATAGTAAGCTGCGTGCAAGTTTATAGGAAAATCTAATGAGCGAATTTTATGTAAACTGAACAAAAGTGAAATTTTAAGGTTGTACTCAATCGTTTATGTTGGCATGGAAACTACGAAAACGTCAAATTTTACTTGTCAATCAAAATCTTTTTGTCAGCATATTTTTCACTTGCCAAGTTTCAGTTTGTGAGCTGGAACCTTTCTCTTGCCACGATTTGGCAAATCACACATACTCACAAACTGCCAAAACTGTGTTTAGCCACCTTAATAATATAGAAGCTCATACCTAACTACTGAAAAATATACACTGACAACAACATACAACTAACTCACCAGGGGAATAGCCACTTAGCGTTTACAGTGTATGTATGGCTTCTTAGTTAATGTTGTTTAGCACCTTGTAGGGATATTTCTTTCTGTGTAATCATTTTGAAAAGGTATTTTACCTGATTTTAATGTCAGCACTTCTCGCACTGCTAACTTTATTAAAAGTTAGTCCAGACACATCAGCCCAGAACTGCAAGGCGTCGCCAAATATCTTCCTTTGCAAATCCTGCGCACGAATTTATGAGAACAATGTTAAGTCACAGATTCGAGGTCACAGGCTCGTCAATTTTTGCACCATATGATCAATACATCCCTTACTATGGATCAATATAACTTTACGTAGAAACAACCATTGCAAAATCCTTTAATATGTCGGCTATCGGTAGCCCTTGCTTCCATTAGCATTAATTTAATGACTTTTGTATATGAACAGATTCGCCCATGCAAGGTAATCGGGAAAATTTTTGCTTGTGCAATCCGGAATCCCACTAACGATTAGAATTCAGAATCCAAGTTCCACTGACAAAGTCTGGTGTCCAGTACATGGAATCTGGAATCCACGGCTTGGAAGTCAGAATCCAATGTCTTGCATTCCATCGCATGGGGCAAACAGAACGTCTCGTGCCTTCGCTCTTGGCAAGTAATTGCTAATTTTCGAATGCTACTTGCTTGCATGTGTCTTCCAAACAGACGCCTAGTTATATTTGCAAACAATAATGATGGTGATTAGATAATCATGACACTAAAGATGATGATATCGAATGGCCTATATAAGTGCCCATATCTCTTATGTTCAATGTTTACTATGGTTTTCTATACTCACTTCAGGTAGGTCTTGCCCTGGCTGCACGAAATATGTCAAATGAGTCTTTGACCATTTACCTCCAGTAACGTATCTTCGGAAGCGACCTCCTTCACTTACATCAGGAACACCACATCGAGGCTTTTTCATAAGATTAACAGTTGAAGAGTCCAAAATACCCCTGATTTTTAGACCAAAGAATTCCTGAAACTTGCGGATAGCTATCGAGAAATCGTGGTTGCCACTACGCGAGGATGATATGTATCCATATTGAGTGAGGAAATTCTGACATATAAAAAGAAAAAAAGAAAAAAAAACACCTCTCTAATGCTATCTTGATACGAATTCTATAGTACATTTTGATTTTAAAATACTTTTTTCAATTTTTTTAGTTAGCCTTTAAGAGGACTAGTATTTAAAGTGAAGCTGGCTCCCTCATTAAGGATTAAAACCATGACATTCAATAAAAGTTAATTTCAATGGCTACGAAATCCTTTCTCATTACTTAAGCTGATCAGCATATACTGTTAACATAATATATGCAATGGAATTTGTACTCAGCTCCGGCTTATAGCGTGTTCCGTTTTGGTATCTAGCATTAAAAATACAAACCTATTGCTAAATTGTTACACAGAATTTCACAAGCCGTTCAGTAATAGAAATATCCATAAAAATATTTGCAGCAAAATTGACCTTGAAATTTTCAACATCTTTTTATGGAAGTTAGAGGACTACATCAACATGGATTAGTTTCAATAAATGAAAGCAGCTTTTTCTTTTCAATAATATCCGTCTTTTTGACCTTCCATTCCTTACCAAAGCCAAAGATTTGTCACTTTCACAATGACCAGCACCGAAAGTAAATGCCACAAGGACAACCACAGCAAGACCTTCCATGATGACATGTATTCAAGTCTTCACCGCAAAAGAAACCTCTTGGTATTCAAAATCTTCCACTAATAGACTCTCTTACTCTTCCTCTCTTTCAATCAAAAAGCAACAAAGTCTGTGTCAACAGTGTAGTATGCTGCATTTACATCAAAATAGTTTTATTTTTATTTTTATTTTTTTTTTTTCCACGAAGTATTGTACCCTAGATTTGCATTGTCCATCTAAGAACTCGTAGTATTTGTTCTTTTATTCGAGTATTGAAATAAAAAGCTCCGGATGACATTATCTTCAGCATTTAACTATAACACCAAGTTGTCCTTATGGTCCAGGTGAATAACCTCAGTGTTAAATCTGCTCCAGCTATTAGTGCAGCTAAACAAGTCATGAGGATTGTAATTATCATGGTAATAAGTCACATAACGTGGTTAAGGAAACCTCTAATTCCCGGAATTTTCTCCTTTTTTATATGCTTGGTATCATTTTTTTAGGTATGAGCTTAAAAATTGTTGAATTAACATAAGTGATTTTACTCTTGAGTATATTCAAAAGAAATATCCCTATTCATCCATATTTGAAACTTTGAGACAGACGTGATAGATTCTCACTTGCAAACAAGAAAATTGCCAAACCAACAACAACAACAAAATGCTTTACGAAAGCTATTTGTTGTAGCCTTAGAAGATGTGAATGACCTTGCAACTACGCTGTCATATAAAACCATAGTCGTACTCGGGAACGCCAAATTTTTGACGAAATTTATTGACCGGTTACCAAATTATCATCATATTTCTAGGGATAGATCAAATATTTACAAATCGCCTCATCGCATGCGCATATCTCAGAGTAATCTTTGGGTACATTTTCAAAAAGAACGAAACTAAAGCGTCTGTTTTCTTTTTTACATATCAGCCAATTATCAAGGTTGTTCAGTTTTTACCTTAATTGTGGCCCGGAAATCGCTGTGACGTCCTCATAGAGTTTGTTCACTCTTTGATATAGGTTTTAGAGGACAATTAACCGTGAATAATTCTGGGGAAAAAAAAGAACCACAAGATGAATTGCCATGACGTTGTAACGTTGTTATGAGAGCTTCCCAATCGGGGATTTTTTAAAAATATTTTATCATCTTTTTCGCTCGATGCTGCTGGCTTGACTTTCTTAATGATGTTATGTTGGTGGTGATGTAGTCAATGCCTATTAAACTTCGGACGTATATATTGCTCTCCCTAAACTTATGTCGAACAGACAACCTTCTTTATTCCTAAATTGATTTAACAATGCATTCCACCCACAATCTGCTCGAATTTCTTTCAAATGGCTAAAAGAAAGACCTTCCATTCAGTTTTCGTCGGGTGCCGACGTTGCTATGGCTAGAAGATACCACGCTTTCATAAAAAGACTGACTTCAACATATTTTAGCTCGCGAGATTAGAAAGTGCTTAGTTTTTGATTAAAAGTTTTTAAAACAGCAGGATCGATATGAACATTTACGGACAAATTTAAATTTAAATGTTTTAATCCCTCGAAACAACAGACCTAGCGGCTTTTATCCATAATTTGATTAGCTGATCTTAGCTGTTCAAATGTCGAGAACAGTTGACAAAATACGCATTTGAAATAAACAAAAAATTATTGTTTGTCCGAAATAAATTCAGGGAATGAAGCGTTACTTTGAATGTGGACCGCAGGCGTTGCCATCATTCACTTATCTGTTTCAAAAATAAGGGGAGGAATTTAGTCGAGAATTTATTATAAACAAAAATACTGAATTAATCGAAAATTGCATTGCTGAAGCGAAAGTTGTACCGGGGAAAGTGTTTACAGCACAGTTGTAGTAATTGAAGAAATTGTGTATTCCCTATGTCCTTTTTTGGTTTTATTTTTACTTTCTCTTTTTTAGAAAGAAGAAAACGCGGTATGAAACTTAAGTTAACTTTTTTTTATAATATTTTAATATTTTAATCAGTGATGGCTCAGCCAAAAGCTCATGCCAATGTTCATCTGCAAGATCAAGGACTAAAGCAAACCTGGAGTTTATCAATTGAAAGTCAAGAAAACGCTGCGTTTTTATTGTTATTGTTATATAAATTATGTGATGAAGAATGTGTTAGCCATACGAGATGAAGCTTACATGTACATCAAGATGTGGAGGGACACCTAAAGTCAGAAAAGTCCAGTTTCGAGTTCGCTATGACCGCTGAATTAAAGACGTGAAGACGCATTTTTTACAGGCTTAGCCTCCATTTGAAGTAATAAATTCACAAATTCCAACGAGAAAAAGGCCTGTTTATTACTCTGTCTATTGTTTTTTATTCAAATTTCAAACACTAACTTGCGGGAATTTCTGAATATTTTACTTTATGTCGAGGTTAACCCTGTATGAATGTGTCCTAAATGTTTGTATTCAGTGGTAATTTTTAATTCGAAACTGAACTATTACGGCAGATATAGATTCTGAAATGTGGTGTTAAATAAACCTTTAACGGCTGAAAATGACACAAAAATGCATTTTACTTTAGTACGTTGCTTCTCATTTATTCATCTTCAATTTGCGTTATATACTTGAGAAAGTGGATAAACTTTATTTAATTTAATTTTTATGCTACATTATATATTCCAACTGAAAGTAATTTGTGAATTTTACTTCCAACGGCATACTGCATGCTTCCCAGTCTTCTACCTTCAGTCTGTAAGTTGCTCGTTACCTATCAACAATAATTGAAACAATCATTTTAGTAAAAGCATTAAAAATTCTGATTTTTCTACACAAAATAATAACAGTTAGGTATAATCGACGGATCAAAATAAACCTATAGTATTTTGTAATTGAAATGACGCCGCTCACTTCAATTTAGTAATTGTGGAATACCTTTTCGGTTAAACATGAAAGTTAAAAATGCAGCTTTGATGGCATCAATTTACTACTACAACCAGAATCCTTAGCTTTTGCTTTATTGTACAAACTAGGGCTGATGTTATTCAAAACTTTCTGGCATAACCAGAATTATAAAGAGAAACGAAATGGTCTGGTATAGTTATGGAAAGTGCACTTTGAAATAAATATGGGATTTGAGCTTCTAAAATTTCATCGACCTAAATACTGACTTGAGATTATCTGGATTCAATGCCAGATTCAAAATAAGGGATCAAAATCACTATTCCTCGCCTCCTTCTATCGACCCAGTAAGAATGATATGCATACTGTGGTCTACAAGAACTCGAATTATCTTTGTTCAAACTGGGTGATAGATTGAATTCAAACAACGTAATTGTGGCGGGAGACTTTAATGCTCCAGATCTGAAATGGAAATTAGGATGGTAGGGGCGAAAATATTAAATATACTAGTTTCAATGTTGTATCATATGTAGAAATGAAATAAATGAACAAATAAATAAATTTCACGAAGAAGCAGGGTGATGTCCTCATGGACTATAAGAGTGCTTAATAATTGACCTAGAGCAGACTACAAGTAGACTGATGGAACTGGATTAGATTTTGAATATTTATTGTTACTCAGAGTTTCATACCTCTTGCGAAGCAATCAGCAGGCAACCTGGACCGAAAAGTTCAAAGCTGGGTTAAGATCTGAACCTAGGTTTAGTGCGAGATTTGAATTCAGATTTGAAAGCTTAAAAAGAATTTCACTTTAATTCATTTTGTCTACAAGTTGACAATTGCAAGCTTTAAAAATAATAGAGAAATTTATCCGAGAAAATGCTTTTGAACAATAGAAAAATAAACCCTTGTAAACTTTAACTCCGAGTTAAGCGCTAATCGACCTTCGAACAACTAGGCCCTGATAATTGCACGATGATTGCTTCGCAGGAGGTATGGACTCTCTGAGTAGCAACAAATATTCAATATTTAATCCAATTCCATCAGTCTACTTGAAAATAAATAAATAAATAAATGTCCGTCGTGGAAAAATTGAAAAAGTCAATGACTATATTTTATACTGAAACGAGGGTTTATATACATTTCCGGTCCGGGATAAGGCGATTAACAAAGTAACAAACAAACAAAAAAACAGGCAAACAAAAGCAGCATCATCAACAGCAACAATGTAAAAACAACGTGACAACATGAGCAACAACAACAACAACAACAACAACAAAAATGTCAGGATTGGTTGGGTCTCAGGCGGGATTAAAAATACGCTTTAGAAACCCTAAATAGACAAACTTACAATTGTAACATGTCTTAGGACACCAGTGAATTAATGCCTCTTCATGATCAGGATGAGTGCAAAAACCCGCTTCCTTCCATCCCTGGCATTTTGAAGATGACGAAAGGTCGTAGCAGGTTTCTAATGCGAGAGGAAAGCAAATGTAGGAACATCTGGCAAAACTACACACGGTGGTCATGTGACATAAAAAACGCTCACCTTTATTTATCTTCTCTAGTTTTAACGCAATACACTTGAAATTGTGCAACAATATAGAACTAAAAAAAAACGTTATTATGTTTTATGTTTTTCAGATTTTGGCATTTTTGGCGGGAAAATGACGTCAGAAAGTTCTCGCCAAATTTTGTTTTCATTATTTTAGGATATCTAATGATAATTTCTGAGAGAACTCACCACAAGGATGTCAAAAGTGAAAAAAATTTTGAAATATGCCTAGCGACTCAAAAGATATAACAGCGTTTTGAAATTTTGTTCACTTGCACTCAACCACGTAAAAGAAAAGGCCCTTCACCCGTTCTTAAGTTACAACAGCGAGGTATGGGGAATGTACACCAAGCAAGATTTAAAAAAATGGGATAGTTCCCCAATAGAAAAAATTCGCCTCAAAGTTTGTAAACGCTACTTAGAAGTGAACAATAAGGGCTCGAATATAGCTTGCAGAGCTGAACTTGGAAGATTACCGCCGCTTATCCTGATAAATATAAAAATTATGAAAGATTTTGTTTGTTTAAACAACAAACTAAGATAATGACTCTATAGTGAAAATTCTACATTCTATGAATAATTCCGGATATTAGTCCAATTTCATAAACATATTTGAGCAAAACAATCTAACCAGTTTAGATACACAATCTTTAGATGATGATAAAATTAGACGATATACCAAAGAAATGAAAGAGAAATATTTATCTTTTGGGCAGCACAGCCTTGGACATTAAAAATTAGAATTTTAGAAAAACTTTTAAAGATGAATATTTTACATTTAAGCAATAGAAAACGTTTTCCGTGTTTGCATAGCCTGATATAAACACGAGAGGGGTTGGGAGAATTCTAGACAGTTATCCAAACCCGAGAGGAAAGTCGAGAGTTTGCATAACTGTCGAGAATTCTGCCAATCCCTCGATTGTTTATATCAGGCTATGGAAACACAGGAAAAAAGTTTTCTATTGCTTTTATAAAATAACTCTCCCGAGAAAAAACGCAAACTCTTTGTTACGGTCCTGATTAAAAGGGAAAGTCTTACCGGTCGCAAAGTCTTATACTCAAAGTCTTGCACGCGTAATCAGTTCTTGTTTTGCAAAAAGACGCTTTCCTGAAACTACGGATTTTTCTCCCTTAAAATGTAAGCTTAAGCAAAAAAAAGATTGACACACCTTCTTTGTAACGACTTTCCAATTGAAGGAATGGGTAAATAAAGTAAACTTGTGGAGTTTTGAACTTGAAAACTTTTTCAAATTTGTGCTTGCGTGATAAGCGCGCGAAAAGCAAAACCTCAGTGACGCCACAACCATGTTTACATACTCTCATGCAAACACTCCTCTCGACCAATCAGAGCGCGTGTACTATCTTAGTTATTTTACAACTGATTTTCTCTACCAGCTAAGACATTATGATGGATGACAAAATGTTGTTAAGTTTAAAATATGCAATAAGAAACTTCTGATTGAAAAGGGTCAATACCAAATAGATCATTTACCAAGAGAAAATTGATTATGCCCCTTATGTAAGTCGAATCATGTAGAAAATGAGATTCATTTCTTCTTTTAATGTAATAAACACCTTATCATGTAAATAAGATGGGTATGAAGTTTACTTCCTCCTGTATGAAAATACGTGATTCATTGTTAGTAATGTAGCTTAGTTTTCAGTCATGGCGGCCACCCGTTTGTTTGTTCTGCATATTTTTTTTGTGTTTTTTGTGTTGTTATGAATTTTTGTTAGTGTTAATTATTAATCTTGTCAATAAATGCAGCGTATTAGTATATACATGTATATAACAGCTTGTAAAGTATCCCACAATTCAGTCTTTCGAGTGCAAAAGGGACAATAAACCAGTGATTTGATTTACTACTACTGCTACTGCTACTGCTACTGCTTCTGCTACTGCTACTACTACTGCTACTACTACTGTTACTGCTACTACTACTGCTACTGCTACTACTACTACTACTACTACTACTACTACTACTACTACTACTACTACTACTACTACTACTACTACTACTACTACTACTACGACTACGACTACGACTACGACTACGACTACGACTGCTACTGCTACTGCTACTGCGTAGTAGTAGTAGTAGTAGTACTACTACTACTACTACTACTACTACTACTACTACTACTACTACTACTACTACTACTACTACTACTTCTATTTCTGCAGATTAGTGCTATTGCTACTACTAGATTTATTTACCCATGGTGCTCCGCTGGCGTGCTTCGCGCGCGGAGCTCCGCTAATATTGACTTACCTGAACTCGTAGTAGTCGAAGATGGAGAGTCGGTAGTCTGGGTAGCAGTTGAAGTTTGTTCTCTGCCCTCACCTTCGGGGCTGGGACCTGACACAATTTTATTTAATTAATTATATCCTGTGTCCAAAGATAACTCAGAATAGGGATAAACCAATAAAAAGTTAAAGTGAGATAACTGCTATTTGGGTTGGGTAAAAAGGGTAAAAGAATTTCATTAAGGAATTAACAGTAAATACACAAACTTACAGTTGTAACATGTTTTAGGGCACCAGTATATTAGTGAACTCATATGGTCAGGATTATTACAAAAACCAGCTTCCTTCCATCCATGACAGTCTGAGGAGGATGTACGGTCATTGCAGTTCCCTTCAGAACAAAAAGTATGCATTGGGCTTCTATAGTCCTTTCACTGCCAGAGTGAATAATGGAGTTTTGTAAGGTAGCTCTAACTTTTGCGTCTGTGAACGAAATCCTATGGGGTGACCATTCAAATGAAACCTGTCTATCTCTACTTTCACGTGGCGATACTTGTTTTTCAGAATTTTGCAAAATAAAATTCGGGATTTTTTGTCGAATTTTGCCTTTGGCCACATTTAGCCGTGAAAGGGCCGTTCAGTTATACAAAAGTGACAAAAATAAACCATAAGCAATAACATCAAACGAAAACAAAATGGCACAAGTACAGAGTACCTATTTGTTTTCCCACACTTTTCAACACAATATTTTCTAGAAAAACGCTTAACAGTTTCTTTCTCCTTAATTACAGAAATAGGGATGGCAATCATTTCAGAGCAACTTCCATCTTATCCTGCTTTGCCTTTTTTCAGCTATCAATCCCTATCATGCTTTACTTCAAAGCTTTGATTTGTAAACGGACACGTACGGATACCAAGATTATTAGTTGTAACAAAAACAAAAGAAACAAATAAATAGATACACACTCAACACACACATACAAAAAAAAAAGAACAAAATGGTAGTTTCTAAACATCAAAACCAGTGTATACTTTGTTTAACAAATAGTGTCAAATAACAGAGCTAAACAAAAGAATACAATTGAATTCAAGGGCGTAGTATTCCACTACCTATTTCACGGGTCAAATAATATCACTTTATTGCAAATAAACGAAATACCGAGGCGAGCAGGAAAAAACAGTTAATGACTTTGTAGGCTGTATATGGAAGTACCCTATTTCAGCTGGTGTGCTGATTAAAGAAGTTTTATTGAGTTGACAAACAATAACAAAACAATCCAAAAGAAGCAAATTAACAATGGAAAAAAAATTAACAAACAAACAAACAAAATATACAAAGAAACTTGATACATTCAATCTCATTCAATTTTCAGTTCATCAAAACATAGGGAAACGAGGAAGTTTAAGTTCATAAACAGTTTGTACTTAAAAGTCCTCCTTCTTAAACAAAGTGGATCTTTAATTTTTGGGTTTATTTCATTTCAATATGGTTTTCAGGTTATGAAAACGTTTATAAACGTGTAAAATAGGCTCTTGAATTAAATCAACTTACCAGGGCCCTCAGTTGTCGGAGGAACGGGGGTGGAAGCCTGGGTAGGAGTCAAAGTATGTACTTCACCACCGCCTTCGGTGTTGGGACCTAAAACCATAAAAAATAGTTTGACAACAAACATAACTCACAAAGAATAAGATCTAATAACGATAGCTCAATCCAAGGAGTCATGATCTGTACGCTTCTTTTGGTACTGTGAACAAGTAAGAGTTCAACTGGAAATTGAGGGATAGTAATAAACCAGCCACATCTCGCCGGAATTAGCGCCATTATATTTCTGTCATACATACACACACAAAAACAAAAATTAATAAAAGCTTTGTCAATTGTTTTGCTTTATTCTTTTTTTTTTGCAATTTGCATTTTGTTTTTCTTCAGTTTAGTACATTATAAATAAATGTGTTACTGAAGAGGAGAAGGGGCACATGCACCTAGGTTAACTTATATTCTGCCCTTACTACTATTGTTTTTATGATAAGGCAAAAAAAGTTAACTTTATCATCTAAAGGGAACAATTACGATTGAAAGTCATATTCTTCCACTTTTTTTTCCTTTCTCACTAGACATTGGTCACTAGTTTATTCCTCTCCTCAACTCACGAAGTTATCCCTTAGATTCCCCTCATTAAATCCTAAAAACGTACGTTACAACTCTTTACTAGCGGACTGCGACAGCCCTGACATGAAAATTACATACTCCTCACCGTATAAGGATTGTATGCCTGCAACATCATCAGAATGGAGTTTCATGTCCGGGACATAACCTGTGTAATAAGGATACATGACGGCACCTCGGACGTTTGAATGTCGAAGGCCCAGAGAATGTCCAAACTCGTGCACCGCGACCCACAGGAGATTAGTTCCAGATGAGGTATTATGGGTAAATGTTTCGTCTTCATCAAAATGGGCCCTTCCGTCTTGAGGGTAATACGCATGCGCCAACACACCTCCAGGTCCGTTAAAAGGATATGGACAAGTTCCCTCCACAGTTGTGCCGTTATGACTGTATCGTCCAAAACTGAAACGAAATTTTTAATTTTATGGTTTGGGGAGAGGCGATGGCGCATTGACTGAATTTCAAGTTGTCGAGAAGGCTTGTCCAGTTGCAAGCTAGCAAGATGTTTGTAATTCCAAAAAATTGTGTAGTCGACGCGTCGGGAATTTTGAGATTTTTTTGATCACGGGGTCTCTGATGTGGTTTAACCGTTAGCCGTAAAACTGCTAAATGGAAATGTTCAACAGTTAGTTGTAAAAGTGAACTGTAAAAAAGTTATTCTACAATGCAGTTGCAAAAGTACTTGAGAAACTGAACCATAATTTGGTTCAAATGGCCTGTCCATGATCTTGTGCTTGTGACCCCCCTCCACCCCATATTAAAGTTGCTAGCAATACAAGGCCATGCTAAAAAATTGGATGAACAACTTTGAATGGGAGGGAGGAGGGAGGTCAGTATTGTATCTCAGAGACCTGTAACTAGCAGCAAGAAAGGTCACTTTTTTCGAGTGTCTCAACATTTTTCAAACTGGTTGTAGCCGCAATTCGTTTGCTGTGAGAGTGGTCAACGCGGTTTCAGCTATTATTATTCTCCGGGATTTTTTTTTGTCTAAACAATCCATTTTTCTTCTTCATATGCCTGTCAAACCTAACAGAAATAAATAAATCTTAAGCCCTAGAAAAGCTAAAGTATTTACCTTAACCTTGATTTTTCCATTATATTGAGATTCTCAAATATCTGCATGAAATTTGGATGGAATAATGGCTACCCTCAGCTTTATTGAATTAATTCTAGCGTATACACCAGACTCACCTGATTTTAATGTCGGCATTCCTCGCAATGCTAACTTCATTAAAAGTCAGTCCAGACACATCAGCCCAAAACTGAAGTGCGTCACCAAATATCTTTCTCTGCTGATCCTGTGATCTCGTGGAGGAAAAAGAAAGCTTGATTAAGAATGATAGCGATAACCATAACGATAAAGATAGTCGTAATGGTAGTCGTAATGAGAATGAAAAAGAGACGGAAAATGGGAATGAAAATAGGAGTAAGAAAGAAAATGAACAATGAGCATGAGAATGAGAACGTCCAACATTAATAACAAAGACAACAAACGAAAACAAAAACAAAAAACACGAAAAAAAAAAAAATAGAAAAAATACATCATCACCAAGAACAACGGGAACATCATTCGGGCTTGATTTTAGGCCTACTGAGGTAAATTAAAAAAAAATAAAATAAAATAAAAAAATACACTGCGTTTGTAACTCACATGAGGCAAATCTTGACCAGGCTGTACGAAATAGTTCAAATTCTTCTTTGACCATTTACCTAGTGTAGCATATCTTTGCATACGCACTCCTTCGTTTGCGTCAGGTACACCACAACGTGGCTTTTTCATAAGATTAACAGTGGAAGCATCTAAAATACCGCTGACCCTCAGGCCGAAGTATTCCTGAAACATGCGGATGGCAGTCGAGACATCGTGGTTTCCACTTCGCGAAAATGATACGTACCCATATTCATTAAGAAATTTCTGAGAAAAAAAAATGATAATAACAATGAAATAATTGCACAGGAGTCAAAGTCATAAACTTCATACTCAGTTCACTGTATGGCCTTTGGACGTGATGGTGTAATAACCGTCTCGAACATCAGTTAATTGTTTTTGTAGATTCAAAACTGAGGTATCCATAAAAGCTCATTGTTCTCCTCAAGAGATATTTCCTCGAATAATTCGCTTAACGTAGAAAGGTTTTGAAGATAAAGAACCGCCACAGCTCGCCCCGAGTTATCTTTTTAACACTAAGCAATTTCTAACCAAACTGGTAAGTACATGTAGTAGTAAATTTTTAAAAAAGGAGTTCATTAAACCCCGTTTAAACAGGTGTGTAAAACTTGTACCGATCCTCCTTTCCTTTACAAGGGAGTCCAGCCAAGCCGTGCAAGTTTTTAAACTATACAAACAGTACTGCAATCTGCAGCAGACCTTGCGCGGTTCAGTTTGTAAACGGGTTGTACAGGTCGAAAAAAAAAAAAAAAAAAAAAAAATTCCGGACCCGTGTATACAAAGTCTTAAATAAAAGTTCTTTTTGACAATTCATCGATCTTACCAAAGCGATAGTCTGGTCGTCTTCACAATTCCCAAGGCTACAAAGTAATGCCCAAAGGCTAACCACACAAAGAACTTTCATAACGACTTCTTTTCTACAGTGCGATAACATAAAATAGGATTGCCACTTAACCCGCTATTTTACACTTATTTATACTTTCCATACGTAATAATAGAGAAAAGAAGCATCCGAAACCTGTGTCAACAGAGCTTTGTGCGAAGTTTACAATTGAAAGATTTAATATCTTTTTCTGTTCATTCTACTCTAATTCAATTTGACCTCATGTGTTTATACTGCTACTCCTGTAGCTAAACAAATTCTGATCCTACCACTTGAAATATTAAGCTTATATATTTTTTTGTGGACATTTGCATCTTTGAACGTGATGTTGACCAGGGATACACTAGAAATCTTGGCTAAATCACCTGAGCTTCTCTTTGATTATTTTCAATCGATCTGTAAAAAAAATATAGACAGATAGATAGATAAATAGATAGATAGATAGATAGATAGATAAAAATAAAATAAAAATAAATAGATCTTTTGCAATAGTAAAATCCAACAAGTGGTCTATTATCAATGCTGCGTTCTGATTGGTTGAGCTACTACTAGGCTGTAAGTTATAGCCCGCTAGTAGCGAAAAGCGCCAGCTTTGACAACCAAAACAATGGCGGGTGAATCGCGTTTTGCTAGCTAACGTTGTTTCGTCTGGATATTTTTGACCAACCAGTTGTATTTAACTAAAACAGTTATTCCTCTAGGATGGGCTCCTGTTCCTCTCGCCCTCTTGGGCTCTGAGTCAATAGCCCATGAGGCCGAAGGCCTCATGGGCTATTGACTCAGAGCCCATTCGGCATCGAGGAATAATTGTTAAATATTATTTATATCAAGGCATGAGTTCAAAACAGGGCCCAACTCTGCGCGAGCTCTGCTTACATTTCCGGTTACGTACTTTCCGATAAGGAAAACATGCAATTAAAATATAAACAAACAACTGTGGCCACGGTTGTGGCAGGTTTAATGAACTCAAAGCTAACAGAATAAAACACATCGATATATGTAAACCGATTAACCTACTGAAGGTTGCATTTTAAGCCCTCTGCTCTTTAACTTATACCTTAACGATCTAGCGTTCTCATTTGACAATGTTTTATCAGACCCCTTCGTGTTACCAAATGGCACCAGACTCAACTCTCTCCTTTACGCAGATGACTTGATAATATTATCGCGATCCAAACTTGGTCTACAAAACTGCCTTAACGTACTATCTTCATATTGCAACTCATGGATGCTTAGAATAAATCCTAAGAAAACCAAAATAATGATATTTTAACGATGCACTCGAAAATGTGAACATAACTTCCACATAGGCAATGAAGTGATCGACGTTGTCCAAAACTGTACTTACTTAGGAACTCGCATTACATCTTCCGGAAATTTTACACTTTCGCTTGAACATCTCCGACAAAAAGCTCTTCACGCGCTCTTCAGCCTCAGGCGGAACACGGATTTGAATAGTCTTAAGCCCTCACTTGCGTGTAAAATTTTTGACTCTATGATTTCACCAATTCTAACCTACAACAGTGAAGTTTGGGGTGCTTTTGTTAAATCAGATTTAAGTCCTGGGACAGCTCTGCAATTGAAAAAACCCATTTGCAATTCTGTAAACGTTATTTACAAGTACATAACAAGGCATCCAACATTGCTTGTAGAGCTGAACTCGGTAAATTTCCCATGATCATTGATATAAATAAAAAGATTCTAAATTACTTAGACTATCTGAGAGGTAAAGATGAAGATTCTATAGTTAAACAGGCCTTACAAATTTCAATTGACCTTCATCATAACGGAAAAACTAGCTTTTACTCTAATCTCATGAAAATGGTTGACTACTATGATCTAAACTATGACTTTTCCTGTAATTCACTGAGTGACTCAATAGTTAATAGGTATATCGGCATAATGAAAAATAAATACGTCTCTTACTGGAATCAGACCCTTCAACAATCACAAAAACTCAGTTTTTATTGTACAATCAAAGACGACTATAGCCCCTCGCCGTACCTAGTTTTAACAAGAAAAAACCCTTCGAGAAAAGCATTAGCTAGATTTAGAATAAGTAGTCATCAACTTAGAATTGAAACAGGTAGACACGAAAACATTCCTCGCAATGAAAGGATATGTCACTTTTGTACAAGTAACAAAATCGAAGATGAAAATCATTTCTTACTAGATTGTAAGGCTTATTATCAGATCAGAGACATATTTTTCTCCAAACTAGAAACTAAAATACCTGACTTCAAATCACTTTCACACGATACTTTAATATCTCTTCTTATGAATTCTTCTGATTATTTAATTAACTGTCAATTAGTTTCATTTATCTCGCAATGCTTTGAATTAAGAACCAAATTAATATCAATGAATGAATGAATGAGAACTGTAACGTTTTGTAATGTTTTGCACGTACTAATTAGTTCAGTGAATTAGTACTTAAATTTAGACTAATAGCTTTTGCAATACTGTAATTCCTTTATGGTCATGCAAATAAAGCTTTTGGTGTTGTTGTTGTTGAATAAAAAATGGGGCGACAAAAAATCCGCCACAAACTACACAACTAAATAAGAAAAGGAAAAAAGAAGAAATAGGAAATACCGTGAACAATAATAACCCGCAGGCAGGTGAAAGGGTAGGAGGAGGGAAAAATTTTGCTCGAGATCTGACCGAGTTGATGACGAGGGAGAGAAGGAAGAATTACTGGGTAAATACCTGAATATACTTACTTAACCCTGGCACCGCCCTGTAACCTCATTGGCTAGATTTGCAGTACCTGGTACAGCTTGACCTAGCGAGTCATGTGAGTATCATGCCTTGCCATAAATTACATTATGTCTGCCATAATGTCTAGTTTTATCTTGGAGAGGCAGGAGAGGCAATAGTCATTCTCATCACAGTCTAGATGGTACATGTATGGGTAATCGTTAAATGGGTGATAGGTCTCAAGAGAAATTAGCGAGGCTGAAATGAATGATGAAATGCCCTGCTAAAAATAGTTTCGAATTTGAAAAGACAATTTTACCTAATTACCGGTAGTTGGGGCCCCTTTTTGGTTTCAGTCAGCAAATATTTATGTTTTTTTTTTTTAAGAGCGCTGTTGAAAACCCGGATCTTTTAACTTCTATTTGCGATAGAATAAGTGATCGAAAAATGTAACGATTTTGAAAAAAAAAAGTACGAAGAAAGCGATACCAGTATTATCTCGACTTCCTATATATATATGTATTCCTGATAAGTCTGATGTCACTCTCTCGTAAAAAATTAGGAGACATATTCGGAGGTTCCTTTGATGCTAAACTATAGAGCATAATACCCTCTTACATACAAGTAAATCATTTTGGGGGAGGGGAGGTGTTTCCCTCACCCGCTTGGGAAATTCTATCTTTACAGACCCTTCCTAAAATAATGTCCGCCATGTTGCTGTTCGAAAACGATAAAAATGGTGCCCGTCAAACACAGTCCAGTGGGGAGTTGATACTCGTCTTATGTAAACGCTTTCTAAACTTTTGTTGCCATAAATTTTTAATTAGCTGCTGGCAACGTGACTGAAAACGCCTCTGGAATATTATTTCCTTTTGTTAACTAAAATTAATCACAAATGAATAGCCGGGTCTAACGTACAGGTCACATTCCACTGGTCAAGAGTACCGGTCACTGTCCATGGATAAATTACCAAACCACAAACATTGCCCTCGATCTTAATAGAGCATTTTGTTACGAGATTAGGGCTAGATGACACTTTCAATGCTGTTCATTTATCTGTATCATGATGACCTGTACTCTGACCTGTGGAATAGTGACCTGTATTTTAGACCCGCCGATTATCCTTTTATAGTTTTTTTTTTAAGAGTTTGGTATTAACATAGCCTCCCCGCAGACGTCCTTTGGGGTTCGTTTGTCGCGCATTCATTTCTCCCCCAGGGACGTCTGCTAAACACAGCCGACATTTACGTTCACCAATCACAGACCGTTTACCGATTTTTGTAAAACGTAACCCGAACCGCTTCTTAAGATTCGCACGATCAGTGAGGCTTTTGATCGGATGTGCGAGAAATTTGTGCTTTTAAAATTATAACACAGAGGTAACAAGTATCAGAGAGAAGCTCAGTATCCTGCACGTCTGTAACATTGATTTTGGCCTCTTGTTGGATATACTTGGTCAAAAAAAAAGAAAATCAAAAGGCAAAGATGTTTGTTGCATTTTAATCATTTTTATTCAGTCAATTAGTACTATTGCTTCTAAATACTGCTTCTTAAGATTAATTGATTTACTTTTGCCTTTCTGTCGTCAATCTGCAAAAAGAAATATAAATACATAAAATCATATAATGTACAATAGAAAGATTTAGCCAGGGCTAAAAGCGAAACTCTCGATACTATTTATAGTTTGTTCAAACAAAATGTAAAATCGTGTAATGCTAAGCGGCGAAGGCAACGCCAGAGAACGGTGAAAAACAACAATAGGTATAATTAGCAAAGAAACAACTTTGCACGTGCAGCACACTTTTTTTGTACATTTCTTTGCCGTTGTTTTGCACGACTACAACGCAAAACTTCCAGAAACTTTTTTTATGGAGGAAAAGTCGTACGTGTTCTCGTTCACTTCTCACATTTCACTGCCGCTCATTTTCTCCTTGCATTGGTGGCCGCTAGCAGTTCCCAGTTTGTCACCGCCACTACAAAATTTTCATGTTGTTCTTATCTCTCGCTCCAGATCTCTGTCACCCTTTTTCTCTGCCGCCTACTTTCTCTTTTTCTCTGTCTTTCTCTTACTCTATATTCCAAATTTGTGAACATGACAATTTACCTTAGCTTAATACTTTAGACAACACGGACTCAGAAACAATTTCCACTTTCCGTTTTCGTCTTTATTGACTCTTCAGCTGCCTATGTTCTTCAAGACGTGGGTGGCTATTCGATTTTGCTCCAAAATAACCTCGTGTTGCATTTGGGTTGCCATACCTGTTGGTTGAGTTATTTTACATTGGTATGCCTGCGGTGCGGACGGACGGTCTTTCGGTTTACGGGCTCGTGATTACCAAATTTTCTCAGATGGGTAGATACAACATTTTCTTACCCATGGTGCTCCGCTGCGCGCGCTTCGCGCGTGAGAGCTCCGCTATAATGTAGTTCGCATAATGCAGTTTACAGCGTTAAAATCCAATGACCAACATTTTGTGGGACAAGCTGTTACGACGGCTTCAAATAAAACAAAAAAGAAAAAAAGAAAGGCGCTTTGAGATGCCGGGGTGGATAAGTCATTTCTTTTATTTTCAAATCTTCTCAGCCTCGCGGCACAGCACGAATTTTAACACTTCAAAAGTGGCTGGCAGTTACTAACCTCATTTTTTTTCAGCAGGGGAGCCTGCACGTTTTTTTGCAGTTTGTCTGAACATATGCATTGGTACGGCAGTATCTTGTCCAGTATCGGCAACGGTTATCTTTATCGCTGCATCCTACAATTAGTTGAAGGAAATATAATGTGTTATGTATGTATACATTAAAGAAATCTAAGGTTCACTTATCGTGCTTTATATTAATTTCGCCGTGACCCGTAAACATGCGATTAAGAATTTAGCTTAAGTTTAAGCTTAAAACATTAAAAAAAATTCAGTTTCTCTCACGAAATTTTGCATTATACGTCTTAGGATACGCATTACATGATCATGCATGTAGATTGATGGCATTAAAAGAAACCTATAGGTACTAACGCGGTGTCTCTCTTTCAAGTCTGCCCTGTCTTTGTTTTGAACCAGGGATTGCCTTGAGGGAGTTGAGATAGAATTTATTTTAATTATATAATGTACCTTTAAGGTTGATTGATTTTTGTGCAGTTAATTATAGGATAGATTTTATTAATATATAGATATAATTTAGCAGTAGTATAGTTTCCCTGAAAATTTTGGTATGTAAACGGCTCACTGAAAGAGCATTTTTAATGAAGTGATACCGTAAATAAAGCTTGATTGTTGTTGTTAGACAAAACACTTTGTGACTAAAGCAGTTATGAATAACGTATGAAGTACCACCTACCACCACCACCTCCTCCTCCTCCACCACCACCTGAGCCTGATCCTGGAACAAAACAGAACAAAGACTGAATGATTTAAGTTGCCTGTATAAATCATATCTTTTATCCCAACCGGATGCTCAATAAAACTTACATCGCAAGCTCTTGAGCTCAATTTACTTTTAAGTTTAAAAGTCCAGGAAGCTGTAACAGTGAAGCGCATTTTATTATCATTATTATTGTTTTCATGCAAAAAAAAAAATAAAAAAAAATAAAAAAAAATGAAAAAATATTAGATGATGCATGCTTTCTAAACTGTTTGAAGTTAAACCTTAATAACCAGCAGGTTGGCCGAAGGCCGAGGCTAAAGAAATTTACCAAGAGAGAACCTAGACCTTAATGACTATGTATCCCAAACGCATATCTTAAACGTTAAATAATAATTGTCAATAAATATCTTAACGTCGCTTGACCCAGTTTTTTAGTTACCGCAAAACTGATTTTTTAAGAAAATCTGATCTTTACCGCACAAATAAGTTACGCGTCGTTTATTTCGTAAGTATTTCAATAGAAAGGTTTAGGTCGAGCAACCTTAAATGGAAACATACCATAAAGAGACTGGATCCCTCTTATATCATCTGAGTGAAGCTTCATGTTAGGGACATAACCAGTGTAATAAGGATACATTATGGCACCTCTCACATCAGAGTGTTCCAAACCAAGTGAGTGGCCGAACTCGTGAGTAGCAACCCAAAGTAGATTTGTACCACGTGATGTACCGTCAGTGTATGTCTCGTCCTCATCGAAATGTGCGCGCCCATCTGAAGGGAAGTAGGCGTGAGCAAGCACCCTACCCGGTCCATCAAACGTGCTTCCACATGTTCCCTCTACGCTTGTACCACCATGACGTCTCGTTCCAAAGCTACAGTGCAGGCAATTAAAAAAGTCCTGGTTAAAGGAATGTTGTAGACTGTGTCTATTTTGCTTGAAGAATTAATGAATCCTACAAGTCCAGGTGTTAAAAACAACAATCAATGCGTCGGGACAACGGCTCTAACTATAACGATGAGTAATAAATTAAGTAATATATGGTACAATAAGAAAACAGAGCGCGAGTTTAAGATAGCTAACCTGATCTTAAGATCAGCTGATCGCGGACTGCGTACTTTTTCAAAGGACAAACCCGATGCATCAGCCCAATACTTCAGTGCTTTTGCAAAGATGCGATCCTGTTGGCCCTGGCTGAGATCTCTTCCATGTTGAATGAAGTATGTCAGGTGTGTTCTCCTCCATTTACTGTAAGTTGCATAACGTCGGAACCGATCACCACTACCGCCACCACCATCAGGCATACCACAGCGCGGTTTCTTCATCTGTTTGACAGTAGCTCTGTCCAGGCGTCCGGTGACCTTAAGACCGGCGAAACTTTGAAAGCTACGGAGAGCTTGCTTTACGTCATGATTACCGGATCTTGACATCGATAGATACTGGAACTGGTTTAAGTATTTCTGCATTGAGACGAGTGAAGTAAAAAGCATTGTTAATTGTAAGAGTGGAATGGTCATGAAGCCAGTTTGACTCTTTTCTTTAGCAAAGTAACAGTGTTTTGTGCATTTGACGGTGCATAACATTCAATACCTTTCCTATCATTTCGATATTACTGACCAATAAAACATCTTCACATTTATTGGTTCTGTTGCAATTTGTAAACCCAGAACATAGCATCGTGTACCGCCATGGACCTCCCATCATAAACTACAGCACTTATGTTCTTATGCTCTTATGTTTGCCATCTTTCATAACCAGTCGTGGCTAAAGAAATCAGTGTAATCGCCCGCCCTGTGGGAAACGATGGTCACGGCTATCTTGTCCCGAGGTGACTACTTATAAAATTGGCAGTTTCTCGAATCTTCTAGAAGAGCAAATTTCTGTAGTTTCTTGGCCAACAATAACCAGTTTCCGCAAAACAAAGAAACACCATAAATCTAAATTTGATTTGGAATGTAGTATAACCGAGTGCGTTCTCAACACAAGTCCAGCACCTTATAGGGATGTGCGTAACTAAGTGAAAGTGGAAGGAAAGATGAAAGACGAACGCTCTCAGCTGCAAAATCTTTATCACAAGTTGAGTCACTTGGACGCTCATTTGGGTGTCTGTAATAAGATGTTTTCTTCAGAGAAATCAAACAAATATTGGACGGCACTAAAATTGGTCTGACTTCTTTAGGTGAGTTTTCCCAACGAACATATTAACCCCTACAACGGCGCGGGCTTTACCCAAACAATGCACTGTGTTAACTGGAATTTAGTGCTCCACTGCTGAAATTGAATGTAAAACACCGATCTTTTTTAAGGTCTCTTTTGCATTTTTGAAATTCATTTGGTTCTTTCGGAAAGATGGTATTAAAAAGGTTATAGAAAGTAGAATTAAAGCCCTAAGGCAACTGATTCCTCACCAGAGCAAAATCTTGATCATCCTCAGCTTTTGCAACAGTTAACGCTGAAAGCATCACAACTGCGAAAAGTGAAGCAGTCCACATCTTCGAAGTGCACGTCGACAAATGCTGAATGTACCCAGACAAACGACTCAACTTATTGCATTGGAATTCAAACACTCTGATGCAGGTGAATCGTGATTGCACAGTCAAACGATTAAATTTTTCTCACTGTTCTATCAAAGTTGTTTAAAGAAGCTAAAATGAAACATAATTAAATTTTTATTGTATTGCAAAGGTTTAAGTGCTAGGAGTAAAGCTGTGCATACTAACCGACTCTGAAAGAAGTGCCAATTTTGTCTTCTCCATAGACCTTTATAACTTTTACTTCCTTTTTTTGTTTATATAAGCAGTCTGTATAAAAGTAGACAAAAAAGTGTAAAGAGGATGTTAGCTAAGTACCTCCATTTCATTTCTTTTTTTCCTCAACAAGGCAGACTTATATTTTTTATCCACCCTGAGTCTTATTTTATTATTTTACTTCTTATCGAATGCAATCTAGTGCGACGAAAATACTGTCCTAAAGCCCTTGTACGGTAGAACCTCGCTATAACGAAGAGCCAAGGGACTAGCAAGATTTGTGCGATTTCACGAGGTTTCGTTATATCGAGGCTCTTTTTCATTTATTTTACAATTACTGGGCTAAACAAAATGGTTCGTTATACCGAGGACTTCGTTTTATAGAGGTTCGTTAAATCGAGCAATATTGAAGGGAGTTATGACACACTCGCCGGGAAAAATTCTTTATATAAGGACATCTTTTGTCTAAGATTCTTACCAAGTCTTTTATACGTTAACTAGCTTAAATCCATCATCATGGTTTATATTTCGTCATATCCTTTGATGAGAAAGATTTTGATTTTATTCAACCGCCCGGCTCCTTTTCTTTTCTTGCCGCTAAAAGCAACACGAAATAAGTAAGGTCTGCGCTAAGGCTATATTTCTAAGGCTGTCTTGATGTACTCGGCAACTGTTGAGCAATGTTTGGCATTGGGAGCAAGGTTTTGCTGTTCCAGCAACCTTGAGCAACGTTTGAGCAAAATATAGGTTTGGAGAGCGCATATCACGCGCGAAAAAGTCAACGATTTCGTACAAAACTTTTACTGGGTTATGCGAACTTCATGAGTGTTTATTAACCGAAAGTTTAGCCTAAAAGGAGAAATTTAATGTAGATTTCGATCAATTATGAAAAAAAAAAAAAAAAGAATAGGGGTTGTCATAGTGAGCTTGGGCTATCTGTGGTCTCGCCCATATATATTTGGGAACAGCTCTTAATTGGGCATTTAAAACAATATTTTTCCTCATACTTTTTTCTTGAAGTGCAGTGGACGGTCAATCCAAACGTGAAGTGTTAGGAATATTTAATATGAATCAAAAAAATGTAATTGCTCGATTTTTTTCTCTGAAACGGGCCACCAATTGGCCAATAATTTACGATTTTTATTAAAATGGTCACGTGACACATCACGTGACTGATTAACCAATATTTATACTTTAAATTGTTAAGGACGATGAGTTCTTTTTGTGTGCCCAATTTTGATTCAGCACCATCATCTATGCCGAAGCATAGTTATTAGAGGAGACTGGTTATGAAAAGCGGCAAATATCAGTGATAAAACCAACAGTGCTGCAGTTTATGTTCAAAGCACCGTGAAAGTGCACAATCCTTTGTTTTCTGTTGGCAAATTGTTACGGAATAAATTAATGCAACGTTTTTATTGGTCAATACAATCAAAATGATAGGAATTCTTTTGAACGTTGTGCACTTTCAGGTCCACAAAAACATATAACAAAGGAGTCTGACGGGTTTCATAACCATTCCACTCAATTAACTATGACCGAAGTTATAACCAATAATGCACTTTCCACAGATAAACCCTTTAGTCCCAGGCCTTAAACTACTTTAGCTGCCAGATGTCAACAATTATTGTAAAGAAGGGGAAATAAAGGTCGAAATTAACGTTATACTTAACAATGTTAATAAATTAGGTAGCACCTCTTTGGATTTTTGGTATGCCGGAAAGCAACTTTCTAGCATTTTACCAGCTCAGTAGAATATCGTATTACTCTTATAAAAGAATACATTTTGCGCCTCCTTTTGAACACATAAAATCGCATAAAACGAATCAGCCTGTATCGTGGGCGTATATTTTGGGCGATCCAAAGCTGCTTGTTTATACTTGTAATGTTTTGGCCGCCATCCTTGGTTTTATCACTGAGGAAGACTGGGAAGAGTAAAAAACAGGAAGTCAACTCCACCACTTATTAATCTTTTTTTGGAATTCAAAATGGCGCTTCCGCGAGCATTAAGCAGTTCGCGCGCCCGAAGAAAATGCACGCAATACAAGGTTGTAAACAACAGATCTTCCTTTTTCTTGGACCAAAAAAAAAAAAAAAAGAAAAAGAAAAAAGAAAAACGAAATTGTTTTAGTAATATCCTGTTAGCACTGTTTAGTCAAATATGCTTCTGGCATGACTGACGGTACCTATATTACATATTTAATATTACACAATCGTTTAAAACATCTGGAACAGCTAAAGAAATATGACATCGATACCTGCTCACGTCCAAATTCAAATTGTAATAATCTTTTGCGTCAATGGGAACTTTGTAAGTGACACAAATCAATCAAGTTTTACTAATTCATGTTATGGCTTCACCGAAATTCAGCATTACTCATGAAGAATTTTCCCCCATTCGAAACACTAAGCTGTCTGATATATATAAAAGGAGCACCCATCGATGGATTTCTCCTAAATGCATTGAAGTCTTTTTAGGCTACCCATAAAATTTGCATCCGTCCATGCTAGTTTAACCCGAGGCTTTTTGAAATTACGAGAGCTTCAGTGTTATTTTCCCGAAAATCTTAGGTGCAATTGCACGTTTAACGAAAGTGAGAATTTTTCTCTCCATCGAAATTTTGAATCCGAAAATTTTAGGTTTTCTTTTTCTACGAAACTTAGCCTAACATAAGGAGTAAAATATGAAATTAAAATTAAACTTCAGAAAATCTTAGGGAACTTAGTTTAAAGATAAGCTTCGAAAACTGTATCTGAAATGAATGGAACGCTCATCTAGAAATTATTAGCCGTATTCAAGCTTAGAAAATTCTAGGCAATTTGCTTCCCTGAACAGGTACTTTACAGAAAAGAGTCGTTGGGTGCCCCTGATATGATAATAAGAAAAATATATAGAAGATATAAAGTGGGAAAACAATTGACGAAAAGGCATTCTGAGGGCCAGAATTTATTGACCCAACTGCATATGCATGTATTGGGCCACCAGACGGGAAAAAATAGGCTACAATACACCAGAAAAGTTAGTCTATGTTCATACTATACCCAGGCATGAAAACCCTACTGGATACCCGGGGGGGGGGTACTTTAGCAATTTTTGGGTGGGGATGTGCCGCTGGGACCCTGGAACCCTTAACCTATACCAGAGCTAGTTCAGCTGAATTTTGCTACCACATACTAGAGTAAACTCCCCAAATCCCCTATCCTAGAGTAGCTGTTTCCCTTGTCTAGATAAAATCTTCAACCAACTGATCAGTTTCCTGAAAAATGATACCCTATTCTAGACCCAAACGCTCTGATTTACATACCCTATCCTAGAGTAAACTGCCTGAAAACCATACCCTTCACAGCGGCACACACCTGTATAGCCCATATATGGCAGTACCCCCCCGGGACTGGATATGGCCTCCTTTCACACATAAGAACGGTGATTTCGGTGCTATTTCTGTAACGGAGCAAAGCTGTGTGGTGCCGATCTCTAAAGTGAAGAGTCCCATTTAAAACTGGTGTTCGCACTCTACCGATCAGCTTTTCTCAGGGGCACCCAACGAGAATATAGTTCAAAACCACTAAAACAGCATTATTAGACGTAGTTTAGTATTTCAACAGTAGATATAGGCATATTTTTATGCCCTAAAAATTTTTCATCTGTTCGGATTTCCTAGCTTAAAGTCTAGTTATCCGAAAATCATAGGGATCAAAACTTACCTTTTCGAAAATTTTAGCCAGAAAAAAGGTGACTTTTTTAGGGTAAAAATCTGTCAAATTGGGCAATTATGCCATTTTTTAGATGTTCGAAAATCCTAGGAGAGGCAGGCAAGCAAAAAATCTTACAAAAAATGTTCCGGAAATTCTAGATCTCAAATCGTCTTCCGAGAAGGTATTTTGTCGGCACTCGAATAGCTATCCGGTAGAGTGTAAACATTCAGCTGTAGCCCGGGGACTGCAAGATTTTAATTGTTCATGTTCAGTTTCCTATTCACGTCGCGTGCTGGGGATCCCTGAGTGAGTTCGAATCTCAAATGCCTTATGTAGATATATAGTTCTTTTCATGGTTCATTCAAAACATTGTTTTTTTTTTCAGTTTTGATTGGGTTTAATCTCCCGGACAATGATTAACTATTGCACTGCCCAGATTTGAAAGATGTTTACCCAACACAGCCTATATGGCCATCTCCACGACAGCGTTATTTTACTTCTACGACTACGTTTGTTTTTGTTTTTCGTCCCATATTGGCACTCTTAGAAAGGCTGAACAACAAACGTCCTAGTTTGCTCAAGAAAGCAAGTCCCCAAAGGATTCTTGTCGTAGGATAGTAAAATTACGTCATGGTACAAATAGCCTTTTGTCCTAATAATTGACAGTTGAAGGTGCGATGACTTAACACGCCTGATTGAACTGGAGAAAATAGCGGAAAATCTTACACCTTACACTTTTTGGGAAGAAATATGAATAAACAATCTTGATAGAAATACAAAGAGGGAAAAGAAAAAAAAGGACCAACAAGAAAAACAAAAGCCCTCAGCTACAGCCTAAAAACATAATTTTAGTGAAAATAGTGAAATAATATAATAATGATAAGGAAACCCCGTATAAAAATTTTGAAACTGCTGAGAATTAAGGCAGACACACTGAAGACAGAAGCAGGGTAGGCAATGAAGCAACTTAGACAATTTCACCCCAGCTTGAGTGCCTAGACCTGCCAGTTGAGGACGTCTATCTACTTTTCTCTATGTACACAATTTGATCGTGTAAAAAGAGTTTTAATTTATAATATTATAGGTGACGAATTACTCCTTAATTTTGGCGCGAAATTTCAGCATTAATTTGTAATTTCACATGTGAAATTACAAATTGCCATGGCAACCCTTCCGTACGTCTCGGCGTCTCGGTGTCAAAAATCCAAGATTGCTAACGTAATTCGTCACCCATGATATTAATAGGTAATCAAATGGTATACTCGTGAATTAGGGAATAATTTCACTTGCGTTTTGTCCAAATCCTAATAATTTCCCTCGCCTGAAGGCTCGGCAAATTATTAGTATTTGGACAAAACGCGCGTGAAATTATTCCCTAATTTCACTCGTCACCATTTGATTACACGTACTTATTTGACGTTATTTAAATACACCAAATACTGATTTTGAGCTCATTACTCATTTTTTTATTATGGGGTTCCCATAAACTCAGTACTACAGATGGTTTTCTGACTTTTTACGTGACTTAATATTTCTTTAGACTATTCAACTACTACAAAACTACAACAATCATCGTTCAGTACTTTCAATTTTAAGAAACATGCAGCCAAATCCTTCGTCACTTCTTCATCACACGTTACCTGTAGATGGGAAAATTAGTAAGAAGATGTAGTGCACTAGTTACATGCCTTATTGGTAATTAATTTTGTGGGTACTTAATTTCACGATATGAAAAAAGGCATTAAATTTCGAGATTCAAGCGTTCTCAAATTCATTTTCTTGCAAACTGAAAACGTTTTTTCACAACGGAAGCTACAAAACGGGGAAGCTACCATTTGTGTTTGTCAACATATATCGTTGCTATTACATGTTAATTGTTAAATTGAATTTTGTACATGGGTATTAAACTTCGCGTGCTTAAATTTCTGTTTTTTTTTTTTTAAAAAAAGACCCGCGAAATTAAGTACCAATAAGGTATTTAATCTCCGTTTATTCTCACGCCATCAAAAATAAATTAATCTCAAAATATGGGAAATGAAAGAAGATAATTATACAAAAAGAATCGCCAAGAAATAGGTCTGTGGGATATTTAGTATGCGAGATATCCTGGAAAAAAAAGTTTACCCAAATTTATGAAACCTTGCATGTATGGAGATTCCACGTTGGTGTCACTTTGAGGAGCACAAATATGGCCGCCGACAACCAACAGAAACATCTGTCTCTGAGTTTTCCTAAAAATGCTTGAATTCATAGCTTGAGATTAAAGTGATCTGATTTATATTTATTTATTTTGAGACAAGGAATGTTTAGATAGCAAAATCTCAAAAAAATAAATAAATAAATTAATTAAATAAATTAAAAATAAGCCCTTAACGTTTTTAATCCAAGTGCATGTGTGTAAGAGCTGTCAGTATTTCTTGGCCGCCAGCTAAATACTGCGTCTCGCAAAAGCCTCTATCGCAGAACGAAGAACCCTTTCGAACCGAAAATTTGTATAAATAAAGGTGTTTAGCTGTTGTAATACCTAATAAAAGTAGAAACCCAGAAGAAAATCAATAATTCCATAGTCTGAAATTTGCTGACGTCCTATTAAAACCGAGAATTGACGTATCAATAACACCTCCTTGCATAAAAGGGTTACGAAAACTTACAGCTGTAACAAGTCCTAGGGCACCAGTATTCCAATCCAGGCCGGTGGGCGGGGTCTGAGCAAAACCCGTAGTTCTTCCATTCTTGGCAATTTGAGGAGCTTGCGCGGTCTTTGCAGCCCCCTACTGCGATGGGAAATGAAAAGGAAATCATCTAAATACAATTTTCATCTGCGTGCCCACGGAGTACTTCGCATTGATCATCGATGTCCCGTGAACAAATGATAAATTAGGTTTGACTTTTATAATAATTGTAATGAAACCGTTAGGTAGTACTCCTCTCTGTATTCAATACTAATTCTTGGCTACTTACAAAGTGAAACTCTGAGTCACCAAAATAATCATCTTATGATCATGATGATCTTTGTATTTAAAAGCTATTTTCGTGTTATTAGGTTATATATGTCTGTATTTTCCAGCATTTTTCAAAAAGAGATGGCAATAAATATGACCCGTTTTTAATCAAAGGTCTTTCGTTTTTATAAACCCCATGCCATCCCCCCCCCCCCAGTAGTTTGTAGCCAAAACGTCTAACTTCAGCCTTCCCCAATATGAAAATATATTACATAAAGCAACTACGAACAAGAAAAATAAGACTGTCGGAGGTATCGAGGTTTCTTCGTCGCTCTTGTGAGAACGCTACTCAACGGCATTGGGGTAAATATGATCCCAACAACAAAAAGTTGCCAAAACGATTTACTGGGGTCAACTGTTATAGTATTCTGGTTGATTTATTTTTTATTTATGTTTTTTTTATTAGTACTTAAAGAGTCATCCTTCTTCCGATCCCTGTGACCGATCGACTACCCGTGCCGGAAAACTAGTGAGAGCCACCTTAAAGTTAAAAAAGAGAGCGTACCATGCATCCCATATATCACTACTCCTGCATATCTTGGCCTCGTTATTCGAAGAACCCGAAATTGGGAGTTTCTTTTTCTTTTGTGTTCATAGGCATTTTCTCGGATAATTTTTTTTTTTTTAGGACTTCCAATCATCAAATTTTTATCTTTCACTTGCATTTGAATTCATATTTCGTACAATCTCTGGGTTATCCCTACCCAGCAGCTTTGATCAGCATGTCCCAGAGTTTAATCAAAAATTTATGTTACCTGGAGGTGTTGGAGGTGTTGGGGTTGGAGCCTGTGTAGTTTGTACTCCGCCACCACCTCCAGTGCTTTCACCTATAAAATCAAAAACATTTACAATGAATTATATTTATACAGACACTGCACTGGTACCTTAAGCTTGGTTGTTACACCGTGATTTTAGATTAGAGGACAGACGCATAATTTCCATCATTTGGTCAGTTCACAGAACGCGTCAGTTTGAGAAGAATGAAAATCAATGGCCAACAATTCTTCGTGTGACAAACGCGCTGAATTTTCATGATATTAATGTCAGCGAAAAGGAATATGCTTATAAACTAAAACACATCCACCAATTCAGTTTTGTTGTCATTCATCTTTATAAACTCTTTTGAATAATGAAAAAAAAGATCATAACATTATGTTATTAAGGCACTAACCATTTTAAAGAGATATATGTCCAACATTGTTTGGTGATGTTGTCGTTGTTTTGTTTGTTTTTCTTGCACCTTATTGGCTGGTGACTGGCTAATAATTTTGTGTATTGTAACATTATGCTAACTTGTATAGTTAATAGAGTGGAATCGTAAGGAAACCCTTTGTTAACCCTATGTAACGTGAAAGTCCATGCCCCTTACCATATAAGGATTGTATGCCTGCAATATCATCAGAATGAAGTTGCATGTTTGGAACGTAACCTGTGTAATAAGGGTACATAACGGCACCTTGGACGTTCGAGTGTTGAAGGCCCAAAGAGTGACCAAACTCGTGCACCCCAACCCATAGAAGATTGGTACCAGACGGAGTGTTGTGCGTGTACGTTTCATCTTCATCAAAATGAGCTCTACCGTCTTCGGGGAAATATGCATGCGCCAAAACACCACCAGGTCCGTCAAATGGATATGGGCAAGTCTGCTCCACATTTGTACCGCCGTGGCTGTACCGGCCGAAACTGAAAGTGGTTTATTACTGCTGTGTTAAGGAAGCGGATAAAAAAAAAATCGGGACGAAAGTGGGGTATGCTTTTAAACTTGTTCAAAAATTAATCTGTACCACGTAGAACGACACATTTTGGAAATTGTATGCATTGATCATTGGTGATGAATTAACAACAAATTTTATCATTACTGAATAGGTTCCAGTGGATTTGAGCCATGGTGCTGAGTTTCCATATCTAAGAAGTTGTTTTTCGGATGGCCTTAGGTGAGAATATACTAAATTATATCTAAATGACGATGTTTTTTGGTTTTTTGTCTTTTTTTTGATTTGTTTTGTTTTTTCTTTCTTTCTTGATGAGGATTTCTGACTGATTTTTTTTCTATATACCAAACTTACCTGATTTTAATGTCTGCACTACTTGCACTGCTAACTTCACTGAAAGTAAGGCCAGAGACATCAGCCCAGAATTGCAGTGAGTCAGCAAATATCTGTCTTTGTTGATTCTGTGCAAAATATTCCGAAAAAACAATGACAGATAGGTGAAAAATCCCTTTTTAAATACACGTTGGTGTACACGTTAACTTCATGCACTACTCGTCCACCTTTCCAGCATTCATCAGTCCATTATATTCATTCATTCATTCGTGAAATTATTGTTTCGTTAGTTACGTCCGTTCGTTCGCTCTTTTATTTTTTTGCTTGACTCAAAATATTGGTTTGCTGATCACGATTTCACTACTCGAGCACTGGAAAGATGGGGCTATATATATTTCGACCAAAAATAGTAAAAAACGTCAGAAATTGACGTATGAAAGTTACTGCAGTAGTAAGAATGCTCCACCCCAGCCTAGTCTGTAGGCGTTCTCTCTTGCCCCGTTACTTTGTCCGAGCGAAGCCTCTTTGTCTATGCAGGATTGACCAGATCTAGCCTCTTCGCTCCCACTCTCGCGTTTCCTCTTGAAAATTATCATTTTCGTTGTTTTTTAAAATGCTAAACTGTTTGTTTAAATTCACAATACTGTACTCACATGAGGCAAGTCTTGTCCGGGCTGCACGTAATAAGTCAATTGAGTTTTCGACCATTTCCCTTGGGTGGCATATCTTCGCATACGCCCAGCTCCTTCGATTGAGTCAGGTACACCACAACGAGGCTTTTTCATAAGATTTATAGTCTCAGTATCCAAAATACCGCTGACCTTGAGGCCAAAGAATACCTGAAATTTCCGAATGGCTTTCGAGACATCGTGGTTTCCACTTCGGGTAGATGAAATGTACTGATATTGATTGAGGAATTTCTTGGGAAAAACGGGAAGAGGAATTAACTAAAATTGTTTTAAACGCTCTGTTTTATTAATTTGTCTGTTTTTGTTGGCATGTTTTTTGGTGTTTGTTCTTTTCATTGACAAAGAAATGTAGTTAAAATAACAACTAATTATTTTCCACGAGGCAGAAAGAAAGGGCTGTTGCGTTCATGGGTTTCTAATATAATTTACTTGGGCGGCTGTCCTGAGGTTAGTTATTAAGATAGAAAGATGCTTTATAAATATAAGATTTTTATGGACAAAGTTTCGCTTTTTTATAAATGAATGTAATAAAACGTAACAACTTTGGAAGGTTAGGCCTATAAGTCACTTTGTCAGCAATATCGTTTTTGGATGCAAATTAAACTATTGTATTACATGCAATCCTTACCAAAGCCATAGTTTGGTCATCTTCGCAAACTGCTGCATCGAGAAAAAATACAACCAGGATGGCTGGGGTAAGAACATTCATGATGGTGATCACCAAGAGAGCAAGGATGATCTTTTCTTGGAAATGGAATTTAATATATGTCCATTTTTGCAGTTAATTCGATCCTTTAATACAAATATTCAGGTTGTAATCCTTGGATCGAGTAATACTGAAAGCAAGGCTGTGTCAATAGTGTATTTTGTGTAGTTGGACAAAATCGTTTCTTGTTTCTTTACAGCATTGAACTCCAGTATCGAATTGTCCTTTTGGCCCAGCTAAACAACCACAAAATTTATATTGAGTAAGTCCATGGCTTGACGATACAGTTTGTAAACTAAAACTGTTGTTAAGACAGAAGATATCACGTTTATGTTTGTTCCGTTGTTGTCATTTTTTTGGTAATTTTCTTTCACAAAAGGGAACAAATTCTCATCAACCAAAAGTTAACAGGTCCATAAGGAGCAAGTCACAAGTAAAAGGAATCTAAACTTCTGATAGCACGAAATATTCCGAAAAAACGGAAGATATTTTATCAGAGATTACGCCATGCATAAAAAGCAACTACCAAAACAGTTCCATTATATCTTTCCTTCATTTTCTGACGTAACAGCAGTTATACAAGCATGTCTCCTTTTATATTGGAGCACAGCTACTTGGAATTTAATCCGATATGTTACAGTGGTCATTCGATTCGCATCTTTGATTTTCATTATGCTGCTCCCCTTCCCTATTTATCCAGGCAAATCAGCCATCGTCATCCTTCCGTTATTATATATACAGTGCTGTATATTATACTGCTTTTTATAATACATTATTTTACCAAAACAGAGCCGAGTGTGTCCATCTTTCTTAATTTTAGCAATTTGATTTGCGCATATCACTGATCCAAGACAAGCTAAGCCTGCTGCGCAAGCGTGTTGTAAGCGTGCTTTCACCTTTATCACCAAATTTAATCTCTTTATGTTTATGTGTTGTAAAACACAACTGGAAAAAATACTGTATACACCTATTTCAATTAAGGTTGCTTCAGAGAAAAATGATGCATGATCCACGTTTCATAGCCCGCGATGCATTACTGTGACAAGTCTAGTAAGTTTTGTACCCGCAACGAGCCTAGAAGCCCAAAAAGCAAACGCTGCTGACGCTTCTATGCTATGTCAGCAGAACGTTAAGACGATGTATTTTAAAACACTGAATCCTAGGCTTTTTAATTTAGGCAGAGATTTGAGGTTCGGTTTTTCTCTGTGGTTATATGCATACAAATGCTGCAAATTTTCAACGAGTTTGCTTGGCTCATGCACATGTGAATTTTGGATGGAGTTAAAAAAAATCAAATTCAAGGCATTTGTTCATGAACTACGTACAATAAATAACTTAACATAACGCAAATATCTCCTTTGGAGGCAATTTAATTTTTTAAAACTGAATAGAAAAAAGAATAGCCAGTTGATTTGTTTCATTGAAATAACCAGCATTCTGGCCCATGAAAAAACACAGCTTAGTCAGACGGTAAAACCATATTCATTTAATGTTGTTAAAAGAAGAGGCTTCTAATTTCTTACTGTGAGATTTTAAAGGGGAGATTCTTCAGCTCGCTCATTCTAAAGAAGATTAGCAGTCATTTGACTTGAAAGCTCTCTTGAACGCCTGTTCACAAATTAATGGTCTCCATTATTTCAATGAACGTGAACAATAGTTAACTCACCCGCCACAAAAGGGTTTACCATAGTGCACTGCAGGCTATGAAACACGGTTTACGGGACCAACCTTAATTGAAATAGGTGTATATACTGGGGGGGTTACTGCCATATGTGGGCTATATAGGTATGTGCCGCTGTGAAGGGTATTGTTTTCAAGCAGTTTACTGTCGGATGGGGTATATAAATCAGAGCGTTTGGGTCTAGAATAGGGTATCATTTTTGAGGAAACTGATGAGTTGGTTGAAGATTTTATCTAGACTAGGGATTGTGGTATAAGGTTTTGTTTTGGCTAGACTGTGCTACTGACCTCAGTAGTTTCTGGAAAACAGCTACTACAGGATGGGGGGACTTGGGGAGTTTACTCTACTATAGGGTAGCAAAATTCAGCTGAACTAGCTCTGGTATAGGTTAAGGGTTCCAGGGTCCAAGCGGCACATCCCCAACCAGAAATTCCTAACGTATTCCCCCCCCCCCCGGGGTGTATATATAACAAATGTTGTAAGCATTGGACGTAACACTAGATTTCAGACTAAGTAGGCATGCTTCTCGGTAATGATTATAACTAATCAGTTTATAAAGAACATTTTTACAGAGTTTGCAAGACCAGTGGTAGGTTCAACGAATCACTATGAATATCAAATGCTTAATTTGATTAATATTTTAGATGTTTTTTTGTTTTGAAAATGATAATAATAAAAAAAATAAAATAATAATAATAATAATAATAATAACAAAAATAAAGAAAAACCTTATAGGGCTTCGTATTTTTCGAGAAGTTATGAGAACTGTTAAAATCTTTGAAAAAAATTCATGATCACTTAATTTTAGTCATGACAACATTGTGAACGAGTTGCAGCTTATACGAAACACGTGTCTATTCCATTCTCTCCCGTTCCATCCCATCAATACCACCCCATCCCAGCCCATTCCATTCTATTCTATTTTTACTTTTCTTTTCTATTCTATTCTATTCTATTCTATTCTTGTCTAGTCTATTCTTTGATTGGTAAAAATCATTATTGTCCAACCAAGCATCTCTAACTTACAAATAACAGTTATGTAGACTAGCTATGTCCGTGGTTATGGTAATGTATGCTAATGAATTGCAACACATCCATTAGTTAAGAAAGTACTCTGTAAGAACACATTTTTTTTACATGATAAGTCAGAAATTTATGTCTAGACTTCATCTTATCCCTTCCACTGTCGCAATGTGAAAATTATCTTACTGTCAGACATGATAAGGCCTTCTCTGTTACCTTCAGGAAAAAGTAAGGTTTAGAGGTTCAAGACAGTGACAACTTTCTATGAGACTTTGTTGACTTTGTGGGTGGAGCTAATAGAAATTAAAAATAGTAGAAGAATTTTCATCGATATGCTGCACCTCTATGGCACACGCGGGGAATACTAAGATATGGACGAAAATAATTTCCGCGTATGCGAAGAAGTGCAGCATAACCGGGTTTTCGTCGCTGAGGGGAGGAGGGGGGGCAAAAAACGCAAGTATATATGCCCTCTCGGGGCATGAACGCATAGAAAAGCCATCTGATCAGTGATCCTGATGTTGACAAAGCATTTAAATACCACGCTCAATACCCAGCGGTAATGCAAGGGTCCCAGGAGGGAAACGTGCTAAATTATGGGGCCCGCGTGCCCATTTCGGAGCAAACATATCAATGAAAATAATGGTTTCCATGTGAAAAAGAACTGTCCGTTTATTATAACGAATTGTCCGTATCAAGCGGGAATCCATAGACCTGGTTTAAGCTGTAAATTGTTTCAGTGACGCACAGGCTACGTTAAAAAGTAACAATAATAATCATAATAAAAAAAGGGAAACTTTATCTGTGTTTTTGAATGTACAATTGTAAATCTCGCTAGGTATAGGCAATTTACAAATGCTGCTTGAGATTGGATTATTTAAGAAAACAAAACAAAACAAAACGAAAGCACAAAAAAAAAAGAAAGAAAAAGATAAAGAAAAGAAATCGAAATTGCATTAAGTCTGGGCTACCCCCTTTCGTATTTCTACAACAAAGGATGTGATACGTTGCTCTAATGGCTATTTTTATCTATTTATATGGTAATAATAATAATAATAATAATAATAATAATAATTATTATTATTATTACGTTAAAAAGTAACAATAATAATCATAATAAAAAAGGGAAACTTTATCTGTGTTTTTGAATGTACAATTGTAAATCTCGCTAGGTATAGGCAATTTACAAATGCTGCTTGAGATTGGATTATTTAAGAAAACAAAACAAAACAAAACGAAAGCACAAAAAAAAAGAAAAGAAAAAATAATAAAAAAAAAGAAATCGAAATTGCATTAAGTCTGGGCTACCCCTTTCGTATTTCTACAACAAAGGATGTTATTATACAGAGGAACTTGAGAAGTTAGAGAAATACCACCTTTTGAAAGATGAAATTGCACGTCTAGCGCATGCGAAAAGTCATTGTAGTGTCTGTTGTTGTTGGGGTTCCTTAGAGCCGTATCAGTCAACTTTAAAGAGTACATGAAACGAATCGGCGTGATTGTGAGGTTGGAGGTTATCCAGATAACAGCATTGTGGGGGACTGCGAAGATACTTAAGAAAGTACTGTTCCTGTTCGAAGAAGGAAAAGAGAGACCTGGGACCTGTGGTGACTTGTTGTAACCCGCTCCCAAGGACTATAAACCAGACCGAACACCCTATCAGAGTCTACAAGGAATGGACATAATAATAATGATGAAAATAAATAAAAAGAAATTCTACCCTATTATGATGTACTGGAACAAACAATCGGTACAACAGCGTCTTCTGCGCTCATATCATTATCCGTTCCTTTTTCCACCTTATCTCTAATAAGCAAGGTATCAACGCAATAAACTTTTAGTTATTTTCGTGTATGAAAGAGAGATTCATTTAACACATAATTTTTCAGACGTTTTTCGTTGGTAGTTGGATTAGCTGTGGTCTTGAGTGATGACTTCTCGCGCTTCTGTAAACATGACAAGGTGGTTTCAAGATGGAAGTACATGTCGCAAACGAGAAATGTACGCTAATATGAACCTTTGTTAGTTTTGAAAATATCTAACGTTATTAACTACTGCCTCCTGCATAAACATATGGTCATATGTCGCTTTGTTTTCGCATCCCAAAATTTAGCAATAAATTCTCGAAAATTGACTCATGAGGTTACGAACAAAATGAGGATATGTAACTTCGGGTTAATCGTAATATTGCAGCAATAAACCCCCTGGCCTTCTGAATAAACACAACAGATTATATTTGGATGTCAGTATCCGTGTATAATTTTTTTAAGATACACAAAATCGGGGAACTGAGAGAAATTCGGGTGTTTGTAAGGTTATACAAGCTGCACAATGCAGAAAAAAATATACATAAACAAAGACAACAACGATAACGATTTTGAAATAATCCAAAAAGCGTTTTTTTTTTTTTCGGGAAACACTTTATGAATCTCAACGCCAATCACTTTTAACAGTTTTAACCCTTATGAGTTACGCCCACAAGAGCAAGGTTTGTTAGCTGTTTCCCTCCTGGTCTTCTGAATAAACGAAAAGAGTATGACCATAATATCAGCTGGGACGAGAAGTACACATCAGTGGATATATAAGTGGGTGGATTATACAGCTCTTCATTGTACGTTTGTGTTAATACTGTGAACATTTCGTGCTCTAGGGGGCATCATCATGAAGTACTCAGTAATTCTCATCCTTCTTGGGTTATTGGCCCTAACTCAAGCCGAAGACGACGAAACGATGGCGTTGGTAAGGTCATGTAAGACTATACAAAGATTTTCATTTCAACGAATTTCTGATTCTTTTTTTTTTGTCCCATGTCAGTTGTTGCTGGCTCTCATTTGTATCTCAATTGTCTTAAAAAAAAGACCAAATGACCAATGATCGAAGGCTTAAATTGTGGTATCCCTTAAATAATATAAATTGTCTTAAGAAAGCTATTTCAGCACATTGAACAGCCACAAAAGTTATGGTTCTTGTTGTTATTTTTCTTTTTCTTTTATTTTGATAAGTGACATCGCTACACAGTCCACCTGTACTTTAGGTTAATAAATTATCATAACCAGTGGTAAATATGTCAACCAAGTTGACCATTTCTTTTGACCAATTTATTCATTTTGCCCTTTTGGCCTACTGAATTTACTCCAACTCTATCTTTTCATTATGCAGAAATTTCTCAACCAATACCACTACATCTCGACATCGAGGTCTGGCAATCACAATGTTGAGTTAGCAATCAGACGTTTTCAGCGATTCGCTGGTCTCAAAGTAACTGGAAAACTTGATCGTGCCACCATCATGCAGATGAAAAAACCGCGATGTGGATTGCCAGATGACGAAGAAGAGGGTGGTCGCGTGCGACGATACACAACTGGTGATAGTTTTTGGTTAATTATTGCAATTGACGTTATGTGTTTACATATCACAACTCGTCTTACCTTAACCAATACTCTATTCTTTAAAGGAAAAGATGAGTGTAAGACAAGGAAAGAACCTAAATACGTATGAGAAACACATGAAGTGTCAAGTATTCGCCCCTTTTAATTTCAAAAAACGATATCAAAATAAAAGAAAGAAAATTAAAAAGAATAAATGAATAGAAATAACATCTAACAACAGAGAAGTGTACGTCTCTAGTGAATTTTTGCTTTTTACGACAATATGCACTTTTTTAAATAACGGACAGCCACATCTTATCAAATACTAAATACATTTTTTTTGTTTTCATCCCTATCATGCAGGCCCCAAGTGGAGCAAAAAAAGCTTGACTTATTTTGTCGAGTATGGTGAAGACCTGAGTCATGACCAACAGGACAGTATTTTTCAAAAGGCTTTGAAGTATTGGTCTGATGTGTCTGGATTGTCATTTAGCACGGCTAGCAGTTCCTCTGCTGCCGACATCAAAATAAGGTAGCAATTGCTTTTACAAAACACATTTTTTTGGATGATGGTGTTTCTATGTCTTAATACCTATAAAGACAACAAATGTAGTCAGTTGTGATGTAGTTCGTTATCGATGGTCCGTTTCATATTGCTAGCTTCATCGGGCGATGAGGTCGACTTTCGGTTATTATTATTATTATTATTATTATTATTATTACAAGTGATGCAGGTAAAATTAAATTATAATTTGTTATGAGAACAAAAATATTTATATACATGTAAATACATGTAAAATAAACGTAAAGAATAATATCAGAACAGGAGAGTTAAGTCAGCATGTTTCAGCTGCTTATTTAAAGTGGGATTCTAATTCTTTTACACTATATAAAGCTCCGAGTTTAAACCTTAAAATAATTTGATAAAAAAGGACTAGCTTTTTCGTCTTTTTCATTCAAAACGCTTTGTCACGTGACTGATGACGTCATGTAGCTCTTTTGGTCATGAAAAAAATTATCAGATAGAACATTACTTTCCTGCAAATTTTCTCTGCCGTGTGATAAAAGGTTGACTCTCTAAGGCCCCTGGCCTAGTCTCCCGACTTTTTCGCTCATGATCATTACGCCCTTAAATTTTAAATACCGGACTTCAACTGATTATTTTTAATTTTACTCGTTAATGGAATCTTGTCACAGCAACAACAACAACAACAACAAAAAAACAGTTCGGAAATAGTTACGTGACTGACGACGTCATTACCTTAGATGCGACATGGGAGGATATTTTATGGCAAAAAAATGTCAAAGTTATAAAGCTTTTTAAAAAAAATGCCTCAAAAGATTCCGGGAGTTCTTTTTTATCATAATTATGATTTAGTTTTATAATAATTAATACTAATACTCAAATATACATTGCACCACAATCTTCAAAAACTGAACACTTATCGCTCTTTATAATGATGTTCGAAACATCAAAACGTCAAGTAACGCTCTTAAGTTTAATTTTTCAGGTTAAATGCTTCAAAAAGCAACTGACTATCGGATCTCGCACTGCTCATTATTGTGATTTACTTATAATACAGTTTTGGTGCTGCCACTCATGGCGGTTCAAGTGAAAGCACCTGCCCATACCCTTTCGATGGTGAAAATGGAGTTCTGGCGCATGCGTACTATCCATCGGATGGTCGCGCACACTTTGACGAAGACGAAGAGTTTACTGACAACACCCCACAAGGAATTAACCTACTTTGGGTCGCCACTCACGAATTTGGTCACTCACTCGGTATCGGTCATTCTGACGTTAAAGGTGCTATCATGTACCCTTACTACACAGGGTACGTGGAAGGCATGGAGCTTCACTCTGATGACATTGCTGCAATCCAGTATCTTTACGGTAACGTACTGGAATTTGTTTGTTTGTTTGTGTGTTTTTTTCCCCCTTGCTCATGTTCATATTTTTTTACCACAACCTTAATGCCTTGCGACAGTTGTTCTATTACTAGACCATACATGGTATCCACGGGGTAAAGATGTACCCAACAATGAATCCCTCGATATAACAAACAGTTTTCTTTATCCCAGTGTTAGTATTAAGGAAAAGAATCTCGATATAACAAAACATGGTTATATAGCAAAAACATTTGCCAGTCTCTTGGGCATTCGTTTAGACTAAGAGTAGTCCCCATTTTTCTTCAGGGATATAGTAGAGCGAGCGAAAAGCAAGCGCGCGTTAAGTTTACCTTACGCGAGAAAGGCGAGACGCGGCGGGGAGAGAGAGAAATGAGGGACTACAGACAAAGTCCAAGCGTTTGACCCTTCACGGCCGACTGATTTTGGAGTGTGAACTTGGTATCCCTTCCAAATCAATTAAGCGCATCCAATGGCATTCCTTCTCTCATTGAGCTGTTATTGCACTTGTTGTCGGTAAACTGCTGGGGATATTTATTTCAAGTAAAAGAAAACCCAGATACTAAGATTCTTGGCGGCTGTTTCGCGTGAAGAACTTGATAGTGAAAAAAAAAAGGGTGTCGGTAGTTAACACACGACTTTCACCTCATGCCAAAATGCAGCTCGTTCCAATGATTTTTTTTTTCTCTGACGGGTAGATTATGCTCTGGAGGAAAACGTTTTGATTGAGCAAATGTGATTTTTGCCGCTTATTTCATACTGTGAGGTCGTGACACGCATACTAATTTTCTGCGGTTATAATTAACTCTCTAATGCAAGAGCATTTTCTTTGACCTCTTTTGAAAAGTAAAGCTCTTCAATGTAGCTAAATGTGTGTTTAGGTTGTTTAATTTCTCCAAAGTGCCTTCTGGATCTGAATAGCTATAAGTGATTCTCGATTTGTCTTTGAATGTGACGGTTTCCTGCTATGTTTCGTCACGCTGAACCCAGCTCGTCAGCGTTTTTAAAAGGATGTTAAATTCTCACGTAAATTGTGATTATGTCGAGTGTTGATAGCGGCTGGTGTGTTTTTTGACAGATGTTGACAGATAGCCATGGAAGAGCCACCAGAGTTTTGCGTTGTGAGAGCAACGTATATTAAAGTTCAAAAGCTTGGGCTTTATCTGCAGTCCCTTATTTTTCTCACTCCCCGCCGCGTCTCGCCTTTCTCGCGTGGGGTAGTTTTCACTCGCGCTCGCGTCGTCTCGCTCATCTATCCCTGAGGAAAAATGGGACTACTAACATTCGTCATATCTAGGTTCCACTTCTGCACCACGGTCATTCGTGTGCTTGTAGAGAACAAGTACAATTATATAATGTATATAAATCCCTGTTCGTGACCTGATTTAACAAGAGAAACGTCGGACATATCGTTCTTCTTCCTGTAAATGGGTAAATTGATTTCAAATGACAGTGGGCTTTAAAGGGCACAAGCTTTTAAGTTTCCAACAATCCAACATAATTTTTTTGCAAAAACTGCACATTTAATAAATCGACATCAATATTAAGTGTCTCTTCTGGAAAAAAAATAAAATAAAAAATAATCTCCAACAATTGTATTCAATAATCCCTAAGTACCTATACGAGCGGGTATTAAGAATTTTTATTGTATTTAAGTGAAAAAAAGGTCATTTCTTCCAACAATGTTATGAAACAATACGTTTCTACTCACACAACAGAATGATTCTCGAATTATCGGGACTCATGTCAACCTTAAGTTAAGCGTCCTATAAAAAGTAACTTCTCTCCATACGCGGTTCTGTAACACCAAGTTAATATCTGCATTTAGTATAGCTTTTAATAAACGACTTTTTTTCAAGGTGCAAGCTAAGCAGTCGTGGCGGTGGAGGAGGTGAGAATCTGGGATGAAATCTGAAATACTTTTAAGTGAAAATACATGCAAATACAGCTATTTCGAGAAAGGTTGTCGGAAAAATTTGCACGCGACAATCCCGAAAGGTAATACGGGATATGATCAATACAGTGCTCCTGACGAAGTAGCTGTCAAATCCACTTTTGTTACTTTCCTATAGTTTAGCTCCCGCAAACATACGTTCATGGGCTCTCGTGCTATTATTTTATTTTTCTTTGAATTGGAAAACAGTGTACTCAAAACCACCAACAATACCTTTGGAGATTGACGCGTGCACTTTTTCCTCCAACCTTTCTCGAAATAGCTGTGTGCACAAAGTCACATCCTCAACGGTTACTACGAGGAGTGGACCTTTACTTTTCATTACTTCTCGCGAGTGTACATCTCCTTTCTTTTTCATTTTTTTTCTTTTTTAGGCCTGAAGAAAAGGAACCTTTATTGTTGTTAGTTGCATGTTTAGTTTATTGTTTAATGGGTTAAACGCCTAAACCAATTCATAACTAATATACTTTATAACTAAATGCTTTAAAAATTCCCTTCTAAACGGAAGAAGTATATGTTACAAAGCATCATTTTAGCCCTCGGACATACAGGGCGGGGGAGGGATTGGGGTTTGGGAGGTGTTGCTCAAGTCGTTTGTTTGTAGTTGTTGTTTCGTTAGGGTCTTGTTTCGTGTTTTGACTGTCAGTTGTCATCATGGGCTACTTGACATCACAGTGATGTATTTTGTATGTTACCAGAACTGCTATTCATAGTCAATCATCTATTTGCAGTGCAATATTCGAAGGAAATCACAAATGGCCAAGGTTCCCTGACGCTGCAAGCAATATCGTTATTTTGATTTATGTAGATTGCGGATTAGACTAAATAAAGAATTCATTGAAAACCAAATACTCGTTGTTTTCCTCTGCTGATATTAGAGACCTTTAAGATACACCGTTTCTGAGGTACTGGTAGATGGCCTCTTACCCAAGAGAAACTGGTAGGCTACCGGATAGAGCGGTGCTGCTATTGTCATATCTGGGACTTCATCGGGCCACCTTTTGTATAACTGCGTGGCATACATGTTCACCCACCCGTACCCGTAGGCAGGAACGGTGTACCTTAAAGTTCCCTTTTTCCTCTGTAAACGACGGGGGGATTTCGTGTTGAAAAGCTTTTTATCAAAGGAAGTCAGAAAAACAATTTCATGCAAGCAGGGGAAGTCAAGTGGTATAAATACACCTTCACCTTAGCTACATGTATCGTCGTCATCATCATCATCATCATCATCATCATCATTATCATCATCATCACCATCATCATTATCGCCGTCGTCGTCGTCGTCGTCGTCGTCGTTGTCGCCATAATTACCATCATTATCGTCATCATCATCCTATCATAACTACCATAAACACTAGTCATCTTCCTCGTTTGGCTGACTTCTTCCAACCACACACTACAACAATTGTTTGTTCCTTTTTACCATAAATTGAGCTAAATAACAACAACGAAGTTTACTCTTGATGTGATAGCTACAATCAACAACAAAATTAATGGAGGCACTTTGCTCTAAGGGGCCTTTCTGATGATTTACCGAGTTAGCTTTAAAAGGGGAAAAATAAACCTTTCCCCTCCACATCTCCTTCATGCAATGTTGTACCGGTGCTTGAGCTAAATGTAAATGATGTATAAAACAAAAACTTTTCCAAACTTTGAATGCAGGGAGGAGGGGAGGAGGTGTGGATTGTTTACCTGTAATTTCTTTATATTTAATGCTGATGTCAACTAGCTGCCTGGCTTCACTAGCACCTATGGTTATTCCATTAGTCAGTACCCTAATTTGTCTTCAATATTTTTCTTGTTTTATTTTTTTGTAGAGCAAGAGTGAGTACAAATAAGTATTGCTGTTGTCCTCTGAAGTTACCCAATATGAGTACAATGTCTCAACAATTATTTTTTAATTGTCGCCTATTGTAGATCATTGTAGCTTAAACGTCCTTTTTCCACCCTTTCGTCATATTTTCATGTTCGATTCATTACAAGGTTATATCCCTCTTCTGAGGGATATACGGAATTGAAGTATCAATCAACGGATGATTTGGGTACCGATTCTTGTAAACACAACCAGTTTTGATTTTTTTTGAAAAAAAAAAAAATGTAATCAAATTATGCCCAGACTATAAATGTCACTATGTCACTGTTCTTGATATGATCTTCATTCCAAGTGATAAAAGAACTTATTTGCGTAAACACAAAGAATGTATCCGCCGCGCCTGGACACTTTGGGATACCCTAGCTTATGGCACCTCTTAGGACATATCTCCCGCTTTCTTCACAAACTAGGGGTCCGCCACTGTCTCCATTGCACCCACTTGCTTTCGGATCCCCAGCGCAAAGCATCGACTCATCATCGATCGACTGGAAATGCGAGTTTCCATTTGAACATGTCGAGTGGTTCGCCGTTAGCAGTTGAGCTTGTTGCAAAATGACCGGTATAGATCCTCCGTAAACTTGTACCCCCCAACCTGCAAAATGAGTTTTTGTCTTTTATTTTCGTTTATTTTCCTTTATTTATGTCTTTATTGATTTCACTTACTCAAAAGTACCTTCAAAATTTTTATACTTTTGCAATTAAAAGTTTGTTGAAATGATATAACTAGATCTAACAGAAACAAAGTAAGTTAGTTTTTGAAGTCGTACATCAAACACATCCTCGTGGAAATGTTTTCTTTAATTACAGAAAATAATTAGCCTTCTCCGGTGGACAGAAACCCTTTTCCCTTTTTGGGGAATTTTCAGCTTGCACGATTTTTTTTTTCGTTCACTGCTTGTGCAGGAATTTTTTTTCAGGTGAACTCCTCTGCACGAATTTTTTTTTTTCAGACAAATATTGCTTTTTTTTAACATTGAAATCTTGATTCATTATCTATGTTTTTGTGCTTTAAAAATTATTCTACACTCACAACAGATCAAAGGATACAGGCCACTTTAATGCAAAATCTTTAATATTTATATATTACAAATTTTATTTTATTATTTTTATTATAATACAGTATACAGTGTATGTCGTAGGTACACTAGCTGCAATTTAAAACAAAGGTTCTAATTGTCTCCTTTGAATAAGAAGAAAGTGATTTTTGTTTATTCATATTGTGCCTGGTAATATTGTTGATTTCTGAAACTCAGACTTTCTGAAAGAAACGCAGGCTTTCTAAAAAAACTTACAATTGGACCTTCCTTCTGCATGGATTTTTTTTTTTCTTTAACTTCTTCTTTGCATGAATTTTTTTTTTCTTGGCATTTTCCCTTGCATGAATTTTTTTTTCCCCACCCCATCACTTTTCTAATGGTCCGTCCCTAAGCTTTTTTTTTTTCTCCAATTTTACATGTTAGTCGGGAAAGAATTAAACCTCGCGCCTCTCATGCTTAGTCCCAAAGAAAACTTTGACTTCGGATGCGCTTTTTTTAAATCTGTTTAGGTTGCCCTTCCGTGATTAAAGAATTAAATAAAAAAGAATACTGCTTCTGAATTAAGTTAAAGTGTAGTTTGTTTGGTAAACTGTTGGGAATTTACTTGGCTTAACCTCGATCTTCCAGACGCTCATTACTAATTTGTTTATTAAGTTTATCAACTTTTTTACAAGCACCACGAGACAAACTCAAAACAAGACTAGACCGTAATTTCCAAATTTTTCTCATTCATCGAAGTATGGTAAACATAGATCGATCCGTTTTCACGTGCCTGACAAGAACCAATCATGAACCGCGCTTTGCTGGAGGGCGTCATATTTCAAATGGAAAATACCGTGAGCATTATTCATTCTATAGAAAGTACCGTTGCGAACGATGATGTGAATTCTAGCGAATTATTATATGCTCCTTCGGTTGCCGTTCAGTTCGTTTTGCCATTGCACTGTATTCTTGGCTTACTGACAAACATTGCGGAACCTTCGCACGAAGAAATAACAAACCAGAAAGGTAGGTGTAAGATTATTTTGGCTTGAAGCACGTTGACACTTCAGTTTGTAATTTGTATTCTGAAATTAGCCCTTGCAAGATGAACTACTTCTGCCTTCATTGGATGATTTTGCTCCGTAGTTAAGAAGCTTTTGATACTTACTACATTTCTGTTGCAGAAAATACTACATGATGTTGAAAAATTAACTCCTGACTAAAGATGTCGACCACATGGCGAACGGCCCACTCGAGTTTATACACGTGACAATAAATAATTTACAGAATTCCGTCAAGCCTATAGCTAGCAATTTATTTTATGTCTTAGCTTCAGATCATGTTTACTCTCAGTTGTGTAGGAGCTGCTCGTAAGGTCTCTGCTTAATGGTTGCAGAAAACAATGACATGTCATTCTTTCAATTGTATTAGCGGGGCCCTACGCACGCGAAGCGCGCAGGGCGGAGCACCATGGGTAAGAAAAATTGGTAAACTATCCATCCGAGAAATTTTGGTTATGACGTCAGCGTACGTCTGTCCGTGCGGATTCTCCTGATAAAGGAAAGTAGAAGCGAATCCCTCTCCTCTCCCGTAGAGAGTTTTGTCTCCTATTGTTCAAAAGGCTTTAGAAATGATTGCAAATCAGAACTTCAACTGAGCAAATGTTTGGTGGATCTTAGGGGCCGACTATTTGAGTTTTGAGGGGTTTATAGGTGATTTCAGAAAAAAATATTCTGCAGACTGATTTCGAGAGAGAAAAAGCATGCAAAGAAATTCCTGGGAAAGACAATATCCTGCACTGAAAAAGATATTACTCATGACGCATAATGCTGAAAAAAATATCTTACACCGTCATATGAGGGGAAAAAAATTCTAACTCCAGAGGTTTGGGAAAAAATGATTACCTCAAAATCACCCATGTCCCCCTCCTCCACAAACGTCCAATGGTCATGTTGACCATTTAGCGGGGTGGGGGAAGAAACGGATTTGACACCTCAGTAAATGTCATCCATCAAAAAATGCCGGGCTGGCGCGCCCATCAAGTGGTGGTTTTCAAGACTAAAGTTTTGCATTTCAAGATTGAAAATACGCCGATAAAAGACACAAGTGGAAAGAGAAAGTTCAATGGAATGCTAAGTTCCTTTTTGGGGACAAACGAAAGCTTTTCGCTATTCAAATTGTCTTTCAACGAATTCGACCTTGTTTCTGCACGCCGGATCATAACGCTTGGCTTGTTTTAAACCAACCATGGCAGCGAGGATTCTGAAGAAACTTGAGGCATGTATATTCTGTACTCTATGGTCAAGAAACTGTAGATTTTTAATTGGGAATTTTTGAATTTATAAAGGTTTCATGTACGTTTTCTACATTTGAACATCGGCGTGAAAAGAAAACCATAAAATGTTCATTTGAAATTGATTTTTTGCCATATGCTCAGCCTATTTAACTCGCGTCAACGGATCGACTACCCAGGTTTTGTTACGCGAATTTCTTTTTAGGATTAACTTATGGGTTTTTGATTAAAAATTTTCAAGAAATTAAGTTATTCATCGGTCATTGTTCTTTCATGACATTAGCAAAAAAAAAAACAAAACAAAAAACAACCGTTAGATTTTTAGAAACACTTCAGACGGGCTACTCCCCTATCTTGAATTAAGACTGAAGTGCTGTTTTTGTACATGTTCTATTGATTGCTGCTCATTTTCTTTTTCATTACTTGCCATTTAAGAATTTTGCAGTGTGTAGAATTAAAGAATTTCTGCAGTTTTGCAGTGTGCTGCTCTTTTTCGATCACTCGTGAATACCGCTTGAATGAAGCTTACTGCGTTTGTTTTCAGTTGTTTGTTTACGGCTTTATTATCATCGCTGAAAAAGTGAGCTTATCTAAAATATGAAAGAGTTCTCCTCTATTCTTACGACAGACTAGTCGGCTTTTCGAGCCCGTGTTTGTCTGTATTACAGTTAGTAGCGTAAAAGGTTATCTTTTGCTTTCCTATGTCTGTCCTCAAAGAAAATGTTATACACCTTACGTAAAAATTTCCTTTCAGATATCGTGAGGTATAAATGTAAAGGCTACACATAACTGTGCGTCCGCAAAGTTACAAAAAGAAAAATAATAAAATAAAATAAGAAAACAGAAGAAAAGAAAATATAATGGGCTTACGGGAAGACAAAAGTTCCTAGGTCGGCCTGATTTTCCTTTTAGGTCTTCCCTTTAAGACAGAAATACTGACCCTAGAAATCGTAACCTGTAAACTGCTGTTATTGAAGAGACCTACAAGTTCACAATTTGTTCGAGTCAGGTCTCTTTGCGGAATATTTTCCTTTAATCATTTAGCCCCAACCTTCAAAAGGTGAACTCATGCCGCAGGCTCCTACAGTTCAATTAATATGGGTGTGAAGATTTCTTTTCTTGACTTAGAGTTCATGTTATTACTTTTCAATTTGATTGCTTTTATCATAAGTATAGAAACGGAGGCTTCGCTTTTATCCCTGGCTAAATCTATATATTAGTATTGTTTGGGCTTAGGGTTAGGCACCATTGGTGACTTCTCTTCCGGGTTTAGTGGATAATGCTGGGTGCGGGGTGCCTGGGTGCCGGGGCTACGGTGTCTTGGGGTCTATGGAAAAGACGGGGTCCCGGGGTCTAGTGTGGAAAAGACTGGGTCCCAGGGTCTGTTGAAAACACGGGGTCTGTCGTTTTTGTGACTACATGACCAAAATACACAACATATAAACGTTTTTCACTACACTGGTTTCAAAACAAACTGACGAAAATTTGCAATAAAGTTGCGGACTCCGAGTTTTTCTACGGCAAGGAACGCGTGCACGAGAAGAAAGTTTCCCGACTGACCAGTATGAATATTTTTCCCACGAGAAATATGACTTTATAAACCTTCCGAAAAGTCTATTGACATTTTGTCCGTGAAGTGGGAAAAGTCGCATTTTCCGTTAAACGTACTTCTGTGAATTGCATCAAGCTTTGTGAGGCCGGCGTGGCCATTAAAATCCCGCAACCCTTAAAACTGTTCATTCTCAACAGGATACTTTGAAGTTACTCCGAGCTTCAGGTGGCGAGAAATGGGGAATAAAAGAGAGATTGAAATGGGAGTTTTGGATCAGTGGAGCAGCCAAATATTTTCTGGAAAACAGAAAAGTAGTCGTAAAACGATTTTCTGGTGAAGGGAAGGCCTTCAACAAAGCCGGGATCGGATCGGATTGCAGATCGGATCCAATCCGGACTGGTATGTTCGCTTTTGGTGCAGAAGAATTATTTTGAGAAAAGGTGTTTTTAATAATCCGAGTTCTGACAACAGGATTCTAACCTATGTCTAGTTCCGACAAGTTTGGACTAGCAACCGGTTCGACTCGGATTTTTTCTTCCGAGCCGCCTGTGTTACTAATTAAAAAAAGAATCGTTTGTCATGTATTACCAGGCTTAAAATTCACCATCAGCTTGAAAATCATCGCAAAGCATTATTTTCAACTGAATTGCACTGGGGAATTTTCTGTTGCATAATTTCATACGATTACAATTCCAAAAGGAGGCTTGATCACGTGACATCGCCCGAATTGAAGACGGCGGAGAGAGATGTAAGTATCTCTCAGAGGAGACGATTAATAAATTCGCGGGAATGAGTAAGGCTGCTCGGAAGAAAAATTCCGAGTCGAACCGGTTACTATAGTCCAAACGAGTCTGGACTAGTCGTAGGTTAGACTCCAGTTTTAAGAACTCGGAAACTCGGATTTCTTATTCCAAGCCACCTGTGTCATATTTAAAAACAGCTTTTATCAAAATAATTCTTCTGCACTAAAAGCGAAAATACCAGTCCGATCCGATCCGATCCAATCCGGGGTCCAATTCGATCCACAGTCCAAATCGCGATCCAAGCCATCCGATCCGGTTGTTGTTGACGGCCTGATCATGAAGGGCCGACAAATTGTAAGAACGTGGAAAAGGAAGCGAAAATGCTTGAAAGGGTAAGGCACCCTAAAATAGTCGAATTTCTACGTGTTTGTTCTAAACCACTTGCCATTATGATGGAATATGCGTATGAATGCTTTGATTAAATTTTACGCCATTTGGTTTTGACCATCAAGTGTCATTACATGAACAAGACCGTCAATCTGAATGAAAAGTGAAACTGTGATTACCGGTAATTCGGAAAAACTGATATTTATGAAAAAGAAATTAAAAATAAAACTTAAAGAAAAATAAACGAAAAAAAGAAACAAGTTGCAAAAAAGAGAAACGCTATCCTGGCATACTTCCCAATCGAACGCACCCTATGTGTTTTGAGCAAAATTAGGCTACTTATATGTTACACATTCGTCTTCCAATCAGTGACTCACATTCTCGGCGAAATTGATAAAATAGACGTAAAGTTGACTCTAAGTACGTTCACGATCTAGTGTTTCTGGACTGCCCTAATATGTTATGACGGATTGAGAAGTCTAGAGAAATGTCTAAAAAAAAAAAAAAAATCAGGTTTATTTTTGTTTCCTTGTTGTCATTTTTTTTTTTTTTTTTTTCATGAAAGGGAACAATTTCTCACCAACCAAAAATTACCAGCTTCATAAGGAGCAAGTCAAAGGAAAAAGGAACCTGACCTTCCGATAGCATGAAATATTCCGAAAAAACGGAAGATACTATTTTATCTGAAATCACGCCATGCATAAAAAGCAGCTACCAAAACAGTTCCATTATATATTTCCTTCATTTTCGGACGTACCAGCAGTTATACAAGCATGTCTCCTTTTATATTTGAGCACAGCTACTTGGAATTTAATCCGATATGTTACAGTGGTCATTCGATTCGCATCTTTGATTTTTATTATGCTGCTCCGCTTCCCTATTTATCTACAAAACCGTGAAACGAAGGCTATGTTTAACCTAAATACAGGTAAATCAGCCACCGTGATCCTTATTTTATTACATACACAGTGCTGTATATTATACTGCTTTTTATATTACATTATTTTACCAAAATGGAGCAAAGTGTCTCCGGCATCTTTGTTTTAACAATTTAATTTGCGCATATCACTGGTCCAAGGCGTGGTGCGCAGGCGTGTTGTGAGCAAGCTTTCACCTTTAGCATCACATTTAGTCTCGTTATGTTAATGTATTGTAAAACACAAGTGGAAAAAATATGTATACATATGTATATAACAAATGTTGTAAGTATTGGACGTAACACTAGATTTCAGACTAAGTAGGCATGCTTCTCGGTAATGATTATAACTGATCAGTTTATAAAGAATATTTTTACAGAGTTTGTAAGACCAGTTGTAGGTCCAAGGAATCACTATGAATATTATATTTAATGTTTAGTTTGATTTACATTTTAGATGTTTTTTTGTTTGTTTGTTTGTTTTGAAAAATAAAGATAATAATAATAAAACCTTATAGGGCTTCGTATTTTTCGAGTAAATTATGAGAAGTGTTAAAACCTTTGATTTACATTTGGTTACATTGTGAACGAGTTGCAGCTTATACAAAACACAATTCCATTCTGTTCCGTTCCATCCCATTAATCCCAGCCCATCCCGTCCCATTCCATTCTACTCTATTTTTACTTTACTTTTCTATTCTATTCTATTCTATTCTTGTCCAGTCTATTCTTTGATTGGTAAAAATCATTATTGTCCAACCAAGCATCTCAAAGTTACAAAGAACAGTTATGCAGACTAGCTATGCCCGTGGAAATCGTCAAGCTGCTGTCATCTTATACATCTGTTGTAGTTCCTTTTTTTTTTTGCTCGGTTAATTTTTTTTTTCCATTCTTTTTGGGTATGATAACGTACATGTATGCTAATGACTTTGAAACAAAGGAGAAATAAAAATTAACTGAAATAATAATAATAATAATAATGATAATAATAATAATAATAATAATAAATGAACGGCAACTCATCCATTAGTTAAAAAGTACTCTGTAAGAGCACATTTTTTTTTTACCAGATTAGTCAGAAATTTATGTCTAGACTTCATCTTATCCCTTTCACTGTTGCACTGTGAAAATTAACTTACTGTCAGACATTCCAAAGCATTTTCTGTTACCTTCAGGAAAAAAAGTAAGGTTTAAAACAGCGAGAACTTTCTATGAGACTTTGCTGACTTTGTTGGTGGAGCTAATAGAAATTAAAAATAAATGTTTCCATGTGAAAAAGAAGTGCTCGTTTATTATAACGAATTGTCCGTAACAAGCGGAAATCCATAGACCTGGTTTAATCTGTAAATTGTTTCTGTGACGCACAGGCTGCGTTAAGAAAGCAAAATAATAATTATTATAATAGATATGCGTCAATGCGACAACAGCGTCTTATGCCCTCTTACCATTTTCCCTTCCTTTTTCGACCTTACCTCTAATAAGCAAGGTATCAACGCAGTAAACTTTTAATTATTTCCGAGTGCGAAAAAAAAGAGATTTATTTAACACATAATTTTTCAGAAGTTTTTCATTTCAGTAAACTGCTCCCCGTTTGTTAGTTGGATTAGCTGTGGTCTTGAGTGATGACTTCTCGAGCTTCTGTAAACATGACAAGGTGGTTTCAAAATGGAAGTATATGCCGCAAACGAGAAATGTACACTAATATGAACCTTTGTTGGTTTTCAAGATATCTAACTTTATAAATACTGCCTCCTGCACAAATATATGGTGATGTCGCTTTGTTTTCGCATCCCAAAATTTAGCAATAAATTCTCAAAAATGTACTCATGATGTTACGGATAAAATGAGGATGTGTAACTTCGGGTTAATCGTAATATTACAGCAATAAACCCTCTGGTCTTCTGAATAAACACAACAGATATTATTTGGATATCAGTATACATATATAATTTTTTTTAAGATCTACAAAATAGGGGAATTGAGAGGAATTCGGGTGTTTGTAAGCTTATACAAGCTGCACAATGCAGAAAAAATATATAAACATAAAAAAGACAACAACAACAACGAATGTGAAATAGTCCAAAGAGCGCTTTTTTTTTCGGAATCTTAACCTTAATCACTTCCAATAGTTTTAACGCTTATGAGCTACAGCGTCCCTTAAGAGCAAGTTTTGTTAGCTGTTTCACTCCTGGTCTTCTGAATAAACGAAAAGAGTATGACCGTAATATCAGCTGAGACGAGAAGTACACATCAGTGGATATATAACTGGGCTGATTACGGCTCTTTATTGTACGTTTGTGCTAATACTGTGAACATTTCGTGCTCTACGGCGGAACATTATGAAGTGCTCAGTAATTTTCATCCTGCTTGGGTTATTGGCCCTAACTCAAGCCGAAGATGACGAAACGATGGCGTTGGTAAGGTCATGTAAGACTATACAAGATTGTTATTTAGACGAATTTCTGAACTTTTTTTTTCGTCCCACCTCAGTTGTTGCTGGCTCTCATTTGTATCTCAATTGTCTTAAAAAAAAGGCCAAATGACCAATGATCCAGGGGTTAAGTTGTAGTATCCCTTAAGTAACATAAATTGTCTTAAGAAAGCTATTTCAGCACACTGAACAGCCACAAAAATTATGGTCGGTTCTTGTTGTTAGTTTTCTTCTTCTTTTATTTTAATAAGTGAGATCACTACAAAGTCTAACTGTACTTTAGGTTAATAAATTAACATAATCAGCGGTAAATATGTCAACCAAATTGGCCATTTCTTTTGACCAATTTATTCATTTTGCCCTTTTCGCCTACTGAATTTACTCTAACTTCATAATTATCTTTTCATAATGCAGAAATTTCTCAACCAGTACCACTACATCTCGACATCGAGGTCTGGCAATCACAATGTTGAGTTAGCAATCAGACGTTTTCAGCGATTCGCTGGTCTCAAAGTAACTGGAAAACTTGATCGTGCCACCATCATGCAGATGAAAAAACCGCGATGTGGATTGCCAGATGACGAAGAAGAGGGTGGTCGCGTGCGACGATACACAACTGGTGATAGTTTTTGGTTAATTATTGCAATTGACGTTATGTGTTTGCATATTGCAACTCGTCTTACCTTAACCGATACTCTATTCTTTAAAGGAAAAGATGAGTGTATGACAAGGAAAGAAGCTAAATACGTATGAGAAATACATGAAGTGTCAAGTATTTGCCCCTTTTAATTTCAAAAAACGATATCAAAATAAAAGAAAGAAAACTAAAAAGAATAAATGAATAGAAATAATCATCTAACAACAGAGAAGTGTACGTCTCTAGAGAATTTTTGCTTTTACGACAATATGCACTTTTTTAAATAACGGACAGCCAAATTTTATTACATACTAAATACATTTTTTTTGTTTTCATCCCTATCATGCAGGCCCCAAGTGGAGCAAAAAAAGCTTGACTTATTTTGTCGAGTATGGTGAAGACCTGAGTCATGACCAACAGGACAGTATTTTTCAAAAGGCTTTGCAGTATTGGTCTGATGTGTCTGGATTGTCATTTAGCACGGCTAGCAGTTCCTCTGCTGCCGACATCAAAATAAGGTAGCAATTGCTTTTACAAAACACATTTTTTTGGATGATGGCGTTTCTATGTCTTAATACCTACAATGACAACAAATGTAGTCAGTTGTGATGTAGTTCGTTATCGACGGTCCGTTTCATATTGCTAGCTTCATCGGGCGATGAGGTCGACTTTCGGTTATTATTATTATTATTATTATTATTATTATTACAAGTGATGCAGGTAAAAGTAAATTATAATTTGTTATGAGAACAAAAATATTTATATACATGTAAATATATATAAAATAAACTTAAAGAATAATATCAAAACAGGAGAGTTAAGTCAGCATGTTTCAGCTGCTTATTTAAAGTGGGATTCTAATTCTTTTACCCTATATAAAGCTCCGAGTTTAAACCTTAAAATAATTTGATCAAAAAGGATTAGCTTTTTCGTCTTTTTCATTCAAAACGCTTTGTCACGTGACTGATGACGTCATGTAGCTCTTTTGGTCATGAAAAAAATTATCAGGTAGAACATTACTTTCCTGCAAATTTTCTCTGCCGTTTGATAAAAGGTTGACTCTCTAAGGCCCCTGGCCTAGTCTCCCGACTTTTTCGCTCATGTTCATTACTCCCTTAAATTTTGAATACCGGACTTCAACTGATTATTTTTAATTTTACTCGTTAACGGAATCTTGTCACAGCAACAACAACAACAAAAAAACAGTTCGGAAATAGTTACGTGACTGATGACGTCATTACCTTAGATGCGACATGGGAGGATATTTTATGGCAAAAAATGTCAAAGTTATAAAGCTTTTTAAAACAAATGCCTCAAAAGATTCCGGGAGTTTTTTTTATGATAATTATGATTTAGTTTTATAATAATTAATACTAATACTCAAATATACATTGCACCACAATCTTCAAAAACTGAACACTTATCGCTCTTCATAATGATGCTCGAAACATCGAAACGTCAAGTAACGCTCTTAAGTTTAATTTTTCCTGTTAAATGCTTCAAAAAGCAACTGACTATTGGATCTTGCACTGCTTATTATTGTGATTTACTTATAATACAGTTTTGGTGCTGCCACTCATGGCGGTTCAAGTGAAAGCACCTGCCCATACCCTTTCGATGGTGAACGTGGAGTTCTGGCGCATGCGTACTATCCATCGGATGGTCGCGCACACTTTGACGAAGACGAAGAGTTTACTGACAACACCCCACAAGGAATTAACTTACTTTGGGTCGCCACTCACGAATTTGGTCACTCACTCGGTATCGGTCATTCTAACGTTAAAGGTGCTATCATGTACCCTTACTACACAGGGTACGTGGAAGGCATGGAGCTTCACTCTGATGACATTGCTGCAATCCAGTATCTTTACGGTAACGTACTGGAATTTGTTTGTTTGTTTGTGTGTTTTTTCCCCCCTTGCTCATGTTCATATTTTTTACCACTACCTTCATGCCTTGCGACAGTTGTTCTATTACTAGACCATACATGGTATCCACGGGGTAAAGATGTACCCAACAACGAATCCCTCGATATAACAAACAGTTTTCTTTATCCCAGTGTTAGTATTAAGGAAAAGAATCTCGATATAACAAAACATGGTTATATAGCAAAAACATTTGCCAGTCTCTTGGGCGTTCGTTTAGACTAAGAGTAGTCCCCATTTTTCTTCAGGGATATAGTAGAGCGAGCGAAAAGCAAGCGCGCGTTAAGTTTACCTTACGCGAGAAAGGCGAGACGCGGCGGGGAGAGAGAGAAATGAGGGACTACAGACAAAGCCCAAGCTTTTGACCCTTCATGGCCGACTGATTTTGGAGTGTGAAGTTGGTATCCCCTTCCAAATCAATTAAGCGCATCCAATGGCATTCCTTCTCTCATTGAGCTGTCATTGCACTTGTCATCGGTAAACTGCTGGGGATATTTATTTCAAGTAAAAGAAAACCCAGATACTAAGATTCTTCGCGGCTGTTTCGCGTGAAGAACTTGATAGTGAAAAAAAAGGGTGTCGGTAGTTAACACACGACTTTCACCTCATGCCAAAATGCAGCTCGTTCCAATGATTTTTTTTTTCTCGGACGGGTAGATTATGCTCTGGTGGAAAACGTTTTGATTGAGCAAATGTGATTTTTGCCGCTTATTTCATACTGTGAGGTCGTGACAAGCATACTAATTTTCTGCGGTTATAATTAACTCTCTAATGCAAGAGCATTTTCTTTGACCTCTTTTGAAAAGTAAAGCTCTTCAATGTAGCTAAATGTGTGTTTAGGTTGTTTAATTTCTCCAAAGTGCCTTCTGGATCTGAATAGTTATAAGTGATTTTCGATTTGTCTGTGAATGTGACGGTTTCCTGCAATGTTTCGTCACGCTGAACCCAGCTCGTTAGCGTTTTTAGAAGGATGTTAAATTCTCACGTAAATTGTGATTATGTCGAGTGTTGATAGCGGCTGGTGTGTTTTTGACAGATGTTGACAGATAGCCACGGAAGAGCCACCAGAGTTTTGCGTTGTGAGAGCAACGTATATTAAAGTTCAAAAGCTTGGGCTTTGTCTGCAGTCCCTTATTTTTCTCACTCCCCGCCGCATCTCGCCTTTCTCGCGTGGGGTAGTTTTCACTCTCGCTCGCGTTTCTCTCGCTCATCTATCCCTGAGGAAAAATGGGACTACTTGTAGTCTAACATTCGTTATATCTAGGTTTCCACTTCTGCACCACGGTCATTCGTTTGCTTGTAGAGAACATGTACAATTATATAATGTATATACATCCCTGTTCGTGATCTGATTTAACAAGAGAAACGTCGGATATATCGTTCTTCTTCCTGTAAATGGGTAAATTGATTTGAAATGACAGTGGGCTTTAAGGGCACAAGCTTTTAAGTTTCCAATAATCCAACATAGTTTTTTTGCAAAAACTGCACATTTAATAAATCGACATCAATATTAAGTGTCTCTTCTGGAAAAAAAATAAATAAATAAAAAATAATCTCCAACAATTGTATTAAATAATCCCTAAGTACCTATACGAGGTATTAAGAATTGTTATTGTATTTAAGTGAAAATAAGGTCATTGCTTCCAACAATGTTATGAAACAATACGTTTCTACTCACACAACAGAATGATTCTCGAATTATCGGGACTCATGTCAACCTTAAGTTAAGCGTCCTATAAAAAGTAACTTCTCTCCATACGCGGTTCTGTAACACCAAGTTAACATCTGCATTTAGTATAGCTTTTAATAAACGACTTTTTTTTTTCAAGGTACAAGCTAAGCAGTCGTGGCGGTGAAGGAGGTGAGAATCTGGGATGAAATCTGAAATACTTTTAAGTGAAAATACATGCAAATACAGCTGTTTCGAGAAAGGTTGTCGGAAAAATTTGCACGCGACAATCCCGAAAAGTAATACAGGATATGATCAATACAGTGCTCCTGACGCAGTAGCTGTCAAATCCACTTTGGTTACTTTCCTATAGTTTAGCTCCCGCACGTTCATGGGCTTTCGTGCTATTATTTTATTTTTCTTTGAATGAAAAACAGTGTACTCAAAACCACCAACAATACCTTTGGGGATTGGCGCGTGCACTTTTTCGTACAACCTTTCTCGAAATAGCTGTGTGCACAATGTCACATCCTCAACGGTTACTCCCGCGAGTGTATGTCTCCTTTCTTTTTCATTTATTTTCTTTTTTAGGCCTGAAGAAAAGGAACCTTTATTGTTGCTAGTTGCGTATTTAGTTTATTGTTTAATGAGGCCTAAACCAATTTATAACTAATATACCTTATAACTAAATGCTTTAAAAATGCCTTCAAAACGGAAGAAGCATATGTCACAAAGCATCATTTTAGCCCTCGGACGTACAGGGCGGGGGGGGGGGGGGGGGGGGAGGGAGTGGGGTTGGGAGGTGTTGCTCAAGTCGTTTGTTTGTAGTTGTTGTTTCGTTAGGGTCTTGTTTCGTGTTTTGACTGTCAGTTGTCATCATGGGCTACTTGACATCACAGTGACGTATTTTGTATGTTACTAGAACTGCTATTCATAGTCAATCATCTATTTGCAGTGCAATATTCGAAGGAAATCACAAATGGCCAAGGCTCCCTGACGCTGCAAGCAATATCGTTATTTTGATTTATGTAGGTTGAAGATTAGACAGAATAAAGAATGCATTGAAAACCAAATACTCGTTGTTTTCCTCTGCTGATATTAGAGACCTTTAAGATACACCGTTTCTGAAGTACTGGTAGATGGCATCTTACCCCGGAGAAACTGGTAGGCTACCAGATAGAGCGGTACTGCTATTGTCATATCTGGGACTTCATCGGGTCACCTTTTGTATAACTGCGTGGCATACATGTTCACCCACTCGTACCCGTAGGCAGGAACGGTTTACCTTAAAGTTCCCTTTTTCCTCTGTAAACGACGGGGGGATTTCGTTTTGAAAAGCTTTTTATCAAAGGAAGTCAGAAATACAATGTCATGCAAGCAGGGGAAGTGAAGTGTTAGGTATAAATACACCTTTACCTTAGCTACATGTATCATAATCATCATCATCATCATAATCATCATCATCATCATCATCATCATCATCGCCGTCGTCGTGGTCGTCGTTGTTGTCGCCATAATTACCATCATTATCGTCATCATCATCCTATCATAACTACCATAAACACTAGTCATCTTCCTCGTTTGGCTGACTTCTTCCAACCACACACTACAACAATTGTTTGTTCCTTCTTACCATAAATTGAGCTAAATAACAACAACGAAGTTTACTCTTGATGTGATAGCTACAATCAACAACAAAACTAACGGAGGCACTTTTCTCTAAGGGGCCTTTCTGATGATTTACCGAGTTAGCTTTAAAAGGGGAAAAATAAACCTTTCCCCTCCACATCTCCTCCATGCAACGTTGTACCGGTGCTTGAGCTAAATGTAAATGATGTATAAAACAAAAACTTTTCCAAACTTTGAATGCAGGGAGGAGGGAAGGAGGTGTAGATTGTTTACCTGTAAATTTATTTCGATTTCATGCTGAGGTCAACTAGCTGCCTGGCTTCACTAGCACCTATGGTTATTCCATTAGTCAGTACTCTAATTTTTCTTCAATATTTTTGTTGTTTAATTTATTGTAGAGAAAGAGTGAGTACAAATAAGTATTGTTGTTGTCCTCTGAAGTTACCCAATATGAGTACAATGTCTCAACAATTTTTATTTGTCGCCTATTATAGATCACTGTAGCTTATATTAAACGTCCTTCTTCCACCCTTTCGTCATATTTTCATGTTCGATTCACTACAAGGTTATATCCCTCTTCTGAGGGATATACGGAATTGAAGTATTCTCAATCAACGGATGATTCGGGTACCGCTTCTTGTAAACACAACCAGTTTTGATTTTTGTTACGAAAAAAAAAAAAAAATTGTAATCAAATTATGCCCAGACCATACATTTCACTGTTCTTGATATGATCTTCAATCCAAGTGATAAAAGAACTTATTCGCGTAAACACAGAGAAAGTATCCAAGCCTGGACACTTTGGGATACCCTAGCTTACGGCACCTCTTAGGACATATCTCTCGCTTTCTTCAGAAACTAGGGGTCTGCCACTGTCTACATTGCACCCATTTGCTTTCGGTTCCCCGCGCAAAGCATCGACTCATCATCGATCAGCTGGAAATGCGAGTTTCCATTTGAACATGTCGAGTGGTTCGCCGTTAGCAGTTGAGCTTGTTGCAAAATGACCGCTATAGATCCTCCGTAAACTTGTACCCCCCAACCTGCAAAATGAGTTTTTGTCTGTTCTTTTCGTTTCTCTTCCTTTATTTATGTCTTTATTGATTTCACTTACTCAAAAGTACCTTCAAAATTTTTATACTTTTGCAATTAAAAGTTTGTTGAAATGATATAACTAGATCTAATAGAAACAAAGTAAGTGAGTTTTTGAAGTCGTACATCAAACACATCCTCGTGGAAATGTTTTCTTTAATTACAGAAAATAATTAGCCTTCTCCGGTGGACAGAAACCCTTTTCCCTTTTTGGGGAATTTTCAGCTTGCACGATTTTTTTTTTCGCTCACTGCTTGTGCAGGAATTTTTTTTCAGGTGAACCCCTCTGCACGAATTTTTTTTTTTTTTCAGACAAATATTGCTTTTTTTTAACATTGAAATCTTGATTCATTATCTATGTTTTTGTGCTTTAAAAATTATTCTACACTCACAACAGATCAAAGGATACAGGCCACTTTAATGCAAAATCTTTTCGAAAATGTACACACAGTGAGAGAGGAGGAAGCCACTTGGAGTCGACGGCTTCCCTAGTGCATTTCAGTCCCTGCCCTCTGGAATTCTTCTCCCACAGCCCATTATAATGATGCCATACTCCATTCACCAATGAAAACCATACTTTGTGGTTCTTAATTTTTGTTAAAAGTAGCGGTGGCAGTGTTGCTGTTTATGTCGTTGACAGTTAAAGTTTTAACACTTACTACACTACACTACGTGTGAATGCACTTTTTCATTGTATTATAGAATTCTTATTGAAGGTGGTAAAACCCATCCTCTAATTTTTATTGTGGGCACAAATAATTTTATAGAATATTTACAAAGCTACCAAATTCTAATATTTATATATTACAAATTTTATTTTATTATTTTTATTATAATACAGTATACAGTGTATGTCGTAGGTACGCTAGCTGCAATTTAAAACAAAGGTTCTAATTGTCTCCTTTGAATAAGAAGAAAGTGATTTTTGTTTATTCATATTGTGCCTGGTAATATTGTTGATTTCTGAAACTCAGACTTTCTGAAAGAAACGCAGGCTTTCTAAAAAACTTACAATTGGACCTTCCTTCTGCATGGATTTTTTTTCTTTAACTTCTTCTTTGCATGAATTTTTTTTCTTGGCATTTTCCCTTGCATGAATTTTTTTTTCCCCACCCCATCACTTTTCTAATGGTCCGTCCCTAAGCACTTTTTTCTCTAATTTTACGTGCTAGTCGGGCAAGAATTAAACCTCGCGCCTCTCATGCTTAGTCCCAAAGAAAACTTTGACTTCGGATGCGCTTTTTTTAAATCTGTTTAGGTTGCCCCTCCGTGATTAAAGAATTAAATTATAAAGAATACTGCGTCTGAATTAAGTTAAAGATTTACTTGGCTTAACCTCGATCTTCCAGACTCTCATTACTAATTTGTTTATTAAGTTTATCAACTTTTTTACAAGCACCACGAGACAAACTCAAAACAAGACTAGACCGTAATTTCCAAATCTTTCTCATTCATCGAAGTATGGTAAACATAGATCGATCCGTTTTCACGTGCCTGACAAGAACCAATCATGAACCGCGCTTTGCTGGAGGGCGTCATATTTCAAATGGAAAATACCGTGAGCATTATTCATTCTATAGAAAGTACCGTTGCGAACGATGATGTGAATTCTAGCTAATTATTATATGCTCCTTCGGTTGCCGTTCAGTTCGTTTTGCCATTGCACTGTATTCTTCGCTTACTGGCAAACATTGCGGACCCTTCGTACGAAGAAATAACAAACCAGAAAGGTATTGACACCTCAGTTTGTAATTTGTATTCTGAAATTAGCCCTTGCAAGATGAACTACTTCTGCCTTCATTGGATGATTTTGCTCCGTAGTTAAGAAGCTTTTGATAGTGATAGTCATATATTTCTGTTGCAGAAAATACTACATGATGTTGAAAAATTAACTCCTGACTAAAGATGTCGACCACATGGCGAACGGCCCACTCGAGTTTATACACGTGACAATAAATAATTTACAGAATTCCGTCAAGCCTATAGCTAGCAATTTATTTTATGTCTTCAGTTCATGTTTACTCTCAGTTGTGTAGGAGCTGCTCGTAAGGTCTTTGCTTAATGGTCGCAGAAAACAATTACATGTCATTCTTTCAATTGTTTTAGCGGAGCCCTCACGCGCGCGAAGCTCGCACGGCGGAGCACCATGGGTAAGAAAAATTGGTAAACTATCCATCCGAGAAATTTTGGTCATGACGTCAGCGTACGTCCGTCCGTGCGGATTCTCCTGATAAAGGAAAGTAGAAACGAATCCCTCTCCTCTCCCGTAAAGAGTTTTGTCCCCTATTGTTTCAAAAGGCTTTAGAAATGATTGCAAATCAGAACTTCAACTGAGCAAATGTTTGGTGGATCTTAGGGGCCGACTATTTGAGTTTTGAGGGGTTTATAGGTGATTTCAGAAAAAATATGCTGCAGACTGATTTCGAGAGAGAAAAAGCATGCAAAGAAATTCCTGGGAAAGACAATATCCTGCACTGAAAAAGATATTACTCATGACGGATAATGCTGAAAAAAATATCTTACACCGTCATATGAGGGAAAAAAATTCTAACTCCAGAGGTTTGGGAAAATATGATTACCTCAAAATCACCCATATCCCCCTCCTCCACAAACGTCCAATGGTCATGTTGACCATTTAGCGGGGTGGGGAAAGAAACGGATTTGACACCTTAGTAAATGTCATCCATCAAAAAATGCCGGGCTGGCGCGCGCATCAAGTGGTGGTTTTCAAGACTAAAGTTTTGCATTTCAAGATTGAAAATACGCAGATAAAAGACACAAGTGGAAAGAGAAAGTTCAATGGAATGCTAAGTTCCTTTTTGGGGACAAACGAAAGCTTTTCGCTATTCAAATTGTCTTTCAACGAATTCAACCTTGTTTCTACACGGCGGATCGTAACGCTTGGCTTGTTTTAAACCAACCATGGCAGCGAGGATTCTGAAGAAACTTGAG